TGGCCTTTTGCTTTGGGGATTACCGTATTTTTCGGACCATAAGACGCACTTTTTCCCCCCCAGAATTGGGGGGGAAAAGTCCCTGCGTCTTATGGTCCAAATATAGCCTACAAATATACTTTAAAAAAAAAGTTTTTTTACTTGCCCAGCTCTGTGTGGTCTCTGTGTGCTTGCCCGGCTCTAAAATGGTTCTAAATGCTGCTGTTTACAGGGTTGATTACATGTGTTTATGACTGTGATGTTGGGTTTTAATGCACATAAAATATTTTAGGACACTATTTGTTTCAGAATCTTCATTTCCCTTCTCTAAAAACTGGTGCGTCTTATGGTCCGAAAAATACGGTATATCTATTTGGAAATGTGACCAGTTTCCTTTTTGTTTTTTAAGAAAAGCAAGCAAGAATTTATTGACCACAGAAAAACTCAGGGCAGTGAAACAACGAAGGGCATAGGAGCATTGGAGTCTAGACTGGGCTGCTTTGGCTCGCTGGGAAGTCAGGGAAAAGGAAACCCTGGAAACAGGTTCAGGGGGTTTAGTTAGCCTGGGATGAGCTGCTGCTGCCCATTGCTCCCCTGGTTGCAGTCTCATGGGGCCCCTTATAGGTTAAGGGATACTTGCCTGTGAGGGAAGAAGGGAAAGGGAATGTGCAATTCTATCTAGTCTTATTCCGTCTGGCTGACGAGACACTTTAACTTGATTGTATGGGATAAGATTTTTGCTTTAATGGGGAAACCAGGGACAGAAGGTATGAGGCATAGAGTTAGTGTGCCTGACATACTGAGGGAGCAGTGATATGGTAGGGTAGGCATGATGTTTTAATGGGAAAGGGAATCAGCATTGAGGGAGGGGAAAAAAAGCTTTGTTGCATGTTTCTCTAGTTCATAATTACTGGAATGAGGAATTGCTCATTTTTAGCCATACCTCTTCCTTCTTAGCCTTTTAGTACCTTAGATGCTAGGTTATTAAAATTAGTATAAAATCATCACTATGGATAACGTCTGTAGTTGTAGCTGGACATATTTTCTTCTTAGGAACCATACCTTTCTCTTTGAGAAGATTCCAGGGGAGCTCATTCAGAGCTAACTGAAAGAACAAATTTTGGTGGGGAGGGACCTAGGTTCCCAGATAGTTATATTATACTTCATGACTCAGGTTAGAAGTCATGTTTACCATGACACTTCAAAGGAACTTTGGTCCATTCAGAAAATGTTTCTTCATTATTTTTCACTGAGATAGCTATTTCTGGGTCTTAGTGTCTTTCTAAAATGGGGATAACACCATCTTAAAAGACTTCTGTGAGGGTTACTGTGTTACATATAAAGCCCTTTATACAGTGCCTGCTGTGAAGTAAGCACTTAGTAAATGCCATTATTATTATTATTATTATTACTACTACTACTACTACCACTATCACCATTATCACTATTAGAGTTGTGAATATGCATTTCCTGGAAATAAGCAAATAGTCGTCCTATTTGAAGCACTGCCTAAGCAGCATGCCACTCACAGACCCAGCTCTCCTGTATCCTGTGAAGATTAAAACAACAAAATGGCTGGTAGTTAACTTTTATTTTTAGTTCTCTGATTCCTTTCGTCTTGTGGTGTATTGCTATAAGGACTTAAATAAAACCAGAAAGGTAATGCAAACATTTGCTTTCTAATTTCTAACTCTATTATCTCAGATGTCCCAACAATGACTAGCTGGTTTTCTTTTTTAACCAATAACACAGGTTTAATATTTTACTTTTCAGTTACAGCTTGCTTTTAATATTACTTTGTATTGGTTTCAAGTGTACAACATAGTGATTAGACATATTTTGCAAAGTGTTCTCCCCAGTATTTCCAGTACCCCCTGGTACCACTCATAGTTATCAAAATATTTTTTTAATATATTTTATTGATTTTTTTACAGAGAGGAAGGGAGAGAGATAGTTAGAAACATCGATGAGAGAGTCATCGATCAGCTGCCTCTTGCACACCCCCTACTGGGGATGTGCCCGCAACCAAGGTACATGCCCTTGACTGGAATCTAACCCGGGTCCCTTCAGTCCCCAAGCTGACGCTCTATCCATTGAGCCAAACCGGTTTCGGCCAGTCAATGATTCTAATCATTGATGTTTCTATCTCCCTTCACCACTGAAATCAATAAAAATATATTTAATAAAATAAAAAAGAATCAAGGCTTGCCCTGGCTGGGGTGGCTCAGTTCGAGAACTGAAGGGTTGCCAGGTCAGTTCCTGGTCAGAGCACTTGCCTGGATTGGGGGGGGGAGATGATGTGGGAGGTGGCTTATCCGTGTTTTGCTCTCACATCAATGTTCCTCTCTCCTTCTCCCTTCCTCTCTGTCTAAAAACCAATAAAAAAAATCTAAAAAAAGAGAAAGAATCAAAGCTTGGTTAGTTTATATACCTAGACTGATTCAGATTTTATGATCTATTTTGTTATAAAACCAGAAGCTTGGTGTCATATTTAAAGCACATTAGTCAGCCTTTGCATCTTCTAGTAGCATCAGGACTGCCTGCTCTGCATCTGCCAGCCTGTGGCTCAGATTCAAATTGTGTGTCATAGTGTGCCTTGTTGTTGCTTAGACAATATGCAGGCTACCTATACATTAAAACCCTATTTAAACATAGAGCTGTGTCTGTTCTTATTAAACTTAAATCTTCTGAATTCTGTGGAGCCTTTAGAAAATTGTTTGATAATTGGTTTATTTTTAGCTCAATTACTGTGTTATAAGTAAAAAAGACAGAGTATATATCTACCTTAAAGTGTCCCACCCAAGTTAGGGAATGTGTTTCATGAAGCTGTTTATCAGTACTTGACTCATCTTAAATACTGAGTATGCAAAAGAGTTTATTCTTACATTAATTATTGTATTATTTTCCATACAAACACTATGAACCTAGTTTTGCCCAACCTTGTACTGTATTTAATTCAGTAACCAGGGTTGTGCTGTATGGAATACTGTTTGAAATAATTGAGCCAATGGTTAAAATGTTGGATGTTTTTACATATGGGAAAGTAAGAAGGGTAAAGAACTTTTTAATTTTAAAACAACTATGAATTTGAGAGGGTTTTAGTTTTGGTTTGGTTGTCCTGTGTGGTAGTTCTTACTTTTATTTATTGATTTGAGAGAGAGAGAGAGAGAGAGAAAGAGGGGAGGGGGGAGGAGAGAAGGAGAGAAGAGAAATACTGATTTGTTCCACTTATTTATGCATTCATTGGTTGATTCTTGTATGTGCTCTGATCTGAGATTAAACTCGAAACCTTGACATATTGGGATGATGCTCTAACCAACTGAGCTACTTGACCAGGGCTTGTGTTTTACTTGTTAATGGAGAAGCTTTTTTATGGAATTAGACAAGTTGGTATAAAAGTTAATATGGAAAAACAAACATGCAAGAATAACAGGAAAACACTAAAAAATCTACAAGAGGAAACTAGCCCTACCTTACATAAGAACATACTATAAAGTCTATGTAATTAATTAAAGCAGTCTGGTACTGATGTATGAAGAAACAATAGACTAATAGTATAGAAAGCAGATATAGACCAGATGCCTGTGGAAATATAGTATACGGTAAATGACAGGGTAAAGATGGATTTTTTAAATAAATGATGCTATTACAACTAGGTAACCATTTGGAAAAAGATAAAATAGGTCCATATTTCACACCATACAAAAGAAACTCCAAATGGATCAGATATCTAAATGAAAAAAAAAAAATCATACATGTTCTAGAAGAAAATTCCTTGCTGTAAGAAAATCAAGAGGCAATAAAAGATTGATAAATTTTATTGCATAATTGTGATGAGGTTCATAGCAATTCATGTGGAAACACTAGAGACATTTCCCTTAGAGAAGATCAAGGCAATGATGCCCATTATCTCCTGCTATTCACATTGTGCTCTAGTGGTGTAGCCAGTTGCAGTTAGATAAAATAAATCAATTGTGGAGGCATAGAATTGGTAAAGAAGAATTAAAGGTTTCTTTTGTTGTAGATTATATGATAGTGTACTTTGAGAACCCTAGAGAATCAATGATAAAACTAATTTAAATGAAATCAGTATGGTAAGCTATATGTCACCTCAATAAATTCCATTAAAAAGCTAAACACACACACACACACACACACACACACACACACACACACACGAAAACACACGCACAAAAAAAACCCTACCCTAGGCAGGTAGCTCAGTTTAGAGCATTTGTCCCCACACTCCAAGGTTGCGTATTCAACCTCCAGTCAAAGCATATACAAAATAAACAGCCAGTAAATGTATAAACAAGTAGAACAACAAAATCAGTGTTCTTCTCTCACTCCCTTTCTCACTAAAATAAAAACCAAAACCAAAAACTAATAGCTTTTCTATACACAAATAACCAGGACATAAAAGGGAAAAAACACACAACCCTATTTATAGTAGCAACATGGAAAATGAAATGCTTAGGAATAAACATAAAGAGAAATGTGCAAAAAGAAATTAAAATAAAAGGAGAAATGTGCCAAAGCCGGTTTGGCTCAGTGGTAGAGCTTCGGCCTGCGGACTGAAAGGTCCCAGGTTCGATTCCGGTCAGGGGCATATACATTGGTTGCAGGCACATCCCCGGTGGGGGGGGTGCAGGAGGCAGCTGGTCGATGTTTCTCTCTCATCGACATTTCTAGCTCTCTCTCTCTCCCTTCCTCTCTGTAAAAAAATCAATAAAATATATTTAAAAAAAAAAAAAAAGGAGAAATGTGCAAAACCCCTAAAAGATAAACTTTAAATCAATCCTTGAAAGATACAGAGGTAAACTTGAACAAATGCAAAGATAGTCCTTTTGCTTAGCAAGAACAACATAAGATGACAGTTCTCCAATATTAATTGATAAATTTAATGCAGTACCAAAAAAATAACAATAAGCATGTTTCCATGGAGTTAGACAAGTTGATAAATAAAGTTCACATGGAAAAGTAAAAATGCAAGAGTTAATAATGGAGGTTCTTTTTTTTAGGATAATTGGGATGACGAGGATGAGGAAAAAAAAGAGGAAGCAGAAGTAAAACCAGGTGAGCTACTGGGGTTTCTACATTTTTGGTTTTATGTCTTGGTGAGTATCTGGTACTAAGACAAATTTAAAACAAAACAAAACACAAAACTGAAAATTTTGGTAGTTAGAAACCAAACATCCTTCCATTCCCACTTTATTCTCTTCTCCCTGCATCTCTTCTCTCATCTCAAAACATTATTAGATTAGATACATGCTTTTTGTTTGTTTGTTTGTTTTTTGTTAGGAGAGAGTAAAGGATGTGGTATCATAGTTGAATGGTCTAAGTCCTGCCTAAGGACCATGGGGAAATATGAAGGCAGGTGTTTGGGTTTTAGGGGTCAGATTAGAGAGGAAAAGAAGAGTTCCAGGACTTTCCCATTTTTATTTGCAAAGAAGTCACCACATGAAATTGGAGCTGAGAGAGGGTTGGCCTCTTGAAGTATACAAGTATCATGTCTGTCTCATCCATAAACCGGAAAATATTTTAAAAAAATAATTTGATTTAAACATTTCTTTACTTTTAGAAGTAAAAATTTCAGAAAAGAAAAAAATAACAGAGAAGATAAAAGAGAAAGAACGGCAACAGAAGAAAAGGCAAGAAGAAATTAAAAAGAGGGCAAGTACTATTGATTTTCTAAAATATAGAACTCATATCAGTAGTAGTACAGTGTCTTAACAGGCAACAAATATTACCTTGCAATTTGAGGGGCTTTGTAAAGGCATTAAATGGACACCATCAGTAAATTAATCCCAAAACTGAATTTGTGGTTTTTACAAAAACCAAACCCAGAAACTTATTAGAATGCCTTTCAAGTTTTCACAAACATTGGGGAACAGGTATGATTGTGTAATGACCATAGTCCTATAAAAAGTGTCTGTTCAGAGAAACGGACAGGTACTATGTGTTCTTGTTGTTGAATATTTGAAGCAAGATCAGGAATCTTGTATTAATTTGTGTGTTGTTTTTTTTTAAATAGAAAACATTTAAATGATTCAAAAATCAAAATAAGAAGCACTCCCAATCCTTTACTCATTTATCCTGTTTCTCTCTCTGTATCTTACAAATAAATATTGGTTTCTTATGTTTCCAAGGTGTCTTTATATATTTGGATACAACTGTATAATCTTATTTCTTTTTTATAGTTTCCACCTTGCTTTTTTTGGTATAGCCTGGAGATCTTTTCATATCAGATCGTAGTTTTTTTCCCCTTGACTTTTTATTAAAAATTTCAAGTGTAAAAGTAAATAGCATAATGAATAATCATACAGATCACAGTTGTTAATATTTTGCCATATTTGCTTCATCTATTTTTTGCCAAAATAAATAGCAAACATTATTCATTTTATAATTGTCCCAAAGTGGAATACTTCAGAGCAGCAGTCACCCACTGTGGCCCATGAGATCTGAAAGGTTGGTGACCGCTGCTTTAGAGGTAATGCTGTGTTCTTCATATTGCTTCACATCACATCAATAGTCATGTAATGTCTGTCCTATTATTAGTGATGCTAAAATTGATCACTGAGTTAAAGTTGAGACAGCCTGATCCTTCTCATAAAATAACATACACTGAATGGCCAGATTATCATAATAAAATAACATACAGTGTGTGTGTGTGTGTGTGTGTGTGTGTGTGTGTGTGTGTGTGTGTCTCCCAGTGTATGAATTTGTGCATGGGTGGGGTCTGGCCAGGGAGAGAGGGGAGACATGGGCGGTTGGTTGGCCTGCCTACTGGTCAAACTCCTGGTCGAGGGGACAATTTGCATATTAGCCTTTTATTATATAGGATATACACTGAGTGGCCAGATTATTATGCGTTCAGAGATCATAATCTAACCAGTGTATTTCTTCTGGCAAGTAATTCCATTTCACATTAGCTTCTCACCCAGTAGTTTTGTATCTCTGATGATCATTGTCTAATTATTTCATTAGATAGTGCAGAATAGTGATTTTCCTCATTCTGTGACTTCTGTTCCCTTTTTTTTATTGGCTGGCTTTTTTTTCTTTTTTTCTTTTTCTTTTGCTACTTGGTTCCTTCTTTTGCTATAGTTCCTTTCCTAGAAAGGCACTGTAATTATTTTTTTTAAATTATCAATTTTCAGAGTAAAAAGGGATATAACAACTTCATGTGGTGAATTTTGTGGATTTTATTTTTTTAATTTGAGTAAATTTATGGACTTGGAGATTTTTATAAGTTCTTTGTGCTTTACTAAGATACAGTAGTTGTTTTGGTGCTCAAACTATTCCAGCTTTGGCCAGCAGTTCCTTTAAGTAGTTTCTATCTTTATCCTTTTCACAGGGACCCTATTAGTCTTTGAAAGCTTCCGTGTTTTCTAATACAATAAGAAGTGCCAGCCTTACCTGATAAACATTCTTCTTTAATCCTAGAATTATTCCTGAGGGGTTTTTTTTGGTTTGGTTTGGTTTGGTTTTGTTTTTTGTTTTGTTTAGTAGAAAATAATATTTAGAGGCCAAATCTAGATGCTTGTAGTACTTAGTGTTATTGTGATAGCCTACACCCCTTTTCATGGATTAATAAGCTAGGAAAGTAAGGGGTGTGTGTGTGTGTGTGTGTGTGTGTGTGTAATCATTAGTTCATTTGATATTTTTTCTTATTCCGACATTTTTTTTTTTTTCAATACCAATATTACTAACAAGATAGAGCTACTGAATGAATTTTAGGACTTCCTTGCAATTCATTTTGAGCTTTGAATATGTCCTGCTAAGGATGTATAATTATGTCTTGGGTTCTAAAGTCATTTGAATTCTCTTCCCAGTGGCATGTCTAGTTTGATACACTTTTTTTGTTTCAGGTTTAAGATTTTTATTATATATATATATATATATATATATATATATATATACACACACACACACACACACACACACACACACACACATACATACATATATATATATAAAATTCTCACCCAGAATCAAACCCATACCTTTTGATATATGGGACGACTCTCCAACCAACTGAGCTGGCTACTGCTTAACTTTATTATTTTTTTTTAAATATTGTTTTATTGATTTCAGAGACAAAGGGTGAGAAAGAGATAAATAGAAACATCAGTGATGAGGATCACTGATGGGCTGACTTCTGCATGCCCGCACGGGGATTGAGCCACCCTGGCGTGTGCCCTGACCAGGAATGGACCTGGTTCATAGGTTGACCCTCAACCACTGTGCTACTGGCCAGGCTTAACTTTATTTTTTAACCATGAAATGTGTTCAGAAGTCAAAAGTTCTATTGATTGGATCTTTCTTGGTCATTGAAGTTAGAATATACTTATTTTTAAAAAATATTTTATTGATGTTTTACAAAGATTGAAGGGAAAGGGATAGAGAGCTAGAAACATTGATGAGAGAGAAACATCGATCAGCTGCCTCCTGCACATCTCCCCCTGGGGGTGTGCCTGTAACCAATGTACATGCCCTTGACCGGAATTGAACCCGGGACCCTTCAGTCAGCAGGCTGACACACTCTGTCCACTGAGCCAAACCCGTTTCGGCAGAATTATACTTATTTTGTATTTTGTTCTATCTTGATATTAGTCTCTAACATAAGCTTTTTTTTCTAAATTTTTTTTTATTGTTTAAATTATTACATGTGTCTCCTTTTTCCCTGATTGAACTCCCCTTTCCCTCCCTGCCCCCCGCCCCCCACGGCCACTCCGCCCCCCAGGACAAGCCCTTACCACCTCAGTGTCTGTGTCCATTAGTTATGGTAACATGAATGTGTATAAGGTTGTAGAAATAAAGTCAGTCTTCCTGGATTCGAATCTCAGCTCTTTCCCATTACAAGCTGTGTTAACCTGTTACCATGCACAAATTGCTTAACCTTTCTGTGCCTCAGGTTTTGTTCCTTTAATATTAGGATAAGAATATCTAAAATGTTTAGAAGAATGCCAAAATACTTTTAAGTGTTTGCTATTATTTATGATTACATGTGCTTATAAACTTCATTTCTGTATCATTTTAGTTAGAAGAACCTGAAGAAACAAAAGTACTAACACCAGAAGAACAATTAGCAGATAAACTACGGCTAAAGAAATTACAGGAAGAAGCAGACCTTGAATTAGCAAAAGAAACTTTTGGTAAGTTGGAGATACTGAGGTTCCAAGTAATTACTGTGAAAATCTTAGTAGATATGAAAGTTTAGAAAACAACTTTTTTGAAGAAACATATTACTGGCTAATGTAGATATTAGCAGTTTTTATTCTCTATTTGAGGTTTCAAATTAATTATGGTAGAGTGCGATGCATATTTAGATTTTTGAATAATTATGTTTTGAGTATCAAAATATATTTTTCTATGCCGAAACCAGTTTGGCTCAGTGGATAGAGCGTCAGTCTGCGGACTGAAAGGTCCCAGGTTCGATTCCGATCAAGGGCATGTACATTGGTTGCGGGCACATCCCTGGTAGGGGGTGCGTAGGAGGCAGCTGGTTGGTGTTTCTCTCTCATCGGTGTTTCTAGCTCTCTATCCCTCTCTCTTCCTCTCTGTAAAAAAATCAATAAAATATATTTTTAAAAATATATATTTTTTTCTAAAATGTTTTTAATTGATTTTTTAGAGAGAGAGAGGAAGGGAAAAAGAGAGAGAAAAAACATCAGTGAGAGAGAAACATTGATCTGCTGCTTCCTCATGCCCCCCACTAGGGAGCATGTGCCCTCACCGGGAATCGACTGGCAACCTCTTGGTTCATGGGTTGATGTTTAACCACTGAGCAAGACCAGCCAGGTCAAATAAAATATTATGATAAAAAGTCATTGGACCCAAATAAAATCTACCACTTTTTAAAATTTATGCATTGCCAAAACCGATTTGGCTCAGTGGATAGAGCGTCGTCCTGTGGACTGAAAAGTCCTAGGTTCGATTCCGGTCGAGGACATGTACCTTGGTTGCGGGCATATCCCCTGTGGGGGATGTGTAGAAGGCAGCTGATCGATGATTCTCTCTCATCGATGTTTTTAACTCTATCCCTCTCTCTTCCTCTCTGTAAAAAATCGATAAAATATACTTAAAAAAAATAAAATGTATTCATCAACTGTATGAAATTTGGATGGTATGTGAGATCTGTAGCTTTGAGATTTAAATACCAAACTACCTGTTATCTTAAGTCTGGATAAGACTTAGTATTGCATGCTAGTGCTGGGAGGGAGAGGAGGTGGTGAGAGGGTGGATTCCACTTTGGCTGTGCCTTATTAGGTTCAGAGTAATTTCCTTCTGCCACTCTTCTTGGCCCTCACCATGCCCTATCTCTAGACGGCTTCCATTCTGTGTGCCATACCTGCAGCTGTGGTTAGTGCATGAGATAAAAGACATGTTCAAGGTCCTGTAAATAGATAAGTTCAGAGTGTCCCAGGGGGGGAGTCACATGGCACAGAGGGTAAAAGAAAGGAACATGGCCAGAGAAAGTAAAAGCTTTCATTTTAACCAAGTTTATTGTTGTCAGCTATTGAGTACTTTGTAGAGTAGATCATATTGAAACAGTTCAATAATTGGACATTGAAACCTAGAGCCAAAAAAGATCTAGTTTTTCCCTCATTTCTTTCCTTTAAGATAATCAAGCAGGCTGACTGTAGTAAGCATTTCCTTTTTATGGCAAGTATGACCCTGTCTTTCACTGGGCCACTAGTAATCTCAAGTGTTGTGTTGATGCTCCTGTCCGGTGGAATGTGCTTGCAATGTCTTAATTGCACTTAATCTCATCACAGAGGGCACACAGCCATTCTCTTGTGTCTTCAAGGATGGTAAAAGCTGCCCCGGTGTTTATTAAAGAGAAGGGTTTATGTGGTACCCATAAATCCTAATATAGGACACCAATTATAGATTAAAAGACAAAAACATGTATACATACAGTCATCGTTGGGTTAATAGGATTTCCGTGTTGTGTTTCTCATATTAAAATCCTGAATCAGTGGCGTTGTTAACAACTAATTTACTTTAGACTACTGAGGACACAAAAGTGTACCGACATTAATTTTTCTATTGGGATTTAACGTGGTTTGCTCCTTCTTAATTTCTAGAATTAGTTAGATGGATTCTTTCACAGAAACCATCGTTTTCTTTGCTTTTTTCCTTCTCTCCCCACTTTACCCTGGGCTGTTCCTGGACAGATGCTTTAAGAGCATCCTTTTGTGCTAGGGACTCTGGCATGGCAGTCTGCCAAAGCCTGTGGGCCCCTTTTTAATCTGATATTTTTAAATGCATAAAACAAAACACATAGGATTTTACTTATAAAAAAATTCTTTTATATTGAAATAGCTATTAAAATATTAAAATAATTTAATACAATAATTACATGCTTCTTTATTAATGAATTGAATAAGACCTAGGGCCGATCTAATAAGTAATGTGATTTTTAAAGTAATAACAACTGTGAATAATGTTTCAAGATATCTGAGGCAACTATAATGTAAAAGGAAAATATCTGATCTCTGTTGGTAGCAGTTAGGTTTTGCTTCTGTGATTTGTTGTCTTTAATCAAAATGGAAACTATAGATTAGTAAAAATAAGGGCTGTAATTTTTTTTCTCATCCAAATTCACAGGTCCCCTGAATTCTGTTCAAGGCCCACGGTTAAGAATTCTGCTTTAGAATGAAGTAGGGTTATTCAGATATCTAACTGGTTTATAAGCTTTAAAAAAATCTTTGATATTTCAGTATTCCTTTTCTATTACAGGTGTAACTAATACAGTTTTTGGAATAGATGCTATGAACCCATCTTCAAGAGATGATTTCACAGAATTTGGAAAGCTACTAAAAGATAAAATTACACAATATGAAAAGTCATTATATTATGCCAGTTTTTTAGAAGCCTTAGTTCGAGATGTGTGTATTTCATGTAAGTAATTCTAATCTCTGGCCTCTGCGGGTGGATTTTAGTAAGGGAAAATTCAAGATGGAGGTTGACTTTTTTTGGGGGGGTGAGAGTAGGAATGCTAAAATATACAGACTTAGTATTTAATTTTTAGTAGTTACTGTGAGAATGGTGTTCTGCAAACATGCAATTAGTTTGAATGGTTTTGTTCCTTTTTGAGGCTGCCTTCTTAATGTTTTTACAATGGTTTCCCAAGGAGACATCTGAGATTTGTTGCCACAGCAGCTAATACAACACTAGCTTATTGTTTTATCTAATTCTATCTTGAAAGGGGTTAGGAAGTGTCTTTTGGGGAAAATATTCTCTGGGCATATAAGATTTTAGAGCCCTAGATGACAGCAACTCTATGTTCATTTTATAAATGAAGAAGCCAGGTGCAAGTTGCTCAGCAGAGCTGGTATCTGTTCTCTGGGCCCATGGGTGTGGTGCTGTTCCGAGAGAGGATCAGTCACACATTTCAGAGGCTGGGTGTGGGAGTGACAACCAGGGGTGTGCACCAAAACGTAAGGGACTGGTTTTGCTAGTATACTGTTTTTTAAGATTGGGGAAAAGGAATTTTACATAATGGATTTTAAATTGGGTTTTGAGAAATTATTACTAAGTTGGGGGTTATTTGATGAGTTATATCCCCAGAGTTGGTCTTTTCTGCATATACTATTTTTCCTGTTTTTGAAGGAGCTTGCTAACCGAAACCATATACTTTTTTGGTAGCTAAAAATTATTTTCAGCGTAATCCTATAAAATAAAAAGGTAATATGCAAATTAGCACTCACACCCTCACAAGATGGCGGGGGGCAGTTAAGAGTGACCAGGCCAGTAGGGAGGAGGCAGTTTGGCACCCTGGCCAGCGGGGGGTAGTTAGGGGCAACAAGACAGGCAGGCAAGTGAGCGATTAGGAGCCAGTCAAGGATTGTGAGAAGGATGTCCAACTGCTGGTTTTAAGCCCTATCCCAAACCGCAGTCAGACATCCCCTGAGGGGTCCTGGATTGGAGAGGGTGCAGAATTTTGTGCACTGGGCCTCTAGTTTTTTTTTTATAAAGATAGAATATATTGTTGTTCACTAAAAGAGGCTTGTCTCCTAATTGTACACAGATTTCTGAGATAGCTACTACTTTCATTCTAGTTCCTGTGCAAGAAAATGGAGATTCCAGTGGGTAGGGAGTTGTCACCTGTAGATTAAGAATTGTTATTCCATGTTCATTCAGCTGCTCCTCACTAAGCATCAAAGATATTATGGAAGGGCATGGTTATCTGTATGTTTGGTGGGGAAGCGAGAATAGTAGGGAACACTGTGCTGTAAAGACACTTAGTTTCTCTTTGGTTAGCATTGGTGTTTTAGTGATAACAGGTCATTTATAAAGATAAATTTTTTGTTGCTGAGTTTGCCATTTTATCTCATATAATAAAAGCTTAATAAGCTAAGTGTCTGGTTGACAATCAAAGCATAATATGCTAATGATATGCTAAGGCCCTCAACTGCCTGCTGTGATGTGCACTGATCATCGGGACAATCGACCCATTGACCAGTCACTGTGACATGCACTGACCACCAGGGGGCAGACATTCCCAACTGATAGATTAGCTCGCGGCTTGGGTTCAGCCTTTTGGGACTGAGGGAGACGGGCTGGACACGCCCTCCTGTATCTCTCTTCCCTCAGCCCCAGTCGTACACCAGAGGAGTCCCTCGGCCTGGCCTGCGCCCTCTTGCAATCCGGGAACCATGGGGGATGTCAGAGAGCCAGTTTTGGCTCAGTCCCACAGGCCAGGCCAAGGGACCCCATTTGTGCACTGGACCTCTAGTTTTTAATAGATCTGATTTGTATGCCTGACCATATGTCAAACAGGAGAATTACAACCTTTTCAAAGTTACTGAAGTTGTTGATAGAGAAATTGGATTTCTCATGGCACATAGGGAAGAATGTATATTTTGCCTTTACTTATTCCCCAAAATGATTAAAATTGAGTGGCATACTTTTTTTTTAATAGTGGAAATTGATGACTTGAAAAAGATCACCAATTCACTGACTGTGCTCTGTAGTGAAAAACAGAAGCAAGAAAAGGTAAGAGTAAGCTGTGTGGGCAATGTGTATTTCATTAGGATGGTGATGCAGGCATAACATTCTTAACCAGTATGGGAAACCTAAAGGTCCAGCAGTTTACCGATACCACTTAAATTGGAATAGAACAGTACGAATATTAGTGTCTTTTACTCTTTTTTCTTCTTCTTCAAACAAACATGTTCACAGTCTTGGTTTCTGAATTAATAGTAGAAGTTGCCCCGGGTTGTCTAGGAATCTCCCTTAGAGAACGGAAGTTTTTCTGTGAGAAGAGGCTTTGGTGTCCCTTTGCGGTTTGCTGTACCAGATAAGATGCACTTGGAAGATCAAGTCTCATGAATTGACTCTCTTTTATCTTTAGCAAAGCAAAGCCAAAAAGAAGAAGAAAGGTGTGGTTCCTGGAGGGGGATTAAAGGCCACCATGAAAGACGATCTGGCAGATTATGGTGGTTATGATGGAGGATATGTACAAGACTTTGAAGATTTCATGTGACATTTTATCTTCTCTGGTGTCTTCTTTCTGTTGCCCACGATCCCTTCAACATGTAGCACAACTTCCTTTCCTTTCAGTTCTGCCAAATGCTACAATCAGAAGTGCAGTATCTTTTGTGCTGGTTACTTAACCCCTTGACACTTAGGTGCTAATGTGCAAATGAGGGAACTTGGATCTTGCTGCCAAGGGGTTAAAATTGGAAACCTCAGTTGCTACTAAATCATAGTTTTAAAACACAAACTTAATAATAATGTTGTCATTGTTGCTATCTGATTCTATAGCAGCAGTCAGTAAATTGGAAACAAAGGTTGCAACATGACAAGAAATTGTGTAGTATTGACCAGCACCATTCAGTAATACAGCCTTAACCATACCTCCTTGAACTACTTCATAACTTGTCAAGAAAAGCAGTTCGCAGCAAGGGCATGTGGTGTGCACCTAGTATTAAAATTGCTTTGTCTTAAAATTGAGCGTGAGGATATTAAACATACATTGTGAAGAAGACTGCTTATGTCAGAGTGAAGATACGGCGGCTGAAAAGCACTAGTTTGATACTTAAAAGTTAAATGACCAAAACCCTCCACTTTGAAGCTGAAGAAGGTAAACTCCATTATTGTATTACAAGTTGTGGAATCTCTTGAGTGCATTCTGTCTAGTGTATCAGACTACTCTACTGATGAAGTGCTTCAGATGGGGGAGGGAAACCCTACCTGCTTCATTTGCCTGATTGAAGTGTCTGAGGAACAAATCTCCTTTGTTCTTCCGGGCTGCAGTGGAATAACTTTAAACAGGGTTTTGGCATTTCCTTTCCTTTATAAAACATGCTCAGCAAGTTGCACCAGTTAACTAGTTTGGTAAATTGTTATGTTAACAATTATGACATCTGCAATGTTTTATAAAGCAACTAATTTAATAAAATCACTATTGTGAGGACTTAAATTTGGTGTTATCTCCCAAGAGATATTTTTGGAGAGTATAGAGCTCTTGGGACTAGAGTTCTCTATATACTTAACAAAGCTTAATAAATCCTTGATGAGTAGTTGATAGCTTTAAAACAAAAATGATTTGCCAGGCCCTTAATAGGGTCACACTAGAGCAACAAAGGCATAGGGCTGCTCTCCTCATTTTATTTATTTGGGGGAAATTATTTGGTTGTTTAGTTACTAAGGCCTAATTAAGATATCTAGAACTATTTATTTGGAGTAATTGAGCTTATAACTCAGGTATGGCTGTGAGCACAGATTGAGTGATCTTTATTACTTATATATTTTTAAGCAATTTAACCAAATTTTTAAAACTGTCAGACTCAAAAGTAGGTAGGGACAGAACAAAAAATGTTTTTAATTTCTTTTACATACAAGGGAGGTGGTCTCAATCAAAACTCTGTAGAACAATAAATAGAAGATGGACCATCCAAGTGATTTGAGAAATTAACAAAAAACAGTGACTACACAGCAATAATTACAGCCAATAAAAATTGTTTTAAGGCAGACAAGGGCTAAGATTTCCTTAGCAGTTAATGATGACATGCACTGAATTTTAAATCTATTTTATTATAGAGATCAGTTTCTAACTAATGGAAATGTATCATCTGTTCCTTAACTGTGTAAATAATATTAAATTCCTTTGAAACTGGAATCTGCAGGCAAAGGTATTCTTTAATCAATATTATATCATGTCCTAAAGTAAAAGCCATCTTGAGGAAGATGGGAATTTTGAACTTAATAACCATATCTATATAAAATGGTACAGAGGAACATCACTTTTATAAAATTGGAATTTCCTTGTAAAAACTCATTCTTGACCCACAAAGGACTGGTATGATCAGTTCTGGGTTTTATAATTTAGACAACAAAGCTCCCAATGCATTATACTGTAATCACAAACATCTGACAGTACCTCATTTTCGTGTAAGAAAACAGGCACCTGTATCAGAATCCATCTAACCTGCTAGCATGTCCTTTAGACAGCAGCCTGTCTGAGGGTCCTTCAGAAGCATATTCACAACATCATAAAGTTTGTGTTCATATGCCAGCTTGTAATACAAGTAGATATCTTCACAATATGTGAGAAACTTCTTCAGGTTTTTCACAGCCGTATCAGTTGGCTGGTGGTGTTTACATCTAGACAAAGACACAGGAATGTACAGGTTAAGGTACTGTATGTATCTTGAGCAAGGGCTGTCATCTCTGACACCGTTACCTATTGTGGAGAAGGTGCAATCTAGATAGATTCCGGGAAGTTAGGTAAGACTTAACTAGCATTAGGGGTGTCTGATGAATATGGAAATTATTTAGTTAAAAATGAGTGCCTTAATGCTTACCTTAATTAGAATAAATTAATACTCCAAAGGGGACCTCTGATGTTTAGAATCTTTGGCACCTCAGGCTGGCTGAATAGCTGTCCTACCAAAGTGTTTTTACTCATTTTTTTGCATACAAAAAGGTCTTTCTGGGGATTCTTGATATTTCTTTGCATCTCAAGCACAGGGGTGGCATGTTATTCTTAGCCATAAAATTCTTTCCTATGCCTTATCCAAAGCAGAGACATTTTAATACTTACTTTTTTGAAATCTCTTCAAATATACTGGTTCTTAATAACCTTTGCTGCTTAAATTCTTCCAGGTAATGAAAGTCTCCTTTAAGAATCACATGTTGGTATAGAATTTCAGCCCAATCAGGAACAAAGTCATAGGCCTCAGCCACAATAGAAGCCTTGAAAGGATGGAGGAAGAACACCATTAGAGCCTATCGAATGTGAGATTGAAGGCAGACTGTTTTAGCAAACTTAATGCTGCACATTCATACATTGACTGATCAGTACCCATCATACTGAAAGGCCCCGTCTATCAGAATTGGTGTCAGTTTGACATTTTGCTTCCCCTAAAACCCCAAAACACCGTCTTTGTTTCAGTGGGCGGGGGGGGGGGGGAGAGATATCTTTTCATACTAAACTTTATAAGGAACAGCAAAAGGGCCAATTTCCTGAAACCGTCTCTCATTAAAGGACTGTAACCAGGCCCCCAGAAGCCCTGGCTCCCTGTGCTAATAATTCCGGTGCGCCATCTGTAAAACACTGCACCTGGGAGGTGCTTGCTGAACCTCTAGCAGGGATGTTCCTCTGAACCTCAACTGTCTAAGGATCAGAAGTGTCTGCCTCCCTGCTGGCCTAACAATGTGTCTCACCATTCTCGAACCTTTGCCCAAACATGCTAGCAAGAAATACTACTATAGAAAGGCAATTTGTATGTCAGAAGCTAAGCCAGGAGAGCTGAACTGTCCTGGTTCTGACACTAGCCCTGAGACCTGAGACAAGTCAGTCTCAGCCCCATTAGAAACACTGCAGGAGAGAGGATGCTGGCTAAATTTTTCTTCCGTGCTTACCTGGTAGAACCGAGGTAGGGACATGATGCAGTCCATCAGCCTGTGGTGACCTAGGTTGATAAGCATTGTGTTTTGGCCAGTGTTCAGAAAGTGAATCTGCAGTGTTAGCAACTTGGTGATCCTGTGACAGTGCAGGGCCTGACGCACGCAGGAATCCTGAGGGGCAGGGTGGAGGGAGGCCAAATGAACTTTTGCCATCTCCCAATGAAGCCTCCAGCAACTAAGCCCTCCTCCCCGCCTCCCTCCCACCCCCACCCCACAGCCTTCTGCCACCAACTGCCCCATGACTCCCTCCCCCCTTCACTTGGGAGAGCCAGGGACAAAATTCCTGAAGGTACCAAGCTTCAAAACAGCCTGAACTAAGACTCCGTGGTTACCTTCGCATAACTCTCAGCGGCATCCAGCATCAGAGTCAGGGCCTTTAGCAGCAGCTGCTTCAGGTGGTGCCCATCCTTGATGCTGTCCTCTGCAGAGAAGTAAAAGAAATGAGTGCCTGACTCCCAAGGTTGACGACTCCACCACATCAGTGATCACGGCCTGAACTAGAAATACCCCAACTCATGCTCGCAGGGAGCAGATACGTCTCACTCAGTCAAAGGGTGTTGGGCCAGAAGTACACAGTCTAGAATTCAGTGCCCCATCTAGTTCATTTCTTTCTGAAACATCAAGGCAGGCTTACATGGCGTCAGCATACACATTGGTTCCTGACAGATGACCTGGACATACAGGCCACAAGAGACAAATGCCTTCTAAGTCCCCTTACATCACCAACCTGCCCAGCTGGGGCCCCATTGAGAAGCTGCTAGAAGCTGAGGTGGGTTTTAGTCAATATAAGGAGCTGCCTTTTTAAGCCCTAAGAACCATCCCTGAGGGTGCTACTATGACCTCTGCTCACCCCAGGGCTGAGACTCGATCAGTTTCAGCTGGATGCAGGCAGCTGCCTCGTGGTTCTCGCCGATCTCCCTGCACATGCTGAAGCACAGAGCAATCATGTTGTGTTTCTCACTGTCCCCAGGGCGGCAGCGTTTGATGTAGTCAAGGAGGGCTGTCTTCAGGGTACCGCTCTGCCCAGAAAAAAAGGAAATACCGAGGTCTCAACTGGGGACTGCAAAGCAGGCGGGCCTGGCTGAGTCTTAGTTCTTAAAGTTCCTTAAACACCCAAGAAAAAGGAAAAGACAAATCAATATAAAAGTTTATGCTATCCTGAATATAAGGAAACAGGTACATCCTCTTTGCTGTTGGGAGTGGGAACAGTAAAAACTCAGAAGGGAGAAGCCTTAAGAATGCACACGTGTTATTCTAACAACTCCATTCCTAGATCCATCCCTAAAGAAAGAAGCAGAAGTGCTAAGATGGATGTAACAAGGATATAGAATGGCAAAAATAATGCAGATGTTCAAAATAAGGGCTAAGAAAATACCTTGTAGCCATTTAAACATGTTGATTTGGGAAATATTCATAACATGTTTATCACGTGAGATCGACTTTCATATTTGGACAGCATGATAAAGCTTTATTAAAATGAAGCGTGTATGTATATGTTTGTGAGTATATATGCAAAGGAAAGGCCTATACCAAAATGTTAGCAATGGCTCTCTCCAGATGGTAGACACAGGGCTTTTTTCTGTGTTCTGTTTTCCAAGTGTCTTAACTTTGAATATGCATTACTTTTGTAATAAGAAAGTTATTAAAAGAATATTTAAATGTAGAAACAAAAATGCCTCAAAAACAATTTAAATACCCTTTGGGGGATCCTAAAGGTGTTCAGGACTTGTCTTCTGAAACTCAGCACTGAGGAGAATTTTTCTGCTTTGTCTCTTAATCCTGCTCAGCTCATCCCAAGTTCCCGGAAGCCAAAAGCGTACTGTGGTTTTTAAATCCTCAGAGGTGAAATTGGGCTGAAGCAATGAATCAGCCAAATAAGTGACTTGAAAACAGGCTCTGTGAGTGACATGCTGGGCGTCACATAAGCATGCTGAGGACAAGTGCCCAGAGTTGAGAGGCCTGGCAAATCTGGCCTTTGCTTCTGAGTCTCCTTTCTGGTCATCATAAATAGCTCCACAGCTTTCCTGGCCCAGGCCTTGCCATTCCTAATAGCAACACACTCTTCTATGGTCCCCTGAGAACTCCACTATAAAATTAGCCCTCAGACATGACCTTCTGAGCTGGTCAGTCCATTTCTGCAAGGCCCCTGTCAGAGCAGACACTAGATAGTAGAGACAGGTGAGAGCTGAGGTGAATATGCACAAACTTTTTTTAAACAGTGACTTTTTACAGTGAGGAAGGGAGAGGGATAGAGTTAGAAACATCGATGAGAGAAATATCAGCTGCCTCCTGCACACCCCCCACTGGGGATGTGCCCACAACCAAGGTGCATGCCCTTGACCAGAATCGAACCTGGGACCCTTGAGTCCACAGGCTGATGTTCTATCTGAGCCAAACTGGTTAGGGCTGCACAAACATTTTCTTCACTATTTAGCATCTGTTACCACATTCACTATCCGTAAGGTCTGAAATCTGTAACCTTACAACTTCTGGTTGCAGTACAAATCCTAGGGAGACTCTTAATTCCCTCCCTGCATATCTCAGGGGTCTACTTTGGTTGGAGTTATTTCTTAGAAAGTCTAAGACTCCTAGTACAGGTCATCCTGGAGTTTAAAATACCATACACATACTGGATCCAACTTCTTCCTCATCAGCACTTCGAAGTAGTGTTTTTTATGCAGCAATTCAAATATGTATGTCATCTCATTGTACCTTCCAATGCCAGTGAGGAGACGCACCTGCAAAGGGAGAAGGCAGCTCCCATCAGCATCGTTTGGAATTCTTTGAGTCAGACCACTACCCTCACCAAGGTTGCTTGCAGATGCCAGAGGTAGAAAGGCTAATGGCCAGGCTGCCTTGCTTAGCTTCCTCTCTCCTGTACCCAACCAAGGGCCGCTTCTGGGGGATTCAGAAATGCTAGTCACACCACTTGTTGCTGTTTTCTCTGTTGTCACTTGATAATGCTGAAGAGCCACCCTCCTGGGCACGCATTCTTACCCTTCTCACCACTCCTTACTGCAGTGCCCAGTGGCTTGTACAGCCAATTGGGTCAGTTTCAAGCCTAGAGTATTTGTGGAGGTGGAGGAGGCTTGTGTTAGCTTATTTCATTTCAGTGGTAAGTATGTCTGAGCCTTGTTTGGGGGGGAAATACAGTTGTCTGAGTCTCTGACAAGGGGGATAATACCTTGGAACATAGTAGGAATCCTCTCAATTTCTCTTGGAACAATCTGATTCTGACAAAACTTAGAACCGGAAGCAGAAGGCTGTCCAGCTGGCCACCAAGTAGGTAGTGGTATCCTGATGAGCAAACTCCGTAAGAATCAGTCTTGGACTAGCCCTCAGCCTATCTGCTCTCTCAAAAGTTTCCATAGGATGAAAGGAGGGGATGAGGGGATTACTTACCACCAGCCCATACTCCTCGTTGGGGGCCAAGTGGTTGTCTGTGAGCAGCCGAGCAGCCTGCAGAACTCGGATGATGCCCTCCATGTGGCATGTCAGCGTGAAGCAGTGATGGGCCAGAATCAGCAGCTCTGTGGCTGGTTAGGTGGGGTATTGGTCAGATAAGATTGTGAACCCTGGCTACCACTGTCTACACACAGCCTGGAGAAGGCTCTTTACCACTCCTCTGAGATCCCTGGCCACACCAGCTGCAGTTCTGGGGCAGCCCACCCCCACCCCTACCCCCCTTCCCCCTGCCATGTCTAAATTCTCGGAGACAGTACAATCTCTCCCCAAAGACAGTCATGTGGTGACTGCACAGTGACCTTTTGAGGCCCTGGCACATGAGAACAAGGAATCCTTGACTTTGAATGGAGAGACTCTGGAGACAAACTGATGGAGATCATGCCAACATGAACCCAAACCCAAGGGCAGTCTCTATCTCAGTGAAGAGCCTTGGGGCCTAATCAAGAGCCACGTGATGTTCTGCACTTCCTCTGAGAGAAGAAGAGAGGGAAACACCTATTGGCTGCCTCCTGCATGCGTGCTGAGCAGGGGTCAAATCTGCAACCTGGGTATGTGCTCTGACTGGAACCAAACCCTCCACCTTTGGTGCACGGGGTGACACTCCGACCGAGTGAGCCACACTGGCCAGGACAATATTCTGCCCTTCTGATGGCTTTCTAGATTAACGAAAGATTTGACTACCTACAAATTCCAAACTATTATACATAAGCACTGTAAGTTAATTAAAAGGCCAATTGGGAAAATGTTTGCAGTGTTGAAGACAGAAACAGGGTTCTCAGCCTTAATGCATGTTGTGTCTTTTGGGTTTTGGTACCTGTGGAGCCCTCCCCAAACCCGATTACTGAGCAATCTTGGCTACTAATCCTTCAGGCTGTGGTTTGGACATTTCCTCCAAAAACATTTCTTGGCCCCATCAGACTGGCTCTCACTGTGTCACACCCCCAGTCTGGGACCCAGGGCCTGCTGCTTATGTCCACCACAGCCCTGGTTCTTAAGAGTATTTAGCACACAACTGGCACTCAGTAAATACAGGTGAACTGGACTGGGAAGAGATATAGAAAGTTATTTTTAAAGTAAAATTGTTCAACCTTTAAAAATTTCCATTTATTTGTTCACCAAATAATGCCTTTTTTGGGGTCTATTAAATTTGCAAAGTGAAATGGGTTCCAGGAAATACTATTTTCACCTCTGCTTAAATGGGAGTAAGAAGTGAACTTTTTTTCTGGAGTAAGAGTTGGCTTTAAAAATGTCATAGAAAGATGTTAATGACAGCATACTTTTGAATCAGAGTTCATCTTAGGGAAATAATTATAGGTGTGCACATAGATTTGCCTATAAAGATGTTTGCCATTTGTATTAAAACAGCAGAAAATTGGAAATAATATAAAAGTCCCACAATAGGGTCTATAATTAAAAAAGAAAAAGAAAAAGATTTTTAGCTCTAACCAGTTTGGCTCAGTGGATAGAGCATCAGCCTGCAGACTCAAGGTCCCAGGTTCCATTCCAGTTAAGGGTCCCAGGTTCGATACCTTGGTTACGGCACATACCCAGTAGGGAGTGTGCAGGAGGCAGCTGATCGATGTTTCTCTTTCATCGAGGTTTCTAACTCTATCCCTCTCCATTCCTCTCTGTAAAAATAAAATAAATAAAAAAAATCAATAAAACATTGTAAAAATTTGATTTTAGAGAGGAATGGAGAGGGAATGAGAGAGAGAAACATCAATGAGACAAATGTCGATTCGTTGCCTCCTACATACCCACACTGGAGAGCAAGCTGGCAACCCAGGCCCGTGCCCTGGCCAGAATCAAACCGTGACCTCCTAGTTCATAGGTCGATCTTCAACCACTGAGCCACACCAGCTGGGGCAGGGTCTATAATTTTTAATTACATGTAAGAGAAATACTGGCCCTAACCAGTTTGGCTCAGTGGATAGAGCATCAGCCTGCAGACTGAAAGGTCCCAGGTTCGATTCCGGTCAAGGGCATGGACCTTGGTTGCGGGCACATCCTCAGTAGGAGGTGAGTAGGAGGCAGCTGATTGATGTTTCTCTCTCATTGATATTTATAACTCTCTACCCCTCTCCCTTCCTCTCTGTAAAAAATCAATAAAAATATATTTTTAAAAAAATACTGTGTAACGATTAAATATGATATAGGATATCCTCGGAAGAGGATTCACAACAAGGAATAAATATTTTTTTTAAATTAGTGTTTTTTAAAAATGATATGGGAGAATATTCAATGTCATGGAAAGCTGTTAATGACAGCATATCCGTAAATTAATTATAAACAATATGCAAAACAATGTTATTTTTGAAAAATAAAAACCTATTGATTTGCATAGAAAAAGATCAGAGGGACACATACTTCTGAATGCCTGTAATGAACCAGACATTGTGGAAAGAGTGAACTTTTAATTCACACAGACTGGGTTCAAACACCAGTTCTGCCATTTAATAGTTAATCAACTTCACTAATTATTTGTCAACGGTGACAATAATATACACTTTATAAGGTAATTTAAGAGTGAAATAAGATAAATATGCCAAATGTTAAAAGGTTACCTTTTTGTGTGATTTTAAATTTGGGACTGCTTTTCCATACATATTCTCTAAACTTTCTTTAATGAACTTATGGCTTTCTACCAAGGACTTACAAACTATTCTGGAGGAGTAGGGATTGAGAGCAGGAAGGATCCAAACTGAGTTTTGGAAAGACTGGCTCTAGAAGACTTTTAAAGACCTGTTTGGGCCCAAAACATGTAGAAAATGGCCAGGAACTTACTGCAAGACAATTCCCCACGGGGAACGGAGGGAATCTTTTCCAACAGCTTCATGCCTACCAAGGTGCGGTCCTGACACAGGGTGGTCAGCTGAAGAAATGCCTGGCTTTCTTCTGCTGGGGTGACCATCTGCTTCTGTCCTGTACAGACAGGCGTGGGGAAAGGCACTGGTTTTACCTTGAGAGAAAGACAGGGGCCCCATGCTGCCCCGGCCTGGGCACCAGGAAGTAATGCTGAAGGAGTTCCCAGTGCAGCTCTCCTCTTGGCCTAGTGGTCAGCTGACACAACAGCAGAGAGAGGCACAGCTACTCTAAGCAGAATTGTAAAACAACAAATGAACAAAAAGCAATTTTAACAAAATAAGCGCAATGCATTCTCCTCTTATGAATGAAACTTGGCAACTTGAGAGGGCAACATGCAGGACATATGAGCATAACATCCAAATCCTTAACACTAGGGAAAGGCTGAGGAAGCCTGAGGGCAGAGTACCTGCTCCCTCCGATGGGGACAGTAGCTCCCGGGTCACCTCTTCGGCCACAAGGTCAGCCACCCTGTCAGGCTCCAGGCCCTGAGTGCTAATGAAGGCTTGGGCTCGCTTGCATCGGTCAGACTGCGGAGAGGCCAAGATTGCTCGGAGTACGGCCTCACCATCCTGGGCAGCAACATCTGTGTAGGAACAGCCCAACTCCTGAGAAGAAGACAAGTCAGTCAAAGCTCCTGTTAGGAGCCAGGAAAAAGCTAGCCCCTTCTGAATTCTGATGTGGACAGGCTGAACTGCTTGCCATGAGTAGTAACCTTAAAAGAAGCAAGCACTGTATTCTAGTTCTTTCCATCATTTCACCAATGAGCTGGATCCAAGGAAGAGAAAGTCTTGTCTTCAAAAAGCATCAGATAACTTATCTTGTACTGAACATTGAGTTTTTCAAATGTTCTACAATGTGAGAAAGTTAAATAAAAGGCAAGAGCCCGTCCGTGTTATTCCACAACAGCTGCATAACCCTCAATTTCCAAAGAAGTCTCTGAACCTAAGGCAAATGGCATTACTGCTCCGCTTTATGTCTCTCGTGCTCTTCCCACTGCACCTAGTGTCTACTGTTTCTCTCCTTCAGTCAGCACAAAGCCACAAACAGTTCCTGGCTGCACCATTCCTGTCTTCAGGGTCATCATATTCCATTTTATTTTATTCTAAAACTTATTTTGGGCTCTCCCTGACAGGAAAGCTCTTGAAGCAAGACCTAAGATATTAGGGTTAGACGGGACCCTCGTGGTCAAGTCATTTATAGATCAAGAACAAAGGTTTAAAGAAGTGAAACGTCTGGCTCACTTCTGGTTGGCTAAGCTGCAGCCAGGACTCAAGTCACCATGGCACTTGGGTGGGCATCCTCCCCATCATTTCCAAGAAATGATTTTTATCCTGACAAAAGCTCCACTCCCAGGACATGATTATTATCTAATGGGCTGACTTGGCAATGTGCAAAAGCTACCTCCAGATTCCCACTTCTCCCTCTCAGAGGGAGGTTCCTATGAGCCCTCCACCCTCCCCTTTGGCACTACCTTGGAAAGTTCATACAGACAGAGGATCCGTCGGCAGTAGTTCTTCCCATGGAGGCATTTGTGTGTCAGAATTTCCAGATTAGTCACCATTTCATCACTGGTTGGCAGCATCACAAATGACTGACTATCCAAACTTGAAGCTAGAAGCAAATAGATTGAAGGTGGTGATGATTTAGCTGGTAAGTTAACCTCTCTTCAGCCTATTATTGCTCTGCCTCTCTGCCCACAACTTACTGCACTGTACCTCCATCAGTCCCCCTGGGACTGGGTCCACTAACACTTCTTTCATTGCCTTCTTCCAGGCATCCCAGACTGAAATACTTCAAAGGCCTCATAGGCTACAAAAGCCACCTAACCAACACTCTAGAGATGATCACCATAATCTACCCCCTCTCCTAATTTCCCTTATCAAGTAAGTCACCAGGTCTAGCTGACTGTATGTACAAAACACCTCTCCATCACCACCTTAATTCCAGCCTTCATCACCTGGCATCTAAGAGGCACTGTTGACAGCCACCCCTCTTCCCCGGATCAATCTTATACATACTAATCAGGGTCTTTCTTAAAATGCAAATCACACAAAAAAAGGGTCATCTGGATAGATAACTTAAGATCATAGTAAAATTAAAATCCACTCCTGATTAAAAACAAACAAACAAATGCTCTCAGTCTGAAATAGAAGAAAGCTTTCTTAATTTGATCAAGTGTATCCATTAGGGAAAATAGTATAATAGATTATTTATATAATGCTATTTCTAATAGCAAAAACAAAATTGAAAATTTTAAATCTGTATCAAGAAAGCATTGTTAAATAGTAGTACATCTATACAGAATACTCTGGGACCATGTAAAAGAATGAGGCCGTCCTCACTTTGGCAGCACATATACTGAAATTGGAACAATACAGAGAAGATTAGCACGGTCCTTGCGCAAGGATGCATGGGGGGGGGGGGGGGAGAATGAGATCAATCTATAATTACTGAAAGAAAAAAATGTAGAACAATGTAATTTCATTTTTGTAAGAAAGAAATTGTGCATGTGTGTGCATGCACTTGCACACACAAGTCCACAAGTAGAAAGAAATGCATGCCAAGCAAGTAAAATACGTTGTTTTACGAAATTTGGTGGGGGTGCTGTTGGGTGGGTAAATGATTACACTTTATGCATTTATGTACTGTATTATTTGCTACACTAAACATGCAATAATTTTGCAATTAAGATATGCATTAAAAAATACACTTTAGGAGACAACTAAGATGGCGGCATAGGTAAACATCTGAACTTGCTGTTGTGCACAACCATATCAAAACTACAACTAATAGACAAAACGAATATCATCCAGAACCACAGGAAGGCTGGCTGAATGGAAATTCTACAGCTAGAAGGAAAGAGAAAAATGCACTGAGTCTGGTAGGAGATACAGAGGTGTGAAAGTGTGGAGTTACAGAGGCACATGCGAAAGGTGCTGGCAACTGGGCACACTGTTGTCTTTTTCAATTGGGAGGGAGATACAAGCTCCCGATTGCTCTGAACTCCAGTCTGGGAGAGACTCTGGGGACCCAGGCTCAAACAGAAACTGGACTGTCTGGCATCGGGCGAACTTGAGGGCAGCTTTCTCTCAGAGTTACCTGTAGCAATCATTGTTCCTGCACAGTGCTGGTGCCATGAGACACAGAGACCTGAGGACCTCTTCAGGGCAGGGCTGATGGTCAGCCATTGCTGTTTGCTCCACCCCGTGATTCCCTGAGACTCCACCCCATCCAATTTACAACCCCACCCAATTTACAACCCCATCCAAACTGTGTACAGAGGCTTTTGCAGAATGGACTGGCCTTTTGCAATCTAAATCCTAACCAACTGCTACTGGGTCAGAGAGCTCCTGAGTCTCCAAAAGAAGGCCCAAGGCTGAAGAGCAACTTGCATTGCTTCACAGCTGGGCCTCATCTGGGCATCTCCAAATCCCAAACAAAGAGGAGGAATCTGCAAATCTCTCTATAGTTCCAACTGAGTGGCCTTAGGCAGTGGCTGACTTTGCACCTCCTTGGAGATTCAAGAGCCCATGTACCCAGTGGTGAGATCATCTAGATTATAACTTCACATCCATAAGAGACACACTCAGGGGGCAAACTCAGTGAACACCAAAGCCCCACTGAAGCAAGTCTTATCCCATAAGGGTGTCTCCTGCACAGAAGTTCTCCCATTGTACACACAACTGGTCCTCACAGCCTATTGGCCTGGAGGTCAATTCTCCCCAGTGATTCCAATAGCAATCAAGGCTTAACTACAACAAGATTGTGCACACAGCTCAGAAAAGGGGTGCACCAAGAGTGTCCACCTCAGGAAAATAGGGAGGTTGAGCCACTGGGCCCTACAGGACACCTAGCACACAAAGCCACTCTATCAAAAGGAAAGCAGCCAAAATGCAGAGACAAAGAAACAGGTCACAAATGAGAGAAATGGAGGAAAGCAAACTACTGGATATAGAGTTCAAAACCACAGTTATAAGGTTACTCAAGAATCTTCTAGAAATCTCAAGAATATGAAAGAGGATCAATTAGAAATTAAGCATACACTGACTGAAATAAAGAATAATATACAGTCCTAGCTGGATAGAGCACTGGCCTGCGAACTCAAGGGTCCCAGGTTCGATTATGGTCAAGGGCATGTACCTTTGTTGTGGGCACATCCCCAGGAAGGGGTGTGCAGGAGGCAACTGATAGATGTTTCTCTCAAATCGATGTTTCAATTTCTCTATCCCTCTCCCTCTCTGTAAAAAAATCAATAAAAATATATATTTTAAAAAGAATAATATACAGAGATCCAACAGCAGACTAGAGGATTGCAAGAATCAAATCAAAGATTTGAAATTCAAGGAAGCAAAAAACACCCTACCGGAAAAGCAAAAAGAAAAAAAGAATCCAAAAATATGAAGATAGTGCAAGGAGCCTCTGGGACAACTTCAAGCATACCAACATCCGAATTATAAGGGTGTCAGAAAAAGCGAGCAAGACATTGAAAACCTATTTGAAGAAATAATGACAGAAAACTTCCCCTGCCTGGTGAAAGAAATAGACCAGCAAGTCCAGAAGTGCAGAGAACTCCAAAAAAAAGGTAACAGAAAGAAGACCATACCAAGACACATCATAATTAAAATGCCAAGAGCAAAAGACAAAGAGAGAATATTAAAAGCAGCAAGAGAAAAACAATTAGTTACCTACAAGGGAGTACCCATAAGACTGTCAGCTGATTTTTCAACAGAAACTATGCAGGCCAGAAGGGAGTGGCAAGAAATATTCAAAGTGATGAAGCTACAACCAAAAATATTTTACCCAGCAAAGCAATCATTCAGAATTGAAGTGCAGATAAAGAGCTTCACAGATAAGAAAAAGCTAAAGAGTTCATCACCACCAAACCAGTATTATATGAAATACTGAAAGGTTTCTTTAAAAAGAGGAAAAAAAAGAAAAAAGATAAAAATTATGAACAAATACATATTTATCAACAAGTGAATCTAAAAGTCAAGTGAATTAAAAATCTGAGAAACAATAAACTGGTGAATATACAGTAATAGAATAAGGGGCATAGAATGGGAGGGGATTAATAATTCTCAGGAGGATAGGGGTGTCTGTGAGAAGGGTACAGGAAGAGACTGGACAAAAATCATACACCTATGGATGAGGACAGCAGGGGGGCGGTAAGGGCAGAGAAAAGTTATGGGGGGGAGGGGAAAGAGAAACAATTGTAATAATTTGAACAATAAAGATTTATTAAATTAAAAAAATAAAATAAAAATAAAGAAGAAATCACACCAATTCTAAATAATTTTTCAAAAAATAGAAGAGGAAGAGGAGGAACTTCCCAACTCATGAAACCAGCATTACTCTAATACAAAAATGAAATAGTAAGAAAAGGTACAGATTAATATTGCTCATAAACATAAGTACAAAAATTCCCAAATAGCAAACTAATTCCATTAATATATGTCAATAATAATAATGCACTGTGACCCAGTGGGGTTTATCCTGGGAATGCAAAGCTGGTTCAATATGAAAAAAAAAAAAAATCAATCCTTGTAATCCACCATATTAATAGTCTAAAGAAGAAAATACACGTGATCATATCAATGGATGTAGAACAAATATGACAAAATTCAGCACTGATTCAAAACTCTCAGCAAACCAGGATTAGAGAGAAACATTCAACATAACAAAGCACATCTTCAAAACACCTACAGCTTTCATACTTAATGATGAAAGACTGAATGCTTTTTCCCTAAGATCAGTAATAAGACAAGAATATCCACTCTGACCATTTCTATCCAACATCATACTGGAAGTCCTAGCCAGTAAAATAAAGCAAGAAAAGGAAACAAAAGGCATACAGATTGGAAAGGAAGAAATAAAACGGTCTCTATTTCATGACATGGTTATCTTTTAGAAAATCCTAAGGAATCCAAATAAACCCCTAAAGTAAGCAAGTTTAGCAAGGTCACAGGATGTACACTATCAATGTATAATTGGAAACATGGTAATTGTATAGAATAAATTTCAATGAACTATTATAATTACAAGTCAGATGCAGTCCCTTTAATTTTGATGCACAGCTAGTTAAAAGACGTGTTTCTACTTCATCAACTAGTTAATTAACTAGTTTATGGATTACCTAGAAAAGAGTTGCTATCCTTTTAACAGTGTAAATATTATCTCAAGAGACCCTTCTTCCTGGAAAGAGTGTCAACACACTGGCTGGGACTGGGGGCAGTCTGACCTCCTTTACTTACTGCTTGAGACCTTCCTTAGAGGAATGCGAGGTTCTTTTTCTTCCTCCAGCAGCTCAGCACTTTGTAGGAGAGCCTGGATCTCTGGATGCAGGTCATCCACACTGGCTTCCCCTGAAGCCAGTGCTCTGCAGTGCAGTACCAAGGCAACATCTTGGTTGTAGAAGTGAAAGTGCCGGCATACTCTACTCGCCTCATGCACACAGCCATCATCCAACAGGCGCCCAATCAAAAAGTTCAGTGACTCCTGCTCCTTCCAATCTAGTCTGTTCTCACAAGTCTCTTTGGATGGAAGGCCATTAAGTTCTAAATATTTTGATGTGTTCAGAGCAGCCAACTTGGAGAATGAAAACTCACTGGCTAAGCTGTCAAAGGAGAGTTCACCACTAGTTGAGATCTGTTGAGAAAATCTGGGCTCTACTTCCTCCTGATTTCCTCTGAGGGTGTGCTGGGTGATACGGCAGAGCCAGATCTGCTTCTCCAGCTCCTCCAGGTTCTCCACAGGGACCAGGTCGTCCTGAGCAAGCCAATGCCCTGCCAGGGTTAGCAGCAGATGGCACTCCTCAGTGCTGCTCTGTCCCTCCTCAGTAGGGTACTCACACACCACAAGGGCCTGGGCTGAGAAAAAGGAAGAAGCTGCTTTGCTTGAAATAAAATTTTTCTTAAAATTCTCATGGCATTTTTTCCAGAAGTCAATTCTTGTTTGTTTCAGGGACCACTGGTCAATGTGTTTTAAGGTCTGCATTTCCTGTGTTACCTGTGAAATTTAAAAAATATCATAAATGCTACTGTCCCCTAATTATACCATACTTTTCAAAACCACGTCAGAACATGAGGCATGGCTACAGATATTCCTGAGTGTTTTATCTGGAAAGTTAAGGAATGGAAAACAATTCTAAATTTATCCAATTGAATGGGGTTCAAGGAGCAGCCACCTAAGCTAACCTTATATTTAAAGCATACATTCTTGCCCAGTCAACGTGGCTCAGTGGTTGAACATTGACCTATGAAACAGAAGATCACGGTTCAATTTCCGGTCAGGGCATATCCCCAGTTGGGGTTGTGCAGGAGATAACCAATCAATGATTCTCTCTCATCATTGATGCTTCTATCTCTCTCTCCCTCCCTCTCTCTCTCCAAAATAAATAAAAATATGTTTTAAAAAAGAATAAGAAATCATTGAATTTGTTTTAAAAAAATAAAATAAAGCATGCATTCTTCATCCTGGCCAGTATGGCTCAGTTGGTTGAGCATCATCCCATGTCCCAAAGGGTTGCTGTTCAATTCTCAGTTAGGGCACATATTCAGGTTGTGGGTTCAATCCCCAGTTGGGGTGCACGTGGGAGGCAACTGATCGATGTTTCTCTCTCTTCTTCCTACTCTCTCTCTAAAATCAATAAAAACATATTTAAAACTAATAATAAAGCATACATTATTAAAAAATGGGAATTCTAGGCTCATCCATTTCTGAAGCTAATATGTATCCAAAGTAAAAAAGCCTCATCTCCTATAAATTGCATATCTCATTTGATTTTTGGTTTAATGATGGTTCAAAAAGCTAAGATTTGTTGTTGTTGTTAATCCTCACCCAAGGATATTTTTTCCATTGATTTTTAGAGAGTAGAAGGGAGGGGGAGAGAAACATCGATGAGAGAGACACATTGACTGGTTGCCTGCTGCATGTGCCCCAACCAAGTCCAGGAATCGAGCTTGCATCCAAGGTACATACCCCTGACAGGAATCAAACCTGTGAATCTTCAGTCCACGGGCCAATGCTCTAACCACTGAGCAACTGGCTAGGGCAAAAAGCTAAGACTTTAAATAACTTAAAAGACTTATGTTACCTCACCTCTTCAATTACCAAGTTGTCCACAGGTAACTCAGCTAATTCTGCTACCCTCTTAGCCAAAGAAAACTGTCCATTTGTCTCCAGTTTTTCCAAAATAGATTTACATTCATGCTGAAAATTCTGAAGGCTATAGCTGGTAATAACCACATTATTGATGGCTATGGATGTATCCTTCAAAATTTGGCTAAGAATATACAGCTTCTTTACATCTGGACCTGTACCAAAGAAAAGAGGATATAAACATTTCATTTAAAAAAATGCCCCTATGGCATTTCAAGAGTAACTAAATATCAGGAGGGGAATATGTATATTTAAAATAATGTGATTAAAGAAAAAATAAAAAACCTCTTTTTCTAGCTTGGTTGACGAGCAGAGGAACCATAGGCAGCTCCTTTATAGTAAGACCTATTAGAGGTTGGCACATGGACTCAACTCACACATCTGGCTTTAAACACAGAGCAGAGGTTGGTGGTCTACTACGTAGTAGGAACTCAAGTCAATCTTGGGAAGATTTGGCCGTTCATTCAGGTCCGTCCCATCTCTTTCTGGATTTTTCTCCTACCTGAACAAATTTGTTTTTATGATTGTTCATCTGTTCACTCAGTGCGGTGTCATGTGTATTAAGACACAGACTTGTGGTGCAGCTGGCCAGTAGCGCTGTCTTCAGAATGGAGCAGCACCTGCTCCTCTGGATGTCTATCTTTTAACCCAGTGAGACCCAGCTGAGCTCTTCCTGGTGTCCCTAGGAAATTCTCATCATCAGGAACATTAGGAATTCTCTGCCAACAACTCTTGTGGCTGTGTTTACCCCCACTCCAAATACTCTGTGAAAATCCTGTGTGCCCTACCACAGAGGAAGAGCATGAAAGCATTCTACAGGAGCCTACTCCCAAGTCACCTGCTGAGCTGTGGTCTGATTTAGAGAATTCAGAGACAGTGAGACATCCTGCACAATAAAAACCAGTGTGAGCATGCTGAGTTTCTTTGCTGGCATCATATAAAACACAGATTAGAATTTTTTTTTTTCTATAAGCACTTATGCGGTACTCGCACGCAAGCAAGCGCGCGCACACACACAGACACACACACACCACCACCACACTATGAAAATAGAAATAATTAAATTATTGTATATGAATAAAAGCATTATAGTAATGTTAACAATCTAGACAATCCTTTTAATTTTTTAAGGATAGAGTAACTCTAGCAAGAAAAAAAGGAAATTCATTTCTGAAAACAAAATTACTACAGATCAATGAAAACACCAATGTGAAAAGAATCTACTTTCTTATCTACATAGTCATCTTCTATGCCCTACATTTAGGAAATAGCCCTCGCTTCTCCCAGTTATCAGCCCTGCAGCCTACAACAATGGCGCTGAGCCTACCATTCTCTGTGTTCTCTGCAACTCTGAGCTCTCCAGCTGAACGCATGTGAGTTTAAATGTGATAAAATAACCCTAGTAGTGAAAACATCAGAATCTAGTGTAAAAGAATAACATTATTATTCAACAAAAACTTGAAATTATCACAAATAGAATTTAAGGCAATATTGGTTTTATTCAATAATCAACAAGCTTAGAGACTATCAATTTCTGGAAACACCTGCAAAAAATAAGCATAATTTTTCTCTGAGACCTTCAAAATGAATTAGACATTCCGGAAACAAGCCTGTGACTCTGAGCAGAGATGATATGTTAAGATGACTTGTAAGAGAAAGGAATGACAGTGACAGGGCACTGCAGAGACTAGCCAGGGGGATCTGTGGCTATTTGACAACTGCTGTTGGATGAGTTGATAGTTCTATTACTTATGTTATATCCTATTGTGCTTTGTTTTAAATGTTTTAACCATGATTGAAGTTTCATAACCTCTCCTTTATATCCTTTCATGAACTTTAAATATATATATGTATATGTATATGTATATGTATATGTATATATATGTGTGTGTATGTGTGTGTGTGTGTGTGTGTGTGTGTGTATATATATATATATATATATATATATATATATATATAATGCATTTTAATTTCCAGATGCCCTTCTAAAACAGTTTCAAGAATGGACAGCTAACTTCTTAACAACAACTTAACTGTAAAGACTGTCTTACCCTCAGAGAAGAGATGTTCTATCCCAACGAACAGCTGTAAAAGCTTTCCCAGCTCAAACTGGGTCCTGCACTGCTGCAGCATAAGCTTCAAAAGAAAACACACCTGCTCCTTCAGCCATGGGGCAGGGATGACAGCGTGGTCCTTTATGGCTGCTGTTTCAAGCTATAAAAAAAGAGACAGGGTCAGGGAAAGTGGTTTCACAGGGACAACTCAAAACCTCCAAATGTGGGAATATCTACGAAAACCAAACTCATCAGAAGTGATGATCACAAAGGGGGATGCTTCCTCAGGACCTCTCTGTGGCAGGAATCAGCAGTGCGCCTCTTTGTGGGGCATCTTGGTATAGAGAACTGTGTGTGTGAAAGACAAAGATGGGAAAGAGGCCCAAGACTACCTCGGAGTGAACTGATGCAAATTCGTCCCTTAATGACTAACAGCCCTGTGAGCTGCTGTGAAATTAAGCAGGCATGTTTCACTTAAGAGCTTCTTCAGAGGATACAGGGGCTGCCCTTGAATCCAGAAGACTGGCAATTCACATATGAAAGAAGACCTCTTAGAAAGACTTGCTTAACACTGCCTCGCTGGTTCTATTAGTTAGCTTATCCTATATAATAAAAGGCTAATATGCAAATAGACCAAATGATGGAACAACCAGAACAACCGAACACTGGTCGCTACGACATGTGCTGACCACATGGCGGGCATTGGCTGTGGCGGGATGGTGGAGCAGGTGAGTGGGGGTGCCAGACCAAGGCGGGGCACCGGTCGCTGTCATTGGGGCGAGCCTCTGGTGGTTACTGAAAATTCTGTGCTCTCATGTGCAACAGTCCCACCTGCCGCTCATACCCACTGCTGGTGCCCAGTGTCGGTCCCAATCACTCAGTGCAAGACTAAGGTATATTTCTTTTGGACAGGCTATCTTGAATTGTTAGCACATGGCCCATGCATCACTATACTCTTCCCTAGTATCCACAGCAAATACCATGAATTCCTTTCCCACTGAGCTTGGCTGCCGCATCAGGCTACTGATCAGAGTTAGCACATTGGATGAAACCTGTCACTCCTGGAACTGCGGTGATTTATAAGCAAGGCTTCTGCCACCCCGTCCTGATTCGCTGTCTCTGGAGCAGTGCAAGTGATTTCATTTGAATTACACCATATAACAGCTATTCACCCACGGTCACATCCCCACTACTAGCAGACAACAGGCCACTCTAACAAATTTCAGACCAGCAAGAAAGAGCATGTTATTCTAACTTACAGTTTCAAGGCTCTTCTGGAACTCCAGAAGTTTAGCATGGGCTTTCTTATAATTCTTGAAGAACATACAGAGTTCATACATCTCCAACATCAGTAGTAATGGGGAATCCTTTGAAAAAGAGTTTGAAAGAAATTACAAAATCCTGCCCAGCTGGCATGGCTCAGTGTTTAAACATTGACTTATGAACCAGGAGGTCATGGTTCGATTCCGGTCAAGGGCACATGCCCAGGTTTCAGGCTCGATCCCCAGTAGGGGATGTGCAAGAGGCAGTGGATCAATGATTCTCTATTATCATTGATGTTTCCATGTCTCTCTCCATCTCCCTTCCTCTCTCTAAAGTCAATAAAAATATTTTCTTTTAAAAAGACAAAATCCTGAACTTAATACTATTTTTTCATGAATAAGCTTCACAGAATTCAATTACGTACGTTAAAAAGAAAGGCAGTTACATCACTCAAAGGTCCGTTTTCTGTCTATTCTATACTTGGTCCCACACACAAGAGCAGGACTTGGTCCACTAATGGTGCTGGGAAACCTTTACATACACGCATGGATACTGGGCTCCAGTGACCTGCCAACCTCCTGCCTGCTGCCTGTGGCATCAATCCATACAGTTCCATCACTTCAGTGGGAGTCTTTCAGTCAAGAGCACAGGAGTCTTAGAATTAGTATGAACTTTTAAGTACACTGCTTACTAAATTACTTTGAGACCCTGCGCATGTTACTTAAGTTCTGTAAATCATGGTTTATTTCTGCAAACAATGAGGATAAAATCACTTTATAATATTCTACTTTTTGGGGATTATTGTGTGAATTGACTAAAATAATGTATAGAAAGCACTCTCCTAAATTAACGGTAGTACTATTATCATTATTTGTTGTGGGTTACAAAATAAATCTAGGCCTGGCTGGTGTGGCTTAATGGTTGAGTGTTGACCAATGAAGCAAGAGGTCACAGTTCAATTCCCAGTCAGGGCACATGCCCAGATTGCGGGCCCATCCCCAGTAGGGGAGCATGCAGGAAGCAGCCCATCAATGATTCTCTCTCATCATTGGTATTTCTATCCCTCACTTCTTTCCTCTCTCTGCAATCAACAAAAGCATATTTAAATAAATAAATCCAAGAATGGAAATAACTGGATATTCTAAAGTAACCCTTTTAAACAGGAAAGAAATGAAGTGACTGTCACTACCTTAAAGAAAAGCTGGAAACCTCTGATGAGAGTGTTGCTCTTCTGCCTTGTTAATAATGTCCTCCAGATGACTGAGAGGTCCTCAAGGTCCCATGGATGGCCCTCCAATGAATCCTGAATGTGTCCCATTGCTTCAGCTGCAATACTGTCCTCCACAGAAGCGATGGTCCAAACACAGAGACAAGAAATAGCACTGGCATCCTACCATTGAATAAAAACTTTTCAAAATAAAATCAACAACTGGGCTTGGATTACTGACAGAGGAAGTTTCCAGCAATGCTACAACTACAGATGGCTATTTCCTGTTCAGGAAAAATCACCTCACTAAATTGGTTAAAATGGCTTTAAAAATCCTTCAAAGGTGAAACAAATTCTAATGAACAACCAAGGGACTTTTGTAAACCATCCTGTAGGGCACATGTGTCAAACACAAGGCCCGCGGGCCAAATCCGTCCCGCCAGGCCTTGCAATGTGGCCCGCACCGCGCTGTCATCACTGCACTCCGCTGCGTTTCCATCACAATGACAGTTTATGACTGTTCAGTAAACCATTCGGCCCGCGATTTAGGCTGGATTTTAGATTTTGGCCCCTTCTCTGATTGAGTTCGACACCCCTACGTAGGGTATGGCAGGTGAAAAGGCCAAGAGATTGAGAGGATATATGTGAAAGTCACGGAAGTACTAAGTATAAGAAAACACAACTGCCCTCCCCAGAACTGCTGACCAAGGGACTAGACTCTTGGCCCTAGTAGGGGTGTTGAACTCAATCAGAGAAGGGGCCAAAATCTAAAATCCAGCCTAAATCGCGGGCCGAATGGTTTACTGAACAGTCATAAACTGTCATTGTGATGGAAACGCAGCGGAGTGCAGTGATGACAGCGCGGTGCGGGCCACATTGCAAGGCCTGGCGGGACGGATTTGGCCCACGGGCCTTGTGTTTGACACATGTGCGGCCTAGAGTATCCTTCTTCCCTACTCAGAGGCAGTGGTGGTCAGTCCACCAAAGCATCCTTCTCTGTGACTGCCCACCAGGAACCAAGGCTCTGACCACTTCAGCTACTATATGTCAAGGCACAGGAAGTGCGCTGGATGACCACACTGGAGAAGCATAAAACGTTGCAGTGACCTTGGAAACATGCTGGAGCCTCAATATCATCATTCCTCCTACATCCTCTGACTATCAGTCTTTCCTGTCCCCCCCCTTTTTCTATTATCCTCTGGGTTCTTAATGATTCTCACCTGCAGACATGAGGCTAGAACACTTAGAATAGGGGCCTGTTGTTTTACTGCTTCAGCCAGGAGCCAGCACCAGGAGTGTGGCTCCTCTGAGCACCGGAGCAGAATTTCAAAGAAATCAGTTCTCTCTTCTTTGCTCTTCTGGAGGTCCTGGGAGGACCTGTTGCAGACTTGATCACTATCCTTTCTGGAGTTGGACAGTAAGGGCAAGTTCTCAAAAGCTAGCCTTAAGTGGTCTTGAAGGACAGGGCTGAAATATTGGAGAAGAGATTTCACCTAAAAAACACATTAGATGTTTAAAACAGACAACCAAGTTATTTTTATTTCTCAATTATAGTTGATATTCAATATTATTTTATAGTAGTTTCAACTGTACAGCATAGTGGTTAGACAATCATATACTTTATGAAGTGATTCCCCAATAAATCTAGCACCCACCTGGCACCATATGTAGTTACTACAGTATTATTTATTATACTAGAAGTCCGATACACAAAAATTCATGCAAGAGTGGGCCTTCCTTCACCAGGCTGCTGGCACCGCCTTCACTCCGACTGGAGCTTTTTCACTCTGGAGCCGCCTTTCTGCCTTCCCACGCTGCCCAGAGGCCCAGAGCAGAGCTGGAGAGGTGTGGAACACCTGTGTTGTTGACCGACAATGCAAGCGCCCTGCCCCTGGCTGCCTAGAGCCTGCATATGCAAAATAACCCACCATCTTTGTTGGGTTAATTTGCATACTTACTCCTGATTGGCTGGTGGGCATCGCAAAGGTAAGGTCAATTTGCATCTCACTCTTTTATCTGTGTAGATCCTAGGATGTGCTTTACATCTGTGGAATTGCTGGTTCATAAGGTAGTTCTACTTTTTAATTTTCTGAGTAACCTCTACACTATTTTCCATAGGGGCCACACCAATTTGCAATCCCACCAACAGTACACAAGGCAAATAACCTAGTTTCAATTTCAGCTGGAGCTGAAAATGTTAGAAAAAGGCAGAAGCAAAATTGTTCTTTCTGATAGATATAGAGACAGTAAAGCAACAAGCAGACTGTCAAATTACAGCGGGGAGGTTGGGGAGATCTGGGGGAGATAAGAGATCAACCGAAGGACTTGTATACATGCATATAAGTACAACCAATGGACACGAAACTCTGGGGAGGGAGGGTATGTACGGGAAGGGGGGGCATTGGTATATGTACAAAAATAATAATAAAAAAATATATTAAAAAAGAAAAAGAAAAAAAATTGTTCTTTCTCAACTTGAACCTTGTCAGAGATGACCATATAATTTTACAAAGTTGTTTGTTGCTTTTGAGTGAATTTCCATTTGCAATCTGGAGTCACAACGTTCTTCATTCATCTCTTTAGTAATAATGACTAGTCCTTTGTCTGAAGCCAACCCAATGAAATTTAGTAAAAAATATTTAAAAAACAAAAACAAAACCACCTATGTGTTCACAATAGCAAGAACAATATTTTCAATCTAAGAAGTGTTCCAATATCCTCTGGAATAACTAGGAACAATCAGTGGCTTACCTCATCTGGGTGGTAATTATGGAGCTGGCTGTGAATAATGAACTGTAACCAATCATTTGCTTTGGCACATTCTCTAAGGTAAGACGTGCTCAGTTTTATATTGTGGAGCCTGCAGAACTGTACCACTAATACCCACTGGATGCTAGATTCGCTGTATAACCTGTAATTGGGGGTGGAAGTGACAGAAAGAAAAACTTGTTAAAATGTTGCTTTCGTTTTAAACTGAAAAATTAAATAAATTTAACTACAGTATATTCTCTAAAAAGCTTTTCAAGCTCAGCTGGTATAGTTCAGTGGTTGAGCATTGACCTATAAACCAGGAGGGTGAAGTGGACTGGAGATGTTTGAGAGCAGAACCCAGAACTGGGGACTTGGGATAGAGCTCAGAGGCAGACACCCTAAGTTTCCTAGGCTGAGTCATTCTCTCAGCAAGAGAAAAAAACAACAACTGTTACCTACAAAGGAGTTCCCTTAAGGCTGACACCTGATTTCTCATCAGAAACTCTACAAGCCAGAAGGGCATGGCATGAAGTATTCAAGGTATTGGAAAGCAAGGATCTGAGACCAAGATTTCTATATCCAGCAAGGCTATCATTCAAAATAGACAGTCAAAGAGCTTTCTCGACAAAAAAGAAAAAAGGCTAAAGGAGCGCATCACCCACAAGCCAGCATTACAAGAAATGCTAAATAGATTGCTGTAAGGAATTGCTGAGAAGAAGAAACAGAGAGAGAAACTGAGCCATACAGAATTAAAATGGCTATAAATAAGTACCTCTCACTAATAACCCTAAATATAAATGAATTAAATGTTCTAGTCAAAGCATGTAGGGTAGATGAATGGATACAAAAGCATGACCCAACTATATGCTGTCTACAAAAGACCCACCTCAAAACAAAAGACATACACAGGATGAAAGTGAAGGGATGGAAAAACATTTTCCAGCCGAGCCGGCGTGGATCAGTGGATAGAGCGTCAGCCTGCAGACTAAAAGGTCCCAGATTTGATTCCGTTCAAGGGCATGTACCTTGGTTGTGGGCACATCCCCAGTAGGGGGAGTGCAGGAGGCAGCTGAAAGATGTTTCTCACTGATGTTTCTAACTCTCTATCCTTCTCCCTTCCTCCTTGTAAAAAAAAAAAAAAAAAAAAAAAATCAATTAAATATATTTTAAAAAAAAATTTTCCCATACAAATTGAAAAGAAAAAAAAATAAGGTGGAGTGGCAACATTCATATCCAACAAAATATGACTTTAAAAGCACCATGCTGCCCTAACTGGTTTAGCTCAGTGGATAGAGCATTGGCCTGCAGACTGAAAGGTTCCAGGTTCGATTCCGGTCAAGGGCATGTATCGATATCTTGGTTGCAGGCACATCCCCAATGGGGAGTGTGCAGACGACAGCTGATTGATGTTTTTTTTTCTCATCAAAGTTTCTAATTCTCTATCCCTTTCCCTTCCTCTCTATAAAAAATCAATAAAATATATATATTTTTAAAAAGCATCATGCTAAGCAAAATAAGCCAGTCAGAGAAAGACAAATATCATATGATCTTACTCATTTGTTGAATATAATGAACAACATAAACTGATGAATAAAAATAAAGCCAGAGGGGTGAGAAATATTCTATAATATAAAAGAAGTAATCCTATTATTTGCAGATTTTTAATATTTCCTACAACTTTTGTGATATCATACTGTTAGTACAATTTTGATATTATACTTAAAATCCTTTTATTCTTGAAATATTGTTTATTGCATGCAATATTATTATATGGAAAATCATTTTTAAAAAATTTAAAAAATATATTTTATTATTTATTATTATTTTAAAAAAAATATATTTTATTGATGTTTTACAGAGAGGGAGAGGGATAGAGAGCTAGAAACAGTGAGGAGAGAGAAACATCAACCAGCTGCCTCCTGCACACCCCCTACTGGGGATGTGCCTGCAACCAATGTACATGCCCTTGACCAGAATCAAACCGGGGACCCTTCAGTCTGCAGACCGACGCTCTATCCACTGAGCCAAACCGGTTTCGGCTAAGATCATTTTTCTTAAATAGTGAAAATTGTTATTGCATTTAACATATTTTAAATAATTTTTCTTGAGATATTAATGTTTATTGCATGTAACATTGTTATATTTAAGATAGTTTTTCTTGAAATATTAAGGTTTACTGAATGTAACATTATTATATTTAAAATCATTTTTATTGAAATAAAAACAGAAAGGAAAAAAAAAGAGGGAATCATTATCTTCACCCTCCTTTACTGATGGTGAGATGTGATTAAAACCACTCTCCATTTACTGAGTATCTGCTGTATGTTGGAGGGATAAAAAGATATGGTCTGGGGGTTGGTGAAAACACCTGAGGTATTGGTAGAGACTAGGCAAACACACATTGAGACAATAAAACTTGCTGGAAAAGAGGCTGGGATTGCAACTCACAAACCTCTTTATTTCCTGCTGTTGAATACTGTTCCATATGGCTTCCTCTAAGAGAACAAGCAATTCTTCTGTGGCTGCCTTTTCACCCCCAGCCAGTTTAGACAGTTTTTCAGCTGTAAGAAATACAAACAACGAATTTGGTTGGTCAAGAGAAAGGGTTAAGGAACTGGGCATTTCTGTTTGAAGAGTATGGCCCAGAGCCATTTCAGTATCCAATTACTGGTAAAGGGCCCAAGAAAGTGAGGTAAGGAACAAACACTGACAGAAAAGGATGAAACGGGGAGATAACTTTCTTCCCCAACAACTCACAAATCAGTGCCTGAGGCCTAATTCATTGTGTCCTCTAAACAAACCAAGTCACAGAAAGAAAGGGTGCTTACCTAGAGACTCTCTGATAAAGCTGACCCGAGCATCTTCATTTGCACACCTGTGGCTCAGAATTGTATTGGCCACTTTCATGTCAACTCTGAGCCTGAGGCTGTCGAGCCCAAGCAATTCTAAGAAACAAACACAGGCAGCTCCTATTGAAGGGATGTGGAAGGAAGAGAGGCCTAAAACATAGGCTTCACTGCCTACTTGCTGGATCCTGAAAAGAAAAAACAAAACCACATCAGCACATGGAAACTCATCATCAGGAAAAGAGATCAGTGACACATGGAGTGTCAGACACAGTGATTTTTGGCTTCCTCCCCATTCAGTGCCCTTCGCTCACATTCATTTAGGTTCTGTAGGTTGGAGGAGTAAGAAGATAAGGTCTGGGGGTGAAAACACCTGAGGTATTGGTAGAGACTAGGCAAACACACATTGGGACAACAAACTTGCTGGAAAAGAGCCTGGAATTGCAACTCACAAACCTCTTTATTTCCTGCTGTTGAATATTGTTCCATATGCCTTCCTCTAAGAGAACAAGCAATTCTTCTGATTCCCTTTTCACCCCGCATTTCCTTATATTGGTTGTCTCCCAAAAATGTATACACCTTTAACAGCTTATAACTCACTTGACTTTCGCTCCTTTTCAGGTTTAACTGATTTAAAATAATGGGTAAAGCTAGACTAAGCTTTGAACAAAGGAAATTTATAAAGTGCCCCTAAACTTGTTTTATGGGGGTACATAAAAGATAGTTTATGGCATAAAATCTGCAACAGTCAATGGGTTGAGGATGCACAAGTATCAAACAAAATAGTTTTTATGTTTTCAATTCCATTGCTTCACATTATCAGCAGGGTCTAGATTAGATCAGGTTATCAGTTTAAAAACAGGCATTGACCCCCAAAAATTATTCATTTGTGTAGATTCTTTTACATTTTGAAAATGAAATGCTAATAAGCCTGACTTTATAATCATTTAAAGTGCATATACTTTTTTTTTTTTTTAACATACCGTATTTTACCTCCTCCTAAACCACCTACTCACAGTCTAAATTATTCTGCTTCCAATTTCATCTAGGGAACAGGGAGTGAAATTTCCAAAAAATTGCCAACTTGTGATCTTGTCAATTACATGTACACAAACTACCAAGAAAATTAATGCCACTTAAAGTTTGCTGTCATAAAGCACACACATTTTAAAAGACTCATAAGTACTTTTATATGTATAGAAAATTTTTGAGAAAAGACACACAAGAATTTACTATGTAGAATGAGGCTAGAAGACTAAGGGACTTTTAAAATTTTTTTATCTTTATTGTTGGAAGTATTATAGATGTTTCTCTCTCATCGGCGTTTCTAGCTCTCTATCTCTCTCCCTTCCTCTCTGTAAAAGAATCAATAAAAATTTATTTTAAAAAATAAAAGTTATTTAAAATCTTTTTTTTTTTTTTTTTTTTTTTTTGCTGAACCAGTGTGGCTCAGCAGTTGCATGCCAGCCCAGGAATCAAGAGGCCACTGGTTCAGTTCCCCATCAGGGCACATGCCCAAGTTATGGGCTCAATCGCTGGTGGGGGCTATGTAAGAAGTAAGCCAATCGATGATGTTCCTCTCCCATCAATGAATCTATCTCTCTATCCCTCTGCTTTCCTCTCTTTAAAAAAAAAATAAATAAAAAATAAATATATTGGGTCGGCAACTAAGTAATTGCGGATTTTTAAAAGAAAATCAAAGACAATTTTTTTCATGGAACTAAATAACTTTATTCTGTAATGTATTGCCCATTTTGATCAATGACCTTTTGCCATCTTTCAGGCAGCATCATAATCCCACGTTCAAAAAACTTCTGGTTTTTATTAGCAAAAAACTGAATCAGGTACGATTTGACATCATCATCATTATTGAAATTTTTACCATTCAAGGAGTTTTGTAAAGATCGAAACAAAAAGTAATCAGATGGTGCAAGGTCAGGACTATATGGTGGATGTGGCAAAACATCCCAACCAAGCTCCATTAATTTTTGCCTAGTGACCAAAGATGTGTGTGGCCTTGCATTGTCATGATAGAATACAACACCTTTTCGATTTGTCAATTGGGGCCGCTTTTCTTCAACTGCATTGTTTAATTTCGTTAGTTGTTCAATGTAGACATCAGAATTGATCGTTCGGTTGGGTGGTAAGAGTTCAAAGTAGACAATTCCTTTGTAATCCCACCAAACTGATAACAAAACCTTCTTTTGATGAATATCAGCTTTTGATGTTGTTTGAGTTGGTTCACCTGGCCTGCTCCACGATCTTTTCCGCTTGATATTGTTGTAAACAACCCATTTTTCATTGCCAGTTATCAGTCGTTTTAAAAATGGATCATTTTCATTACGTTTCTTTAGCAAATCGCAGCTGCTAATGCGTTGCGTTAACTGTGATTCTTTCAGTTCGTGAGGAACCCATGTATCGAGTTTTTGAACATAGCCAAGTTGTTTTAAGTGATTTTCAATGCATGTATGTGATACATGAAGCTTCTCTGCAATCTCACGTGTTGTACTGTGACAGTCCGAATTGATTATTGCTTTGATTAGGGCATCATCAACTTCAACTGGACGACCAGAGCGTTTTACATCTTTGAGTGAAAAATCACCAGAACGAAATTTGGCAAACCAATTTTGACACTGCCGTTCTTTTAAGGCTTCGTCACCATAAACAGCACATAACTTTTTATGAGTTTGCGATGCGTTTTTCCCTTTGCAGAAATAAAAAAGCAAAATATGACGAAAATGTTCCTTTTGATTTTCCATTTTTCAACGAACGCCAAACGAAAACTACAAAACAGATCAAAAAACTTTTTTCACTGATTAACAGCTGAATAGCCAACTATCAAATAACAAAATGTGTTTTACATTTGTACTACGTCTGCAAACCTAAAAATTCAACTGAAGCCATATATGTGTGAAACCCGCAATTACTTAGCTGCCGACCCAATATATATATATATATATATATATATATATATATATATATATATGTGTGTGTGTGTGTGTGTGTGTGTGTGTGTATACTGTTTTATCTTTTTTCCTGTTAACAAAAGTAACACACAATAAATGCCAAAAACTGGGAAAACTGGAAAAACACAAACGGCAATAAAATATCACCATCCAAACAGAATCACTGTTAACTTTTATACATGTTTCCAGTACATTTTTTAAATGTACAGGTAAAATACACAGATATGTCTTTTATTAACAGTATAAATTATACTTTACTCACAGCTGCTTGGGTGTCTTGCTCTTAATTAATTCCTGGACCAGAAAAGTACCAAATGCAAATGAAGGCCGTCCATGATATAAATAATAAGCAAAATTCAGACGTTCCACTATAGCATATTTATTAACCAGATCAGGGCTAGAGAAATGTGGGAGATGACTCGATACATCTGGGAACAAAGTGAAGTGATTATTAATGCTCTACATTTCACCATGATTAACTGCCAATCTGTACATGGAAAATTTGTCTACAATGGTAAAAGAAAATATCTTGCTATAATCATTTTGTACCATTATGTGTCACTTTGAACCACCAAAATGTGATAATTTTATTTTAATGTGGAGAGGTGACCCTCATTTTATGCAAAAATGTGTATCTGAGAAGCTGCATATGAAAACTTATAAATTGTGCTTTTCCCCCATGATACTTACTTATAACTTTATATGCTTTAATTCTATATTTAACTTCACAACAGCAATAACCTTTTGAATACAAAATCTCTGCCTAAGATATGAAAAACTTTTAATTCATTCATGAAGCTCATTATGCAATAAAATCTCTACCTAATATATTTATGTATCCTCTATTCACCAAGGCCATTCTAATGAATACCTTGACAAAAACATCTTTTTCTCCCTATTAATAATCTCCTATACTCTCCTTATGTTACCACCAGCTATATTTTCTGATATATGCACAGAGCACCTTATTATCTACATGCTGGTACCATCTTTCCAGCACAGTGATTCAGTTTAAAGTTCTTCTGTGCCCATAAAAATAGCCAAGAATTTTTTTTTTCTCTTTTCAGAGAAATTTAAAGTCAGAAGATACTTGGATGTGAGAAGTTAGTATGCTATAACCAATCCTGTCAAGCCTTAATATTTGTCTCTTAACCATTTATTATGTATTTTTAAAAAGGTGAGCTAGCCGAAACCGGTTTGGCTCAGTGGATAGAGTGTCGGCCTGCGAACTGAAAGGTCCCAGATTTGATTCCTGTCAAGGGCATGTACGTACCTTGGTTGTGGGCACATCCCCAGTAAGGGGTGTGCAGGAGGCAGCTGATTGATGTTTCTAACTTTCTAGCTCTCTCCCTTCCTCTCTGTAAAAAATTAATGTTATTTATATATATATATATATATATATATATATATATATATATATATATATATATATAATTTTTTTTTTTTAAGGTAAACTAACATTCTGAACTGTTAAAAAACCAATTCTGGAAAACAGTGTATGTGTTCTCATTTTCAAAGTTCAACGCTTATTTCTGAAATAAAGTTTTATCCTCCCATGGAATTACAGAGACTTCTTATATTGAGACTTGGCTCCCACAAAAAAAGAAAAAGATCTTAATGGTGTCTTGTTATCTTACAAAACTATTACTTAAAAGCACATCCTCTCTGAGATTAAAAAGTAGTCAAATGCATTATCTGTATGCTTTGTGAGAACAGAGTAACTTTGGTCACTTATAATTTCACATAAAACTATTCATTTCTTAAATATTTACTGAGTACATGTCAAGTATATGGTACTTCCAGGTGCCAAATAAATAAACTTTTTATTCAAATAAGACCATGATTTTTTAGCAGTTGGGTGATAGTGCTGGAGATTGTGTGTGAGAGAAAATTCTACACAAATGGAAATTTTTCTCTGGCCTGCCATGGAAGAAAAGTCAACATGCAGTTGGCCTTATATCCTCTTTCAGTGGTAAAATCATGTAAAAAAATTAGGAAACACTTTAACAAAATATAGCTCTCCAATATTATCAATCTGTATTATTGTCTTCATAATTGTTTCATTTACATTAGGCTTTATTTGCTCAAAAATGTTCTAAATGTCTAAAAACCAGACAGGGAACATGCCTCCAATGTCTTTTCTCTACTGTGTACCTACTAGAATGCTCAGTCTCCAAGAGGGAGACTAAGACCCTGGCTACATGATGGAGTTGGAGGTAGAACAGGACAGGGGATTCTGTCTACTCTCTAGTAACTTCACTGAGATTAAAGCATGTGTTTTCATTTGAAAATACAATAAGCACTATTTTATTCAGCACTCAATAAATATTTATTGAACATCTATTATAGACCTGTAATGAGCTCTGGACACTAGGTAAATTCAATATATTAAAATGTGAACTTATAAAACTGACACATTAGAAAATTCATTTTTATGTATGTCAATAGTCACATGTTGTATGTTATGTGCTAAGCACTCTGAGTACTAATTTGAAGCCAACTTTAATTTTGGCAGAAGCACCACAGGTAACATAATATTAAAGGCTAACTCTAAATGTAAAAATTAAAAAGATAAAAAAAGCAGTATTTAAGAATAGCATATGTATGTTAACAATACTTGTAAAAAGGCACACACACACACACACACAGAAACAAAACAAATTCTTATAATCTAGAGTGGAAGGCACTGTGTGTGTATCTGGTGCTGATTGTGTTAGTAACTGTATCAGGAACTGTGAGAGGTTAAGTGCCTTTCAATGTCTCCTTTCATTCTCAATGTAACATGTGAGGTGGGCACTGTTACTAAGCTTATTTTATAGAGAATTTACTTGCCCAAGGTCCTACAACTATTACATGGTAGAGCCAGGATTTACCTAATACCAACACTTACACTCTTAACCTTTATAATACTATACTGCTCACAAAGGGATTTTTGGGAAAAAATAAATTTAAGCAGACAAATGCATAATATATTTCCCAGCAAGTACAGCACTAGTGACCTAATACAATATATTTCAATTCACTGGAATATATCTTTATTTTTAAAGTAGAAAGCAGTAAAACAAAACAAAACAAAAAAAAACACCTGAGTTGGCTTTTACATATATCAACTTCTCCTATGAATCAACATTGTTGAAATGCTTCCAAAGCAAGAAGTACCCATAATGACTTACCTCCTATAGCCAGTGTGTTGGCAGGCTGCCAGCCAAACAATCTGCTAGGATCAAAGGGCAATAATGACTGTAAAAGGGAAAAAGTTAAATCAGAGTTAAAAGTTAATTGATTCTAACAACCCATAAGCAGCACACTTCAACCAACTACATAATATCCCTAAAAACTGGTTCAGACTCTGCAGATCCCAAAATAAAACTAAAATTAACATGGTAAATTAATGGTATAAGTCCCCATTAATATTCCTGTAGATATTCAATAAATAGGAAACTTTTACTTGCAAGCACTTATAGAAATGGGAAGATTTAACTAGAAGTGATATCAAAGTAAGATGGCCAAAATGAAACTTTTGACACCTAAATTAAATATTTGCATGCAAAATTAGAAAAAGCCAGCTCTAAAATTAAACTAAATGAATAGGAAACTCATTTTGATTGAAAATTAGAGGCTTCTGGGAAGAGGACAGATAAATTCTCTTCTCTACAGGAATTTAACTGTTGGTAGTAAGAACTTGTGGAGCCTGTCTCTGAACTAAGGAAGCTGCTCAATGCCAATGCTCTATTTTCCCCCCTCTTCTCCAAATGCCCTGCTCTTGCCTTTACTTCATTGTCTGGACTTAACTCTCCTTTCCTGCTCCCTCTTTCTCTTCTTACCTCCTCCACCTCAGCTTCCTATGCAGCTCTCTACTGACCTAGGGGACACTCAGAAAACCAGAAAAGCCAGTCTCAGGCAGAGGAAAATCAGTGATTGTACAGAATTAAGGAATCTCCCTAAAGATTTCCATGACTTTCTCCAAAACTCTGAAGGGTTCACAAAGGAATTTAACTGTTAGAACATGTGATCCTGATTATACTATTTCAATCAGTGTATCTACTGATTTGTGGAGCAAAGCAACAGAATTACTAAGTAAGAACTGCAGGGAAACTCTGTTTATTGTAAAAAGCCAGACCACCTTAAGAAGGGCTATAGAAAACTGAAATGGGATTCAGAAAGAGAAAAGAAGCCAGCATAGGGTTGCTCCAAGGACTATGAGAGGGTGTTTCCCCTTCTTACTAATTGTTTAGGAGAAATTGAAAGAAAGGAAATTACTAAGGCCCTTGTAGATACTGGGGCTACCTTATCTGTTCTTAACCACACCCAAGGAGGTTGCCTTTTCCCTGAGTAAAGCTTCTGTACAAATGGTTAGGGGCATCTAATCAACCAATGCCTGTTTTGATATCAGAACATATTACCTAACAACAAGATTTTCTTGAAATCAGTGACCCTCACATAACTATGTTCCAGAAGGGTGAACTATATTTAGAACTAAATGAATTTGATATTGAACCAATTGGGAAAATGATTATTTTAAAGGAATCTCTACAGGAGGAAACTAATCTTGAGGCTGTCTGAATGTTTGCTGACCATCTTTTCTTCATTAGTAACTTCCATGAGAGCCTCAGGAATGCCTTAACAGGGACCCTGCCTTCCCTCCCAGGGGCAGGCCCTCTTTCACCTAGGCTTCTTAAAGAGGGATGGGTGGGGGGAGTAAATTGATTCTAAAGTAAACAAAATTATATAAAAGGACTTCACAGGCAGTCTGTTTCCCTTCTCCAGGGCAACTAAAAATCTTACATTTCTGGACATAAATTCTTTGAACATAGCTAAACACAAAAAAGAATGTATGAGACACTTTTCTATTTTAATAAAAACAGAACTGGCTGTGTTCCTTTTAAAGACTCCCTTCACTTCAAATTATGTGTGCAAAGTGCACTCTCTTTTGGTAGAAGCAGCATTAATTATAATGTAAAATGGGCTTTAGACATGTTTTTGGAATCAAAAAGCAAGAGGACTAAGAAACTAGAAAATATTACCACGTAAACATGACAAGGTAAGCTAAGGCAGATCAGAAAAGGAAAAGAATAAGACAATCAGTTCAGGGGTTAAAGAAATGTATGTGCCCAGCCGGCATGGCTCAGTGGTTGAGTGTTGACCCATGAATCAGGATGTCACAGTTTGATTCCCGGTCAGGGCACATGGCAGGTTGCGGTATCGATTCCCAATGCAAGGTGTATGCAGAAGGCAGCTGATCAATGATTCTTTTTCATCATTGATATTTCTATCTATCTCTCCCTTCCTCTCTGAATTCAATAAAAATTATTTTAAAAAATGAATGTGATGATCAAATCATGAGCAACAAAGAAAAAAGCCGACTAAGGTCAAGTCAGACAGAAAAGTTTTGAGAGCAGGGAGCAGTGGCTATTTGAAATCTGTATAGCCAAAGATTTAGCAAAGACTATAAACACATGGTGGAGGGATACAGGAGAAAACAGAACTATAAGTCAAGATTTAGATGTCTAAGGAAAGAGCAGCTTTGATTTTAAATCAAGGAAAAATTTGTGGTCTCTACATTAACTGTTCTCCATTTGAAAGACCCAGAGTGGTTTCTGTTTTCCTGGTTGAGTCCTGTCTGATACCTAAATACCAGCCACCTAAATAAATACTGTACCTGAATAAGGTGGTAGAGTGTAATATCTGGTGGTAGGACACTAGGGGCAGTGTACTGTGGGAAGAGAGCAGTTTTTAGCTTGGGATAAGGAGTTAATGCCATCTTCAGTAACTGGGGATCTACTTTTTTCAAACAGTTCTCATTTTCTTCATTCTGAACAACCTAAGTAAAAAAACAGATAACATGGTATACAGCAATGTTCTTTTCTTCTCCAAATTTGTTCTTTTTTCACAAGAACATGTGAAACAAGATTAGCTTGAGAGAATACATGGTGGTGAAAATAACATTGGTCAGTGACTGAGCATGGGCCTATGAACCAAGAGATTGCTGGTTTGATTTCCAATCAGGGTGTATAACCACCCAGAAGGCATGCAAGAGGCAGCTGATCAATGTTTCTCTGTTATCAATGTTTCTATCTCTTTTTCCTTCTTCCTTTCTCTCTCTCTCTCTCTCTCTCTCTCTCTCTCTCTCTAAACCAATAATAAATATATATATTTCTTTATTTTTTAATTTTTTAAAAAGGAGTCAGAAAACAATAGATCTTGTTCTGGTACTACGATAAACTACCAATTCTTCACCTACAAAATTAGGAATTTCAGCTAGATCAGTTTTCAAATTGTGTGGAAAAGTTGTTTGAAAAAAGACTGCTATTATATTATTTAAAATACTTAAATGTTAAATATTGAATTATATATTAAATAGCAAATATTTTAAAAGAAAAATAACTACTAGATTACAAGACTCTTGTTCAGCTCTCATGTTACTCTATGGCTAATTTCTGAAAGGTAATTAAGAACAGAAAAACCAGAAACCGGTTTGGCTCAGTAGATTGAGCGTCAGCCTGCGGACTGAAAGGTCCCGCGTTCAATTCCAGTCAAGGGCATGTACCTTGGTTGTGGGCACATCCCCAGTAGGGGGTGTGCAAGAGGCAGCTGATCGATGATTCTCTCTCATTGATGTTTCTAACTCTCTATCCCTCTCTCTTCCTCTCTGTAAAAAATCAATAAAATATATTAAAAAAAAAAAAGAACAAATAAGTAAGTTAAGGTACATTGAAACAATCTAAAGGAGAAATCTTTGAAGATTAAATGTTTAAAAGCATTATTATGTTTTCTCTAACTAGGCACACTATAACTTTCAAAAATGCAGAGATGGACAAATTTCTATTGGGCCCCTCAAAAAGAGTTTACATAGCTAAAAATTATGACTTCCCTTTTACCTCTCTAAGAGGGCAAACAGTATAAAATGATTCCCAAGTCACAGATCTAAAGTATATACTTACTCCCAAAAACAACCAGATCCTAATTCAATTCTGAAAATGTACCCAGAACATTAGAAAACAAATAAAGGGGGAAAATAATCTCTCTATTTTCTAAAATAATAACATATTAGTTGCCTTTCAATTTAAGAGGATATCATATAAAATTTCAAAACTCGTCCTTGTTTTATGTTCTTTTAACCTAATAAAAAACTTAAGAGTGGCTTTATATACACGCACACACACACACTGAGTGGCCAGATTATTATGATCTCTGAACGCATACTATCTGGCCACTCAGTGTGTGTATATATATTTATTAGAGGCCTGGAACATGAATTCATGCATGGGTGGGGTCTGGCCAGGGGGAGGGGGCATGGGTGGGGTTGGCCAGCCTGCCTGCTGGTCGAACTCCTGGCCAAGGGGACAATTTGCATATTAGCCTTTTATTATATAGGATGTACACTGAGTGGCAAGATTATTATGCAACCAGAGATCATAATAATCTGACCACTCAGTGTGTGTTTGTGTGTGTGTGTGTGTGTGTATTGCATGGGATATCTCTGTATTAAAATAAAATACTGCTATTGTGGACATCATCCAATAGGGTGACCAGTGTCCCTCCTCTTTCTTTCTTTTCTTTTCTTTTTCTTTCTTTCTCATTTTCTTTTCTTTTTTCCCTTCCCATTCCCTTTCCCCCTTCCTTTCCCATTCCCCTTCCCCTTCCCCTCCCCTTCCCTTTCCCCTCCCCTTCCTTTTCCCTCCCCTCCCCTCCCGTCCCTCCCCTCCCCTCCTCTTCCTTTCCCTTCCCTTCCCTTTCCATGTCTCATTTTTCCCCAATTGATGCCCCCTCTCCCCCAGTCATTCCCACTCCAGGCAAGCCCCCACCGCCCCAGTGTCTGTGTCCATAGGTTATGCTAATATGCATGCATACAAGTCCTTTGGTTGCTATCTAACTCCCCCTCCCCTACCATTTGTCTCTGATCTATTCTTGTTCATCAAATTTTATTAATCATTATAGCCTATATATGAGTGAAATCATGTGATATCTTTCTCCGACTGGCTTATTTTGCTTAGCATAACGCTCTCCAATTCCATCCATGCTGTTGCAAATGGTAAAAGGTCCTTCTTTTTTATAGCAGCATATTTCATTGTGTAGATGTATCACAGTTTTTTAATATGGGTGGTTTTATTTTAATACAACTGATTTCCAGAAAATCCATAGATATTTCTGCCAAATTTAAAATCAGTCCTACTTCACCATAATAGATAGAGGTACTGTCCATACCTGGCTGACACCACCAGGAGCATACATTGTGGTAGCAAGGGCCAGGAGGGTATGTCCTTCCAACAGCATACTGCTTACACTGGCCTGGTAACTGGGAATCAGTATTTGAGCATTTGCAAGGCTGGCCTGGAAGATCAGTTTAGGATCTGGAAAACAAAAGAGTATGTTTTTCTCCTTAATGTAAATTAAGAATTATATAATTTTGAGAAAGAAAATTAATTTTACTAGTAACTCTCTCAAGAGAAAGGACTTTCTAAAGTTAAAACTACAACTAAAAGACAAAACAAACATCATCCAGAACCACGGGAAGGCTAGCTGAGTGTAATTTATACAACTAGAAGGAAAGAGAAAAGCACACTGAGACTGGGAGGAGATGGAGAGGTGAGGAAGTGTAGTGGGGAGGTACAGAGGCATGTGTGGAAAGGGCTGGAAACTGGGTACACTGGTGTCTTTTTCAATCAGAGGGACATACAAGCTCACAACTGCTCTGAACTCCAGTTCTGGGAGAGACTCTGGGGACCCAGATTCATAAGGGGAGAAACTGAACTCTCTGGCATCAGACCGAAACATGAGAGCGGCTTTCTCTAAGAGGTGCCTGCAGTGATCCTTATTCCTGCATGGCACTACAGGACACAGAGACCTGGGGTCCTCTTTGGGGCAGGCGGATGGTCAGCCATTGCTGTTTGCTCTGCCCAGGTGATTCCCTGAAACTCTGCCCCACCCAATTATAACCCCACCTAAGCTGTGTGCAGAGGCTTTTGCATATGAATGTCATGGCCTTTTGCAATCTAAAACCTAACCAACTGCGGCTGGGTCAGAGAGCCCCAGAGCCTCCAAAAGAAGGCCCAAGGTTGGATAGCAGCTCACACTCCTTCACAGCTGGGCCTCATCTAGGCACCTCCAAACCCTAAACAAAGAGGAATCTTCAGATCTCTCTGTAGCTCCTACTGGGTGGCCTCAGGCAGTGGCTGACTTTGCACCTCCTTGGAGATCTAAGAGCTAGTGTACCCAGTGGTCACAGTGAGACCAACCAGATTACAACTCTTCACATCCATAAGAGACACACTCAGGGGCAGACTCAGTGAACACCAAAGCCCCACTGAAGCAAGTCTTGCCCCATAAGGGTGTCTCCTGCACAGAAGTTCACCCATAGTAGATACAACTGATCCTCACAGCCTATTGGCCTGGAGGTCAATTCCTCCCAGTGATTCCAACAATAATCAAGGCTTAACTACAACAAGAGTGTCCACCTCAGGTGATTGAGGAGGCTGAGCCACTGGGCCTTATAAGACACCTAGCACACAAAGCCACTCTATCAACACGGGGAAGCAGCCAAAATGCAGAGACAAAGAAACAGGTCATAAATCACCAAAACCGGTTTGGCTCAGTGGATAGAGCGTCGGACTGTGGACCAAAAGGTCCCAGGCTCGATTTGGGTCAAGGGCACGTACCTAGGTTGTGGGCACATCCCTAGTGGGGTGTGTGCAAGAGGCAGCTGATCAATGACTCTCTCTCATCGACATTTCTAACTCTCTATCCCTCTCAATTCCTCTCTGTGTAAAATCAATAAAATATATATTAAAAAAAAAAGAAAAAAAAAAAGAAAGAAACTGGTCACAAATGAAAGAAATGGAGAAAAGCAAACTACTGGATATAGAGTTCAAAACCATGGTTATAAGACTTCTCAAGACTCTTCTAGAAACTTTCGAGAAACTTAGTGAGACCCTTGCCGAAACCGGTTTGGCTCAATGGATAGAGTGTCGGCTTGGGTACTGAAGGGTCCCGGGTTCGATTCCGGTGAAGGGCATGTACCTTGGTTGTAGGCATATCCCCAGTAGGGGGTGTGCAAGAGGCAGTTGATCGATGACTCTCTCTCATCGATGTTTCTAACTCTCTATCTCTCTCCCTTCCTCTCTGTACAAAATCAAAAAAATATATTTTTAAAAAAAGAAAGAAATTTAGTGAGACCCTAAAGTAGGGGTGTCGAACTCAATCAGAGAAGGGGCCAAAATCTAAAATCCAGCCTACATCGCGGGCCGAATGGTTTACTGAACAGTCATAAACTGTCATTGTGATGGAAATGCAGCGGAGTGCAGTGATGACAGCGCGGTGTGGGCCACATTGCAAGGCCTGGCGGGATGGATTTGGCCCGCGGGCCTTGTGTTTGACACATGTGCCCTAAAGGATATGAAAAAGGACCAACTAGAAATTAATCATATACTGACTGAAATAGAGAATAATATACGGAGATCCAACAGCAGAAGAGAGGATCCCAAGAATCAAGTCAAAGATTTCAAATACATAGAAGCAAAAAAACACCCAACCGAAAAAGAAAAAAGAAAAAAAGAATCCAAAAATATGAAGATAGTGCAAGAAGCCTCTGGGACAACTTCAAGCGTACCAATATCTGAATTATAAGGGTGCCAGAAAAAGAGACAGCAAGATATTAAAAACCTATTTGAAGAAATAATGACAGAAAACTTCCCTTATCTGGTGAAAAAAATAGACTTACAAGTACAGAAAGCACAGACAACTCCAAAGGAGAAGAACCCAAAGAGGACACACCAAGAGATATCATAATTAAAATGCCAAGAGCAAAAGACAAAGAGAGAATATTAAAAGCAGCAAGAGAAAAATAGTTAAGTTACTTATAGGAAGTACCCATAGACTGTCAGCTGATTTTTCAACAGAAACTATGCAGGCCAGAAGGGAGTGGCAAGAAATATTCAAAGTGATGAATAGCAAGAACCTACAACCAAGATTACTCTACCCAGCAAAGCTATCATTTAGAATTGAAGGTCAGATAAAGAGCTTCACAGATAAGAAATAGCTAAAGGAGTTCATCACTGCCAAACCAGTATTATATGAAATATAATTAAAAGAAAGGTATTCTTTAAGAAGAGAAAGAAAAAGAAAAAGGTGCCAAAACCGGTTTGGCTCAGTGGTAGAGCGTCAGTGATTCCGGTCAGGGGCATGTACATTGGTTGCGAGAACATCCCCAGTGAGAGGTGTGCAGGAGGCAGCTGGTCGATGGTTCTCTCTCATCGACATTTCTAGCTCTATCCCTCTCTCTTCCTCTCTGTAAAAAATCAATAAAGTATATTTAAAAAAAGAAAAAGGTAAAGATAAAAATTATGAACAATAAAGTGACAACAAATACATATCTATCAACAAATGAATCTAAAAAGCAAGTGAATAAAAAAATCTGATTAACAGAATAACCTGGTGAATATAAGAGAATCAGGGACGTAGAAAGGGAGTGGACAGACAATTCTCGGGGGTGGGGGAAAGGAGAAGGAGGGTGCGGGAAGAGACTGGACAAAAATCGTACACTTATGGATGAGGAGTGTGAGAAAAGTAAGGGCAAAGGGTGGGAGGGGAACCGGATGGGGGGCCTATAGGGGGGAAAAAGAGGAACAACTGTAATAATCTAAACAATAAAGATTTATCAAAAAATAAATTTAAAAGCAATAGGAAAATATCACCAATAGAAATATGAAAAATTTGTCTATGTAAAAACAAAACTTATATTAAAAACCTGAAGTATAGTAATGAACTAAGGGGGAAAATTAACAATAGGTGACAACCTAAGGATTAATGTCTTTAGCCAAGAGCTTATACAAAACAATGCCCCTAATCTAACAGATAAATTAACAAAAAAACAACTTTTGTACAAAAGAGAAACTGTAAATGTCCAACCATAAAAATATGTAATTCACTAATAATACAGAAATGCACATTAAAATAATTATATGCCACTTATCACCTATCAAAACAGCAATGCTTTTAAAAAATAATCATCCTCAATCAGAGAGCTGGACAGGGTGTGTGGAATAGCTGGGACTTATGGAACAAACCCCTTAGAAAGCAATCTGGTCTTATAGCAAGAACATTCAAAGTGTGTATAAACTTTGACCCACTAATTTCATATCCAAAAATCTATTTAAAGAAATAATCTGGCCCTGGCAGGTTTGGCTCGGTGGACAGAGTGTTGGCCTATGGACCAAAGGGTCCCAGGTTTGATTCTGGTCAAAGCACATACCTCAGTTGCAGGTTCAACTCTAGCCGAGGCCCTGGTCAGGGCACATACAGGAGGCAACTAATTGATGTGTTTCTCTTACATCAATATTTCTCTCTGCCTTTCCCTCTCTCTTCCATTCTCTCTGAAATTCAATGGAAAAATATCCTCAGGTGAAGATTACAAAAAAAAAGAAAAGAAATAATCTGAAATAAGACAAAAAATGTATGTTCAAATATACCGTATTTTTCGGACCATAAGACGCACTTTTTTCCCCCCAGAAGTGGGGGGAAAAAGTCCCTGCATCTTATGGTGCAAATATAGCCTACACATATACTTTAAAAAAAAAGTTTTTTTACTTGCCCGGCTCTGTGTGGTCTCTGTGTGCTTGCCCGGCTCTAAAATGGTTCTAAATGCTGCTGTTTACTTTACAGGGTTGATTACATGTGTTTATGACTGTGATGTTGGGTTTTAATGCACATAAAATATTTTAGGACACTATTTGTTTCAGAATCTTTTTTTCTTCATTTCCCTTCTCTAAAAACTGGTGCGTCTTATGGTCCGGAGCGTCTTATAGTCCGAAAAATACAGTACTTAAGACTATAGGATAAAAAAAAAAAAACACCAGCCTTCCTGCTAATAAATGAGAGAGTAGCAAATTAAATGAATATATTCATACAAGAAAATATTATGTAAACATAAAATGGTCATTGTTTCCAGGAACACAGGAAAAATCTTATAATTAATATATGGGGGGAAAAACAGTATACAAATACACAAATAAAAAAACAACAAATAAATAGACAAATGTTTCTTGTATCCCTAGCACTTAACAGACTGTTGCAAGGTTGGAGCTCAATAAATATTTGTTAGATGAAGGGAATACTATAGGCTAAAAAGAACATGGAGACAATAACTAGAACAAAATACATAAAATATATCAAGAGCTACTACCCATGGACATGTTCTCAGTAGTTGTCTGTGGCTTCCAATTATTTTTATTATTTTTTTTTACAATGAACATATATTATTTTGTAATCAGCACCAAAAATAACAAACAAAACATAACAAAAGAACACATTATAAAAAAATTCTTCATTTGGGAAGAAATAGGACATTACATAAAAGTTAGAGACTGGCTTAGACATCCTAGCCTTTCCCCAGTCTCTGGAATAATACCCTCAGGGCTCACAGGGCAGTCCTGATTATAATCAGAGCAATGTTCTCTGTCCACAGCTCTGCTACAGAAGACACAAGCCCACACATACTGTGCATATCTTTTCACACCATCTGGAATTCCTTCCTGACAGAAAGATCACTTCTTAAAGGGAAAATGGTGTCAATCTGACTGAGAGCAGGAATTCAGCCTGTAATAAACTGGTAGGATGAGAGATAGTCAAAGAAAATAGAACAGGAGAGTGAGAGGGAAAGGAAACAACTATATACTATCTGCTTTGCCTGGTTTTTCTCGGACAAGGCTATTATTGTTTATATTCTACTTCTTAAACAAACCTTGAGACTAGATTATGGTCAGATTTATTTAAAAGAGTTCACAAGTTAAATGCCACAACAGACCAGTTATTTATTCAAAGAAATTTTTGTATTTAATACAGTACTCATACCTGTTAAGTTACTAGAAACTTCTCGACATTGAACTAAAAATTCAAACCAAGGGTGAGTTTCATGTAATTTTTTCTTCCTCAAAAAGGAACAATTTGGAGGACTAAGCCTGTATATAAAACAAAAGAAAACAAACTCTCTTATTAACATGCAAGATAAGACAGATAATTACAACCATGTTTGCTCAGGTTATAACTAGCTTTAAAAAAAGAATCTTGGCCCGAACCAGTTTGGCTCAGTGGATAGAGCATCAGCCTGCAGACTCAATGGTCCCAGGTTCGATTCCGGTCAAGGGCATGTACCTTGGTTACAGGCACATCCCCAGTGGGGGGTGAGCAGAAGGCAGTTGATTGATGTTTCTCTCTCATTGATGTTTCTAACTCTCTCCCTCTCCCATCCTCTCTGAAAAAAAATCAATAAAAGTATTTTTTTAAAAAGAATCTCCGAATTAAAAAGTAAATATAATATACTCCCACTTGTGTTAGGTTTTACATATTCCTTATGATCTGGAAATAGAGGAAAATTTTGGAGACAGAAATAATAATATTTAAATTGTGTTTACTACCATAATAAAATATTACCAGCTTTGTATAAGATTAACAGATACCTTGTACTTTGAAATAATTTGTATCTTATTATTTTTACAATAAAATCTTTTTAACATTTTCAAACTTAAGAGGTTTTTAAAACCCCTCTCACAACTACAGAGAAGCTGGGACTAAGGAGTTAAGACTATGAACAGATTCTTTGAAAATATGGCTTTTAAATCATCTCTTGCCAGTAGCTTTGGGAAAAACTTCTCTGTGTGTAATTAAGCCTCAGTGATAGGAACCAGAAATATACCCCATTTGAATTTCTAGCTTTTACTACACAAATTTAAATGTTCTCATTAGCACATTAAAAGTGGGCTCTAGAATCAAATTTAAGTAGAATTAACTCTCACTTTGCCATTTACTAGCTGTGTGCCATAGTAAGCATTTAATCTCACTTGAAGCTTTCAAGAGCCAAGAATGTTGTAAGCACTCATATACTAGAGACTACTACTATTATTGTTATTACTGACCAAATAGCAATGAACACTGGCCACAGATATGATTCTGCAGGTTGATCTTAAGTAGATAGGTATATGTTGATGCATGTCTGTTTATCTATCAATCCACCCATCCATTCATCCAAATGTAAATTTTCGAGCATACCTAACCTGCAGTGCTATGAATTCAAAGTTGTTTAACATTTGCCTGGTAATGAACATATCAAAGAACTCCAAGTTAACCTTTAGTCTCTTCCTCTTTTTTTAACTTTTAAAGCATTTATTTCACTTCATTCTAATCTCTATTAAAAAGTTAACAGAGCTTACAGATTTAACATCACCAAAAAAAAAAAAAAAAAGTTAAGCATTTAGCTAAATGTAGCATGAAACTAAAAGATGTACCAAGTGCTGCAGTGAGAGGAACTACTTCAAGAAATTCAGTATTCCTCAAGTGAATGCTCAATAGTTTTGCTCTTGTCACATTCAAGTAGAAGTGGAAGAGGAAACATGAAGACCTGCTTAAGGACAAATCATTCTCAGTACTTACTTGTAACAGTCAAGATAGACATAAAGAAGATACTGCAGACCGTGTTCCAAACAATAATGAATGAAGTGAGAATGGAAATCCCAACCTTCTTTGGACCTGTAGTTTTGAACAGGGAGGGTATCTTGCATCACACCCCCAATACGGCTCAGTCTTAGGAGGAAGAGTTCAAAGTCTTCCAGTTCAGATAAAAGAAAAATCCCATTCCTAAAGGGCAGGTTTAAGAGATGGCAAATTTAAAAAGTTGCAAGATTCAGAACACACCAAACCACTTCCATGAGTTTGTGCCTCACCTACAGAATGTCCTCACATAATGTTCTTTCATTTCTCTTAATGCCATTTTGTCATCCTATCTAATGAAGAGGGAATATGCAAAATGGCCATCACTCTGCCACAAAGATGATGGTGCACATAGCCACAAGATGGCAGTGCCCAGTCCTCTCAGCCCCACCTGAGTCCCCCAGTCCCTGGGGGGAGGGAGGGACACGGCTGTTGAAAACAGGCAGCGGCTATTGAGAGCAGGCAGCATGAGTGGCCTGGTGGAATGCTTGCTTTGTCACCGTGGTAACGAGGCAAGCATTCCACCCTGGCTGCAGAGGGCCTCTGGACAGTGGGCATGGAGTGGCCGGGGTGAGGGGGAATGCTTGTGTCATCGCCTATGAGACGAGGCAGGTGTTCCACCCCCAGCTGCGGAGGGCCTCTAGCGAGGCCAAGCATAAAATGCTTGTGTCCTGTAGGCCGGGCTGAGGGACCCCTGCCTCCTCCCCGTGCATGAATTTCGTGCACCAGGCCTCTAGTAACTTATAATACTGATAAGATGCCAATGTAACTTAATTCTTCTTTTTATGAATTAGTCTGTGGTAAAACTGTTTCATTATACGTCGTTTCACTTAAAAGTCACAAAATCTACCGACAACATTAAGCAAGGACTTATTATACTTTAAAAAAAATGTAAAAATTAAGACTGCCAATTCTTACTCTATAAATACATATGAGTCATACTTTGCTTGCTTCCAACAAAGGTTTCTGAATCACTGTAGTATTTAAAGTAGTAATGACAGTCTTGAGTTATCTTAAATATTTCAAAAACCTAAACTAAACTATCTACATTTTTTTTTTTGGTTTTGGCAAGAACTATACAATCCAGTGTGTAACAGTGGTTAGCTTTTGAAGCTAGATGTTTTAAACACTTAGAAATTCACCAAAATATACAACAAAATGATGGAAAAACTAAAGCAGAATAATTTAAATAAACCAACTACCAAACAGTAAAAATTTGCATTGTAATATTACTTTATAAATTTACTGTCAAAAACATCATATAAATCATATAAAGGAATACAGAAAATATATTATATGACCCAGCCAGTGTGGCTCAGTGGTTGAGAATCATCCTATGAACCAGGAGGTCATGGCTCAACTCCTGGTCAGGGCACAGTTGTGGACTCCATCCCCAGGAGGGGCATGCAGGAGGTAGCCAATTGACATTTCCGCCTTTCTGTCCCTCTTCCTTCCGCGTTCCCTAAAACCATACAAACATTAAAATATAGCCGGGATCAGTTTGGCTCAGTGGATAGAGCGTTGGCTTGGGGACTGAGGGGTCCCAGGTTCGATTCCAGTCGGGGGCATGTGCCTTGGTTGCGGGCACATCCCCAGTAGGGGGTGTGCAGGAGGCAACTGATCGATGACTCTCTCTCATTGATGTTTCTAACTATCTCTCCCTTCCTCTCTGTACAAAATCAATAAAATATATTTAAAAAAAAATATATATATATATATATATATACACTACCTAATAAAAGAGAAATATGCAGTTAACCATCACTCCGTCACAAAGATGGTGGTACCCATAGCAACAACATGGCAACATCTAGTCCTCTCAGCCCGCTGGAGTCCCCCAAGCCCTGGGGGTGGAGGCAGCCGCTGAGAGCAGGCAGTGTGAGTGGCCTGGCAACAAGGCAAACATTCCGCGCCCAGCCGCGGATGGGACTGGCCCACAGAGAGCCTCTGGGCAGCGGGTGCGAAGTGGCCAGGCCCTGAAGAGAGCTACTGGCGCACAGATTTGTGCACAGGGCTAGTAATATATTATATGGAGTTTAAAGAAACACCATGTTGCCCTAGCAAGTTTGGTTTAGTGGATAAAGCATTGGTTTGCGAACTGAAAGGTCCTGGGTTCAATTCCAGTCAAGGGCATATATGCCCAGTAAGGGGTGTGCAGGAGGTAGCCGATCAATGATTCTCATCATTGATGTTTCTCTATTAAATCAATAAAAAATATATATGTATATTTTAAAAAGATGAAAACCAAGAGGCACTTAAAAAAAGAAAAGAAAAGCCAGGTAATCACCACCCAGATTATAGCACATTACACTTGGAAGCCCTGTGGTATCCCTTCTCCATTGCATCTCCTTTGCTACCTTGACTTGTGATAACCATTCCCTTAGTTTTAGGCATAATTTTAGCATTCATATATGTAATCTGAAATAATATATGGTTTAGTTTTGCTATTTTAAACTTTATTTATAAATAAAACATTTTCTGGGCCTGTATGGCTCAGTTAGTTGAGCACTGTCCTGTGCACCAAAAGGTTGCCAGCTCAATTCCCGGTCAGGACACATATCTTGGCTGTGGGTTTGATCCCTGGTTGGGGCATGTATGGAAGGCAACCGGTTGATGTTTCTCTTTCACATTAATGTTTTTCTCTCCTTCTCTCTCTCCTCTCCTTTCTCTAAGCATGTCCTCAGGTGAGGATTAAAACCCCCCAGTGCACAATTGTGCCAGGGAGGGATGTGGGAGGTTGGTCAGTTGAGGAGGGCCAACTGGAAGGGCTCTAGGGCATGTTCAGCCTGTCTTGCTCAGTCCCAGTGGGCCAGACCCCAGCAGCAAACTAACGTACTGGTCAGAGCATCTGCCCCCTGGTGATCAGTGCACATATAGCAAGCGGTTGAGTGGCCTTAGCATATCATTAGCATATTGCACTTTGATTGTTTGAACAGATGACTGGACACTTAGCATATTAAGCTTTTATTATACATGAAGGATTTTATCTATTCTACTTTTAACAATTGTCATTGCAATTGTTCCTAGATTTTTTTTTTTTTGTAAAATAAATTCATGTTCCCATGACTACAAATGAGGATGAGCACCTTTTCACATTTATTGGCCATTTTTGCTTTCTCTTTATGAAATGCCTAATTGTGGGGTATCTTCCCCTTCAGATCCAAGCTCTACTATTCTGCTCTGTGTCCTTGAAAGCTCATCTGTATTATTTCTCAAGAAGACTCCAGTACCTTCAGGCTTCTGTTTTAGTTTGCCCTAAGGGAGAGCCCCACTGGAGATAAGAGTCAGAAAGGGGGAGGGTGGGATGCCTTAGCTCTCTCTTGCTGGGTGACTGACACTGTGCAGGTTGGCTGACACTCTCCTCTAAGGGACCCAATTCCTGCCAGGCAGCTCTCTTGATCTAATTGTTCTCTTTCTTTGCCCCTTCAGGCCTTTTAGAAAGTACACACTACTCCCACGGTCATGAACATATTCTTCTGTATCTTCTAAAAGCTTTATAGTTTTACATTTGATATTTGTTTAAAAATATACCTGGAATTGATTTTATGCATGATATAAGGCAGAGAGTTCAATTTAACTTTCCCCCATAAAACTATCATTAAGTCATCCCAGGCTCATTGGTGAAAAGACTATTCATTCCCCACTGTTCTGTGGTGTTCCCTTTGCAATACATAAAGTGAATATGTGTAAGTCTGTTTCTATGTTCACTATTCTGTTCTACTGGTATATTTGTCTATCCCTCCACCAATATTCCCAATGTCTTAATTGCTATACCTTTAGAATAAAATTTAATCTCTCAAGAGCAAGTTCTTTTTTAAGACTATTATTGACCCTTGGCATTTCTATATTAATATGCATAATCAGCTTATCAAATCCAGAAGAAATTCTGCTGGGATTTTTTATTGAGATTGTACTATATCTAAAGATTATTTTGGGAAGAACTAATAGCAGGATTACCTTATTACAAACCTAAGAGAATGCTTGTGACTTTCACCATTAAGTATAATGTTAACTAAAAGATTGTTGTTTTTGAATTCTCACCCGAGGATATTTTTCCATTGATTTTTCTTTTAAGGGTGGAAGAGAAAGGGAAAGACACAAAGAAATATTGGTTGCCTCCAGCACGAACCCTGAACAGGGCTCTGACCAGGCTCTCCTGTGCTGCTCCCCCCGTCCCTACCAAGGCCTATGCCAGGGAGGAGCCTGCAACCAATATATGTGTCCTTTACTGGAACCGAACCCGGGACCCTTCAATCTGGAAGTTGATGCTCTATCCACTAAGCAAAACCAGCTAAGGCTAGAAGATGATTTTTTAGACCCCCCTTTCAAGTTAAGGGAATTGCATCTATTCTTAGTTTTCTAATGGCATTAATCATAAATAGATGTTGAATTCTATCAAATGCTTTTGTGTATCTATCAGGGTGGTATTTTCCCCCTTTAACCTGTTAATACAGTAGATCTCATTAGTTCATTATTGTCATAATTCATGTGAAATCATACATTTATTAGCTTTTTATTTAATCAAATATTAACCAAAACAATAAGCATACAAGTTATATGAAACTTATTTTTAGTAAACAAGAAGAAGAGAATTTAGTGCAATGGGAAGAATGACTACAAAGACAGGGGTAAAAAAAATTAAAGCCTGTCAGTACTGGATTGGGCAAAGCTCTTAACTTCTCTGGATTCCACAACTTTAAGTTGGGTAAATAATACAGCTATACTTCCCCAATAAGTATAACTATAAAATAAAGTAATATAGCCGAAACCGGTTTGGCTCAATGGATAGAGCGTCAGCCTGCGGACTGAAAGGTCCCAGGTTCGATTCCGGTCAAGGGCATGTACCTTGGTTGCGGGTGCATCTCCAGTAGGGGGTGTGCAGGAGGCAGCTGATCGATGATTCTCTCTCATTGATGTTTCTCTCTCCGTCTCTCTTTCTCTCTGTAAAATATCAATAAAATATACATTTTAAAAATAAATAAATAAATAGGAAGTAAGTTTAAGAAACTTTAAAAATTAACACATTTAAGTCTCCATATATTATTTTGATAGCTTAAGAAGATAGATTAGGTTGAACAATATGAAATTGCTGATTATTCATCCATTTTTGATCCACACAAATGGCAAGTTCATTGTAACAAGTTCACATGGTTTGATCTAAGAAAATTATTTTTAGAAATTAAAGTTTAAAGTCTTTCCTTACCACTTCAAGAGCTCCTTCCCCCTCCCTAATTTCTTAATTGAGTAATCCTCTTTAGTTCAAGACCATACATAGCATATGGTGGCTACAGTGAGAAGAGTGGGAGATATTGTAGGATACTATGTTCTTGCACTTGGTCACTGTAGCCCCACTACCATTTCCACACCAAAGCAAATATAGAATTTGAGAGCTTAGTCACTATGATGCTAAAAACATGTTATTTTAAAACCTCAATAATGCCTTTTTAATTTTAAAATACTATGAAACAATGTTCCATTGGATTCATGGCACTGCAAAGGAAACATTCAGAATTATTTCTTATTACTCTTCCCCACAGTTATTGTACCTGGCCAGATCATCTAAAATTTTATTCCTCATGTTGTTGTTGCAGCAAGTATTCTGATCAATAATATCAATAGTCAAAGGAGGCCATTTGTTCTGCTGAAGTGAAGAATAACTATTCTGGGTCTGAAATTCTCCAATCCACGAGATAATGCCTAGCCAATCATGGCGAGCTGTGAGGTATCTCCAGAGTGCTTCGGGTGAATATAATTTATAGTCTGCATTAAGAACAAAATACATTTTAAAATAGCAATGGGTTATGATTATTGACACAAAGCTCAACACTAATCAACTGAATAAATATGACAATCTGGACAAATATTTATATGTGAATATTCAGGCCCTTTTCTTCTAATCTTTTCCTCTTTTATGTTGCTGTTCATTTTATAATCAATATTCAGCTGGAGAAAGAGCAAAATGTTGCTTATTAGTACAGTTGTTAAATAAAACTTGGGAATTAGCTATCTGTTTCATTTATCTTTTCAGGTCTCTTTCCCCCTTTTCTTTTTCTTAACATAAATGAAAACTCTGGCAATAATAAACATGAATTTGACACCCTCTGAATTACCACTGTTTACCATTGTTAGTTTTCTCTGGAACCCCAACTGATATAGATCATTAGTTTACACAAGAAGAAACTCAGACTATTGGAAAAAATAAAGAATGTCTCTTTGAGGCAGACAAGAAGTAAATTGAAGTCTCAATTTACTGAAACATACAACTTTTTTTCTTTCATTATAACAAGTCCCTTACAGAAACCTTGAGATAAAAAGTCTTACTGACTTGCATTTTAAAGCAACTGAGTATTTCCCCCCAAAAGAATTCTAAAATGAAGAGACACCAAAATATAATAGTTTAATTTAATACTCATTCACTATGTTCAGATTTCAGGCTTTCTCACACTTGCCTTCTGGATTTATCCTAGGAAGAAGGATAGATTCTTGTGTTAGTTGATTCCACCACTGAGCCCAGTTTAATGCAATTCTGTGTTTATTAAATTTATCTTTAAGATCATATTTCAGGAATGAGTCCAAAACAGACTTGTGCTTGAAAAAATCTTGTTCCTTTATCCAATACCTAAAACAGTGATATAAGTTTTTTTAGTTTTGAAGAAAAAAGCATCATTTCTTTTTATCTGCTCAAAAACTATTCTTCTTTTGGGGAACATAAACTTTAATACTTATAATGTTATATTTATTATCTTAAAAATACACATCTGATTTATGTGCATATTGAAAAAACAGGAAATTCCTGCGTCTCTTCTGAACGAGTTTTACCTTCATAGGGAATATAAACTCAGTTCCACAGAAGAAATTCGTGCTCATTAACCATTAAAAAACTAAACACTATCTAAAATATTCTTCCCATATCACCAAAAGGGGGCTAATGGGAGTACCTGGGAAAGGACTGGATCTGCATATTTTCTTGCAAATGTTCTGAATATAACTTCTCAACATGATGTACGAAGTCTATAGTTCTTTTCTCTTTTTCAGAAAAAGAATTTTTTTCTTTTAAAATTTCAACCTTGAATAAAAAGTAATTAAAGCAGTGACCTAACAAAAATCAAGTACATTTACAAAACAAATGTCATGAAATTATATGGCACTTAAGAATTGTATTTTGAATTTTTTAGGTAATGTATATATTCACACAAATTTTCTTTTACCACAAAGGCAAAATGATCATTTAAAAAAGATAAAGAAGTTGTCTTACTTTTACTTACTGGATATTACTAGTAGTTGAATTTTAAAATAATTTATTTTTAAATTTCACCAGGTTTACTAGAAAATGTAAACTACCAGTACATAGTCTCACCTTTACCTACCAAAAAGTCCCGTATATTTTTATCAGTTGTATAGAAGCATATCTTGAGCAACTGGTCTTTTACATCAAAGCCCTACAATAAACATAGAAAAAATTAATTTTTTAATGGAGCTATTTTAAATATAAGCATATATGAAGTATACAGAAATACTCTGCTATACACATGTATAAAATTCCACAGTTTTCCTGCACTTGTGAACATTCACTTTTTACATTTATCATACACTAGTGGCTTGGTGCATGAAATTCGTGCGGTGGGGGGAGGGAGTCTCTCAGCCCAGCCTGCACCCTCTCCAATCTGGGACTCCTTGAGGGATGTCTGACTGCCCATTTAGGCCCTCTCACAATCCAGGACTGCTGGTTCCCAAATGCTCACCTGCCTCCCTTCATGATTGCCCCTAACCACTTCTGCCTGCCAGCCTGATCACTCCCTAACCACTTCCCTGCCAGCCTGACTAATGTCTAGCTCCCAAATGCTCCCCTGCCAGTCTGTTTGCCCCCAACTTCCCTCTTCTGCTGACCTGGTCACACCTAATGCCCTCCCTTGCAGGCTTGATGGCCCCCAACTGCCCGCCCTTGCAAGCCTGGTTCCTCCCAACTGCCCTCCCCTACTGGCCATCTTGTGGTGGCCATCTTGTGTCCACATAGGGGCAGGATCTTTGACCACATGGGGGCAGCCATCTTGTGTGTTGGTGTGATGGTCAATCTGCATATTACTCTTTTATTACTTAGAATAGAGGCCTGGTGCATGGGTGGGGGCTAGCTGGTCTGCCCTGAAGTGTCCCGGATCAGGGTGGGGGTTCCCTTGTGGGGTGGGGCGGCCTGGGTGAGGGTGCCTGAGGTGGTTTGCAGGCTGGCCATGCCCCCTGGCTAACCAAGTGGAGGCCTTGGTATCTGGGATTTATTTATCTTCTACAATTGAAACTTTGTAGCTTAGCAGAGGCCTAGACCGGCCAGGGTGTGCAGAAATCTTGGCTTCCTCCATTGCCTGGGCCCAAGCCTCCCTCCTGCTTTCTCTGTGGCTGCAGCCATCTTGGTTGGGTTAATTTGCATACTCGCTCTGATAGGCTGGTGGGCGTAGCTGGTGGGTAGAGTGAGGTGATGGTTAACTTGTATATTACTCTTTCATTAGATAGGATATTTTCTGCCTCTGCTTAAAGTCTTAAGCCGTTTGCCAGAATAAAGGCAGCACATTGAACAATTTAAGGTAATAACAGGCTACCATTGGACCAAAACTACAGGTATCTGCTATGATGGTTTGGTTAAAAACAAAAGTCAGTACAAATAACAACTCTTATGTAGTTTCACTCCTCTATACTTCCAGAAAGTTGCCATGGGTAAGACCATAACCATGAAGATTAGGGCCACAACTTAGTTTAGTCCAAGAGTCCTACCTCTAGGATTTCTCCTCCTTAAAGGAAATAAAACCATGGAGCATGAAGCAAAGATATAGGCTATTAGAAAATTCAAATGGAGGTGTAAGGGGTCACATGCACTGGAATTTTCCCCAACAAATAATAAGATACTGTGCAGGCTTGGACTTGTGTGAAGCCTTCGACGAAAAACACCGCCTACTTCTAACCAAAGTGCTAAGTCTAAGAGAGCAAATGATGAAAACTTGAATAAAAAATATCTGCAAGAGCCCAGCCAGTGTTGTTCAGTGTTTGAGCATCGACCTATGAACCAGAAGGTCACAGTTCCATTCCTAGTCAGGGCACATGCCCAGTTGCAGGCTTCATCCCAGTATGGGGTGTGCAAGAGGCAGTCAAAGATTCTCTCTCATCACTGATGTTTCTATCTCTCCTTTCCTCTCTTCTTTCCTCTCTGATGCCAATAAAAATACGTTTAAAAAATATATATCCTTAAGAAAGTTCTCAGTACCCAAAAAACATTTTAGTATTACTGTCATTATTTCCTAGTAAAAGCTACACAAATTTCTTAGTCAGTGATACAACTATGAATACAAATCAATTATTTTTGGGGGGATGGTAAAATTTTGGCTTTATTATTTTATATTCAGTAGGTCAACTCAAGCTCCTGTCTACATCTTGTGGGGTGGGGAAGGCTGGGCCTTGGTCAACTGTGGCCTTTCAAGTTACAAATCAGTAACAGCAGTCCAAAAGTGGCCAACACACGTTGAGTTCATTGCATCACTGTAAACAGAAAAATCTTGTCCCCTCCTGACCAGACACCCAAAAGGTTATAAAAGAAATGTAAGTAAACTCCAATTTGAGCATTTGTACTAAAAAATTTAAGCTTTGTCTTGGCATTTTAAAAGGATTAAGACCTTCTATCTCATAAAAATATTCATTCTACCACATCTACAGAAAAAGGCTGCACATTCTCTTTATATCAATACTAGAGGCCTGGTGTGCAAAATTCGTGCCCTGGGGGGAGAGGTTGTTCCTCAGTCCAGCCTGCACCTTCTCCAATCTGGGACATCCCTCTCACAATCCAGGACTGCTGGCTCCCAACTGCTCGCCTGCCTGCCTGCCTGATTGCCCCTAACTGCTCCCCTGCCAGACTGATTAACACCTAACTACTCCCCTGCTGGCCCGTTCACCCCCAAATGCCTTCCCCTGCCAGCCTGATCTCCTCCCCAACTGCCTTCCCTGCAGGCCTGGTCACTCCCAACTGCCTTCCCTGCAGGACTGGTCACCCCCAACTGCCCTCCCCTGCAAGCCTGGTCCCCCCCAGCTGCCCTCGCCTACTGGTGTGGTTGCCCTTCCCTGCCAGCCTGATCTTGACCCCAACTGCTCTCCTCTGCCAGCCTGATTGCCCCCAACTGCCCTTCCTTACCAGCCTGATTGCCCCTAACTGCCTCTGCCTGCCTGATCACCCCTAACTGCCTTTTCCTGTTGGCCTGATCTCACCCCTAACTGCCCTCCCTTACAGGCCTAATCTCGCCCCCAACTGCCCTTCCTCGTCAGCCTGATAGCCCCTAACTGCCTCTGCTTGCCTGATCATCCCTAACAGCCCTGCCCTGCAGGCCTGATCTCGCCCCCAACTTGCTCTCCTCTGCTAGCCAATTTGGTTCTGATTAGTCAGTTTTTATGCCAGTTAGTGTCAATAGCTCCGCCTCCTAGGCAGCCATTGACTCCTCACACTTCACCCGGATTTGTTTCTGAATGGTCTGTTTCTATGCCAGTCAGTGTCTCTGGGCCTATCAAAGGAGCTGATCAGAAAGGTGAGGCTGATCAGCAGTCCTGATGGAGGCCTGGAGAGAAATGGAGGCACAGCTGCTGGCCAGACTGAAAGAGTATGAGAGAGGCAAGTGCTGATCAACAGTTGCCACAGAGGCTGTGGATCAGACCCTGCTTCTCTCTTTAGGATCTCTCCAGGCCTGATTCGCAGGCCCTTCAGCAGTCAGTGCTGGGTCACCGAGCCTGTAGCCGCAGCAGTCAGTGCCGGTCACCATGGCAACCCAGCAATGACTGAAGGACTGACTTCTGATTGGTCAAGCCTCCAGTTGCTGTGGATGTGATGGACCCAGGGTTTTTATATATTAGGATGTAGTTCCATTGCAACTATGAATGAGATAAATGACACACTGGCTGGAATCAACTGATTTCCCAATGACCAGAGCAGTCATAAATACATACTTATATTAACCAGAAATGATATTAAGTACACAGAGATCTTTTCTTTCTTTAGGGACTTTAAGATCAGACAAACAGATTATGCACTCACCATATTCTTTAGAAGTTCAGAGGCTTCCTTTATATTGTTCTTTTTCAAATTGTCAAAGACCAAATCGAGGCCTATTTTAATCAGCTCTTCAAGTCTTTGAGCAGAGTGACTATTAATCCTGAAGAAAGTTTGTGCCTCTGGTATTTTGTTGTTTAAAATGGCATTGGCAATAACTTCCTAGGAAAAGGGGGTGAAAATCTGCCTTTTAAGTTCCATTTTATGATTATCAACATGACTTACACATTTATTGAGGACCCACCCACTACAGGACTTTTACTTGAAATCTACTACTACATTTGGGTCTTTGCATGGAGGATATAAAGTTGATTGAAACACAGACCCTGCTGTCCAGGAGCTTTTAGACTTGTGGAAGACACACAAATGAATTGCTGATTATAGTTCTGTATGATAAAGGAGAAGATACAGTATGGCAGTTTGGGTCTCAGTCACTCAGGGTCCTAGAGAGGAGGGTTCAGAAGAGGAGCATCTAAATAAGAGAAAAGAGAACAAGAGTTCCAAAAAGAGGGAAAATTATGTGCAGAGATATAAAGGCAAGAAACAGCATCAAGTCTTCAGGGAATTCCAAATTACTCAATAAAACAGGGAGGGGGGTGAAAGCTGGGGAGAGTAGCAGATAAGACTTGAAAGAAAAGTAGAGGTTCCATCATGAAGTGCATTGTGTGTGTGAGATGGATTTTATCCTGAAACTCATGTGGAACACTGAAGGATCTTAAAAGGGTGTGAGACTGTATAATTACATATTAATACACATATATGTATATACTAGAGTCAAGCAAATGAGCACAGAAAATTTAACTGGCAAAATACCTTAACTAGAATCTGAGATAGGACTCAAATCAAGTATGCTTCCTGGTGATAAAGTCATAAAATAAAAGTTTCCTAAGACTGAGTCACAAGCAGCAATTCAAATATCAGGCAGAATGCCTAAGTCCAAATGCTTAAGTCCCTTGCTAGGCCAGTGTGGTTCAGTGGTTGAGTGTCAACCTATGAACCATGAGGTCACAATTCCATTCCCAGTCAGGTTGCGAGTTTGATCCCCCGTAGGCATGTGCAGGAGACAGCCAATCGATTCTCTCTCATCATTGATGTTTCTATTTCTCTCTTTCCCTCTCTTCCTCTCTGAAATCAATAAAAATATATTTTAAAAAACAAACAAACAAAAGTCCAGCAGGCTAGAGCAGAAAGAGAAGGGTTTCTTTGGGGTGACAGGGAGTCCATAACTAGTCCCAGCTAAAAGCAGTGCCTAATTCCCCACTGGATCACCAGATTCCCCCCAATTCTCCCTTTTCTTTACACAAATGCTCTTACATGACATTTGTAAGAATGGGTGGAAGGGTCCTTTGGGGATAGGGGAGGGAAACAAGCTTCTTTGGGCATAGTCTTAATGGATGGATGGAGCACACAGGACAGTTTGGGGACAGTTTGCCACAGGAAATGTGCAGAATGGGAATGGGGGAGGACAAGTACCCTAGAGATACTATAATAAAAAGGTCGGGTCTCTGTCCTAGCCGGTTTGGCTTAGTGGAGAGAGCATCGGCCCTCGGACTGAAGGTGCTGGATTTGATTCCAGTCAAGGGCAGGCTTGATGCCAACCCTGGTTGGGGTGCCTGTGGGAGACAACCATTCGATGTCTCTTTCACCTCAATGTTTCTCTCTCTCTGCCTCTCCCCCTCCCTTCCACTCTCTCTAAAAATTAATGGAGAAATATCCTGGCAAGGGTTAAAAACAAACAAACAGCTCTAGTTGGTTTGGCTCAGTGGATAGAGCTTTGGCCTGTGAACTAAAGGGTCCCGGGTTCGATTCCAGTCAAGGGCACATGCCCACGTTGCAGGCTTGATCCCCAGAAGGGTGTGAGCAGAAGAGAGCCTATCAATGATTCTCTCTCATTACTGATATTTCTCTCTCTCCCAGTGTGGCTCAGTGGTTGAGCATAAGCCTATGAACCAAGAGGTCACAGTCTCCCTTTCTCTCTGAAATCAATAAAAATATATTTAAAAACAAACAAAACCCACAAAATAAATAAATAAATAAATAAACAATACATATAAAAAACAAAATAAGTCTTAATGGCCTAGCCATTCAGGGAGTGTTGCTCATGGGTTTGGGGTTGGGTGTTTGTCACTGGAGCCAAGTAGGCAGATGCGGTACTAAGAGGGAGCCTATCTGAATTCTGAATTAAATAAACAAAGCTTGTAAACATAAATTTGATGTTGTGCCCAGAGATTTCTAAAAATCTCCAAAACCTAAAGCCCTTGCCAAAGTTTCTGAATCACAGTATAGAGTCTAACTTCTGTTTCCTCTATTGTTTTCTAAGATCCTGTGAATCTGGGAAATAAAAGAAGTGGTAATTACTCAGATTTACCTCAATGCTGAGTTTCTCCCATATAGTGCTCTCCTGTACTTTGGGGACATTTTCCTTTACATCATATTCATCTACAGCATCTGTTAGCTTCCAAGGAAACTTTATCATGAAGGTCCTAAGTTCATTAATGTAGCTGGTCAAAATGTCCACTCCTTTCTGTAGATGTTCATCTAACTCTATGGAAAACACCAACATAACAATTTCATATACATATAAAAATTTGTGTGTGTATAGAGAGAATATATCACTGTGATATATTCTAGAAAGAATTCTAGAAAATGTCAAAATTCAAACTCAGAGTTTTTAAATTTTTTAACAAAAAAATCTGAGCTTTTTCCTTTTACAATTTGCTCTGTGATTTAATATAATCCTTCTCACAATGATTAGTCCTTTCTGCCAACTTTCCTAGTGTTAGAGCCCATATCACTCACTCAGTTATACATTGATTTTACCCAACTTTAGTAAATGACACTCCATTGGCTTACATCTCTCATGCAATGCGCCCACTTATATTTCTGCTCTAACACAGGAATAAGAGAATTGCACCCTTCTTTGCTGCTATTCTTACCTTCACTGTGAGTAAAGAGCTCTTTTATTTGCTTGTTAAGGAAGGACAGTGTAAGATTAAGTAATTGTTCTGAAAAGTTTTTGCTTTGGGTTTCAGAATTACTTTCTCTAATTGCTGTGCAGAGTAAATCCAATGCTGGTGTCAGCTCTTCCACATCTGAGAAAGAATGAAAGAAATTAATTAACATGGAGAACAGGATATTCCCAATAACACATCCAAAAATACCATGTTGCAATATTTTAAAAGCTAAAACTAGGACCACCAGCCAGTGTGGCTCAGTGGTTGAGCATAAGCCTATGAACCAGGAGGTCACAGTTCAATTTCCAGTCAGGGCACATGCCCCAGTTGAGGGGTCAATCCTCAGTAAGGGTCATGCAGGAGGCAGTCGATCAATGATTCTCATCATTGATATTTCTCTCTCTCTATCTCTCTCCCTTCCTCTTTGAAATAATAAAAATATATTTAAAAGAAAAAAAGAAAAACAATGACTAATGTTTAATTCTCAAAAAAGCTCACAAAACTTTTATAAAATTTTATTATCTGCAAACTTTAGTGATTCTACTTACTACTACCATGATTCTCCGAAAATAAGACCTAGCGTATGGAAAAATAAGACATCCCCTGAAAATAAGACCTAACGCATCTTTGGGAGCAAAAATTAATATAAGACACTGTCTTATTAATATTGTATTTTCGGGGAAACAGGGTAGTCATTATTTACTGGTACTGCATACAGTAACTATCATTTTGCCACCTACTGTATCTTAAGTTTTATAAATGCTATATCATTTATTCCTTTCAACAACTTGAGAGTTAAGTGTTACGGCTCCATTTCCATAGATGAGGGACTTAAGGTTCAGAGAGAATAAATAACTTGCCCAAGCAATTTGGAAATAAGTAGCAGAGTCAAAATTTGAACTTAAGCCTGTCTGATTCCAAAACCATTACCTTAACTTGCAGGTGAAAGCAAGAAATATGGGCCCCTGAATCTCCAATTTGTCAGCTGCAGGCCCTAATAAAGTTTATCAGTTTATCTCAGCATCAGCTCTAGGATTGTATCTGCATGTGTGAGAAGGATGGGAAACATGGATTTCCTCTGGGAGAGCAGATAAAGCTATTCCCAGACTTATTTCCAGACTCATCCTCCTATCCTTTGGGGCAGAGCAATGCAGGTAACAGTGAATTGATGAGAAATCACGTACCACCAAAAAAGTAGTGTATAACAACCATATAATCACTGACGGTCCATGCCACTCATCTTCCTTAAGTCATGTGCCATGACTGCGAGACCACTGGGGCAAGAATTATTATTGGCCATACAGCCACAACACAATTATTGGACTAATACAACATGATAGTATTTTTTATGTATTAATCCTATAAACCAAAAGTATAAATAAATGTTATAGGCTGTTTGAACCCAAGGAAGTTTCCTAAGCATGGACATTTTTAAAAAAATATGTTTTTATTGATTTTAGAGAGAAAAGAAGGGAAGAGAGAGAAATAAATACCGATGTGAGAAGGAAACATTGATTGGTTGCTTCCTGCATACCCCCTACTGGAGATCAAGTTCACAACACAGGCATGTGCCCTAATCAGAAATTGAACCAGTGTCATGTTGGTGCATGGGGCAATACTCAACCAACTGAGCCACATCGGCCAGGGCGGTATGAAAATTTTTGACAGGATCAAATGTCAAGGACTATTTGGAATGAACCAATATGCTCATGAAGGTTTATGACAGGACCAAATTTCAAGGACCTTTGGACTTGGACCAAATGTCTCTGTGGAAATTTTGAACAGAACCAAATGTTCACTAATCCCATAAATAATTAGCATATCTGTTAACAAGAAAGATTTCTATAATATGTCATCAAGTAAAAAAATTATATATATATATATATATATATATATATATATATATATATATATATAGCCTAAGCGATCGAACTGGTTTCCACTGATTGCTATGATGCATAATGACATGAGGGGGCAGACGCTCAATGCAGGAACTGTCCCCTGGCGTCAGTGTGTTCTCACAGCAGGAGTGCCAGATGCTGGGCTCACAGCTAGTGAGTGCAGCTCCAGCAGTGTGAGCCTCTCCCGCCTCTGCAGCTGTGCTACCAAGCACCCGCAGAGGCAGGTGCAGTGGGGCTGGGATGAGCAGGAGTGGTGCAGAACATGGCCTGAGCTCCAGCTCCTCCCCGACTGCCTGCGACTTCTCACACTACTACATCTCCCAAGAGTCCTAGATTGCGAGATGGCGCAGGCCAGGCTGAGGGACCCCACCAGTGCACGAATCCATGCACCAGGCCTCCAGTAAAATTATAAACCTTATGTATGGGGGAAACATACTTTATTACCCTATGCCTCTGAGGATAGGATATGTATGGCTACCTGGCCCAAGAATAAAAGCTAGCTTTTCCACTTATTAAAAAGGAAAGCCTAAATCTTGAAAAGTATTGGTAATACAGCAGATGAGTCAGGCTGAAAATTCTTATAACAAGTCCCAATCCATAACTCAGCCAGTTGCACTGTCACTGCACATCCCAGACTGCTCTCCACTGTCTCTGCACATCCCAGACTGCTCTGCACTGTCACTGCACATCCCAGACAGCTCTGCACTGTCACTGCACATCCCAGACTGCTCTGCACTGTCACTGCACATCCCAGACAGCTCTGCACTGTCACTGCACATCCCAGACAGCTCTGCACTGTCACTGCACATCCCAGACAGCTCTGCACTGTCACTGCACATCCCAGACAGCTCTGCACTGTCACTGCACATCCCAGACAGCTCTGCACTGTCACTGCACATCCCAGACAGCTCTGCACTGTCACTGCACATCCCAAACAGCTCTACATTATCACTGTACATCACAGACAACTCTGCACTATCACTGTACATCACAGACAACTCTGCACTATCACTGTACATCAGACAGTTGCAAGGGCACACAATTTTGCAAGTAAGTTTTATTCTATTTTGTATAAATACCTCTTGATTTTGAAAGAGCATCTCTTCCTTGGTACTAAAAATATAAAACACAGTACAGGACATGAACAGTAAACACCCCACTTAGAATGAGAACATTTATATGTTCTCACAACTCAAGTTACCAATAAATGAAATCTCATGACTGAGTTTTGGTAAATAAGTCATCAGAAAATACAATGATAATGTGAAAATGATTAAAAAGATAATCAGTGACCATGCAGAGTTGTCTGAGATGTACAGTGTGCTTAGTGATTAAAGATCAGCTGGTGCACTGAAGGATCACAGATTTGATTCATGGTTAAGGTCACACACCTGGGTTGCAAATTTGATCCCTAGCCCCAGTTAGGGCACCTGCAGGAGGCACCAATCAATGTGTGTCTCTCACATCACTGTGTCTTTCTCTCTCCCTCCTCCCCCCTTTTACTCTCTCTAAAAAAAGTCAATGAAAAAAATATCCTTGGGTAAGGATTAACAACAACAACAAAATAAAATACTAAACACAAATGTAGACATCTTTCTTTTACTTACTTCTTAAATATAATTGTGATGGAAAGTGATCAAACTGATCGGGTACAGAAGATTTTGGGGATGGATTCAAAAGATTTTCCTTGCTCTTCAGAAAGAATTCTACGGTGTCCAGCTGACGATTTTCTATTCCAGCCTGAAATGGGAGAAAAATCAGAAAACAATTACAACAGGAAAAAAGTCAAGAAACAAAAAAATATTTTTAAACTTCAGAACTTAAATGTGCTGAGACTGAAGACACAAACCTATCTTTATCTTGTTCCATGAGCACCTGGGTTCTAGATAATGACTAATTCCGCAATCTGGGGCAAGTATCTATAACCTTTCTGAACATTAGTTTCTGCTTCAGCAGAAACAGACGGTTAGATAAAAACACCTTTTCAGCTCTACTGTTCTGTATTTCTAAAACAATTCAATGCTAGGTACCTGTGCATCACCCTTACAATTATGTTATAGTCTATTTAAATTAACATGTTAAAGCAGTGTGATATAAAGTTGACTGAAAAGCAGGCAAAAAAAAAAAAAAGGCTACTATTTCTGACTAGGTATTTTTTTTTTAATCAATCTTTATTGTTCATATTATTACAAAGGTCTGACTAGGTATCTTGAGGAACCTCTCCATAGAGAATATTTAGAAATCACAGATGTTAAAAAAATGTTTGTGTGTGAATCTTTAAATGTTCAGCTGAACAAGAAAGTGAGAAAAATTCTCATGGGATAAAAGCAAATTTTCCTTTCCCCCTATTACTCAAACTTTCTACAATGATTATTTTGCTATGTAAGAGTAAATTTTACAACATATGGTCTGGAACTTGAAAAATAATTAAGTTGGATTCTTCCTTTAAGTTGGATGTCTTCCTTATACCATATACAAAAATTAATCAAAATGCATCAGAGACCTAAACTGTAAGAGCTAAAACTAAAAAACTCATAAGAGTAAATCAGTTTAGGCAATGGTTTCTTAGATATAACACTAAAACTATCAATGACCAAAAAAAAAAATTTTTTTGACCATCAAAATTAAATAAAAACTTGTGTTTCAAAAACACCATTGAGAAGATGGTAAGACAATACACAGAATGAGAGAAAATATTTACAAATCTTACATATAATAAAGGTCTAGAATCCAGGATATATAAAGAACTCTTAGAGCCCTAGCCTGTTTGGCTCAGTGGATAGAGCATCGGCCTGTGGACTGAGGGCCTGTGGAAACAACTCAAATATCTATCAACTAACGAATGGACAAACAAATGTGATATACTCGTATAATGAAACATTATTCAGCCATAAAAAAGAATGGAGTACTGAAACATACAACCTCCTGGATGAACCCTGAAAACATGCTAAGTGAAAAAATCCACTTTTATGAAATGTCCAGAAAAAGCAAGTCCAGAGACAGAAAGTAGGTTCATGTTTGAGTCCTCAATGAATAGGAAGTGACTGTTAATAGGCACAGAGTTTCTTTTTGGGGTAATGAATATGTTCTGGCTGCACAACTCTGAATATGTTAAAAACCACTAAACTGGCCGAAATCGGTTTGGCTCAATGGATAGAGCGTCGGCTTGGGGACTTGAAGGGACCTGGGTTCGATTCCGGTCAAGGCATGTACCTTGGTTGCAGGCATATCCCCAGTAGGGGGTGTGCAAGAGGCAGCTGATTGATGACTCTCTCTCACTGATGTTTCTAACTCTCTCTCTCTGCCTTCCTCTCTGTACAAAATCAATAAAATATATTTTAAAAATAATAAAATAGAATAAAAACCACTGAATTGTAGATGGATGGATTTTATGGTATTTAAAATATATCTCAATAAAGCTGTCATCAAAAAAAACAAACTGGCACAGAACATTTTAACTTTTACTTTTTATCATTTTAGGGCCTGTGTGGTATAGTAGAAAGTACCCTGGCTTTGATTCTAGCTCATGTCTTTATTACAATATATAGCTATGGGCCACTCACTCAACTCTTCTGAGCCTTAGGATTTTCATTCATAAAATGAAATGAATGAAAACTACTCAACCCATCTCATGTGGTTAATTTTAGGCCAAAATTAGATAGTACATATAAAGAGTGTTTGTGAATTAAAATATACACTAATAATAGAGAAATATACAAATTGACCATCAGTTTGTGACACCCACCAGCCAATCAGGAGTGAGTATGCAAATTAACCCAACAAAGATGGCAGCAGCCCTGCCCACCAGTCATTCTGGGCCTCTGGACAGCATAATGCAGATGTGGAGTGGCTGGACAGGGCTGGACACCGGGGAGGGGTAGGGAAGGGCAGAAGGAGTTACAGGAGTGGCGCTCTGGATGGAGCGAAGACTGAAGGCTCCAGCCGGAGTGAAGATGGAAGGCAGTGGCTAGAGCAAAGGCCTGGGTCCCAGGTGCAGGAGAAAAACCGGTGCCAGCAGCCAAAGGACGGAAGGCCTATTGCACAAATCTTCGTGCAATGGGCCTCCATTATGCTATAAAAATTCAGGTGATGTTTCTATAGTAAGACTGACTACCAGCTAGGAATAAAAGATTACGCCTATTTAAGCTTCCCATAGCTTGCTTCCACTTTGTTTAATCTCATTGGCTTATTGTTGCTTCTATTTCTTGTACCTTTGTTTCCTTAAGTATTGTTTATTATAATTTTATATCTTTTAAAGCCAAAAAATGTATACTACTAAGTAGAATTAGGGTAATGAAATAACCAGAACTAAGCAAATAGATGGATAAAGACTATAGTTTTTTGTTTGTTTTTTGCTCCTAGGTTAAGTAATTCTCCCAAATCTTGAATCATATAAGAATATATGACAGAATGTAAAGTTCTATAGACATTTGTTACCTCTAGTGCATGTATAGGGATTGAGCACCTGCCCCAATCATTGAGATGGCAGAGAGTGTCCACAGTGCTGGCACTTCCATGGATCATTAGTCTATTTAAAAACTCCTCTTGGGTCAAACCAAACAAAATCAGAGAGAGTCCATTCTCTACATGAAAAATAAAAGTAAGCTTTAATAAATTAGTAGGACTTAGGCTTTAGGATTATGGCGAGAATTAATTTCTAATTATCCAATACTTCAGAACTAATTATAAATATATTTATTGAACACAAGGTACTATTATGACTTCAATTAATTAATCATGATTTTTCAATGCTGTTGAAGTGTTCTATTTTTAAAACACTGACCAAAAGTCAAATTCTACTAAGAACAATGCCATCTATGAAATAGCATTAAATTTCACTTTTTTACTTTGTATTATCTTGCAAAATCAATACTTGGAATCTTTAACTATTTAAAGAGATGTTACATTTCTGGTTTACTAAATAAAACAATAGCATGTTCTTGACACACAGAAATATGCGATTACCAAAAGTGGGGTACTGAAGACACATACACACATGGTTAGTTCAATCATAATATTCAACAGTTTTGTAGGAGATTATGGCATAAGTGCTGAATGAATGTGTGTCTAAAATATCAAACTCAAATGCCTACAGGGGCCAAGCAGGTGGCAGAAGTAAAATGCATTAAGAGAAAACACATCTTCTCAGCAATAGACAACCTGATACAAGACATTTCTCACCTGTCAAAACAAGGCACAGTTGCTGGTCTCCACTATTATCTATAGGAATACACCTTTTGCCAAGGGAAAAGCACTGTATGCCCTCGATCTCCAAATCCCAAAGGACAATGGTACAGCCCATCTTTCCTACTGTCCAGGCAAACAGGGCAGTGAATCCTGTCACAGACAAACATCTAAGCTCGATGGGTTCCTCTTGTTCACTGATGTGCATTATTTTCCATGCTCTTCCTGGATCATTGGTCTTGGCATGACCTTTCTGTGGAAAACTATACTGACTGTGCATTATGTCCTGTGGAATGAAGGCCCAACCTGGCACACTGGTACAATGGTTATTAGACTCCAAATGCAAAATATCCTGGAACCATGGAGCACAGTGGGAAACCTCCATTGTAGAGCTCTTTATTGTTTCATTCAATGACAATAGCTGGGCTTTCCACGACCTGGAAAACAGGGTAGAACTCACATCTGTTACAAATGAAAAGCACTAAATAAGTAATACACTGAACAAAAAATAAAATGCACTTTTTTTTAAAAAAAAAAGTGTCTATTTCTGGCAAAAATGAAAATAATAAGTAAATCCAAAAAGGATTTCTGTACCTATCAACTTGGAAGGAAAACTTGGTCAGTTTCATGTTGTAGTCAGAATTCACAGGATCATCTTCGTCTATCCCCTTAGCACCTTCAATAGGAATATCTTCTAGAGTTTTTTCACAAAATAGGTGTCCTGGGTGTTGCCTACATTTTAAAATAATAGGCACAGTAAAAAATGATGATCAAATCCAAATCTGTTACTACTCCTTCAGCTAAAAATTAGGGGTGTGGTGAGGGAGGATAACACAGAGAAGGGACAGTGTAGACAGTAAGTTTCCCTAAACAGGACTCCTTCTTATCTCCATTACTTAAAACAGAATCATAGTCAGCCTTAAGAGTTCACCCTGTTGTAACTATGTATGGTTATGAATGTTAACTAGATTTACTATGGTGATCATTTTGATAGATAGATATAGATAGATAGATAGAGTCATTATGCTGTACGCCTGAAACTAATAAGATATTATATATCAATTTTATCTGAATTTTAAAAATTATCATCCTTAAGGGCAGTTAGCTTTATAAAGATATAAGAGCATTTACTGTTTACTATATTGCAGATGTGATAAAAACTTTACATAAATTATCTTATCCAAGCCTTTCAACAACCCTAAGAAATAAATATGCTCCCATTTTATAGATATAGAAACTAAGGCTCAGAGGAACAGTCGAGCTGGATTTGAATTAAGTCAATGTGACTATAAAGGCTTTAAAAAATATATATATTTTATTGTTTTTTTACAGAGAGGGAAAGGGACAGAGAGTTAGAAACATCTATGAGAGCGAATCATCGATCAGCTGCCTCTTGCACACCCCCTATTGGGAATGTGCCCACAAACAAGGTACATGCCCTTGACCGGAATCAAACCTGGGACTTTTCCATCCGCAGGCCACTGAGCCAAATCGGTTTCTGCTATGAAGGCTTTTAAGCATTACCTTTATCGACACCACAAAGATTCAGGCCAAGACAGGGGAGAGGCATAAAAACTAGGAAGACAAAGTAGGAGTGTGGGAAAATACGTGCAGAGAGAGGGCTATCATGTTTGAAAAACACAAAGAAGGCTAGGGTGGCTAAAGCATAGTGAATGAGAAGCAAGGTGGTATGAGGTGAAATTAGAGAGATTGGAGGGACAGATGATGCAGAGCTTTATGGGCTATTAAGAACTTTTAGTTTTTGGCTTGTGGAGAGGAAAAGGAAGCTAAGTAAGGGCTTTAAGCAGAGGAGTGATGTGGTCAGATGCAGAAGAGTAGCTGGGTTGAAAAACGAATGCATTTAAACCCCAGGCACTTAGTTAAATTACTAACTATTAACCCTTTCAACAATTTGAAGGTATTATAGACATGGATTTGTCAAGGAGATGATGAAAGTAAGTTATAGAAGGAAGGGTGATAGTGGAGGGGGGGGGGGGGGGGGATACATGGAGAAGGTATATACCCTGTCCCCAGATGTTAATACCTGGCTATACCTCTTATAAGATTTTAACATCATCACTGATTGTGCTATAGAGGATGGATCTGAGGAGGTAAGAACAGATACAAGGAGACCAATTCAAAGCTCTTAAGCTATTTCAGGTTAAGTGATGATAGTGGTATGATGACAGAGGAGTTAAGTGAACAGATTTTTTTTTTTTAAGTGAACAGATTTAAGAAACATTTATAACAATAGAATGGCTAGGACCTTGTGATTATCTGGATGTGGATGTAATACTTAAGAGGTTAAACGGGGGAAAGAGAGGTTGGAAATATAAAAAAGAAAGCAAATGGAAAACGGTCCCTGAGGAGGGAAGTAGTGAAATCCAGAGCACACAGAGAGATGGGCTTTCATAGGAGGTGAAAATCCTTCCATTGTAATAGGAGGGAAGACAGATAAGATGGGTAAAGGAAATTGGGTTTGTAATTTAATGTGAAGAAATTTAATGGGATCTACTCCTTTATAAAGCAGGAAGCAGTCACCCAAGAAGAGCTGGGAATAAATAAATGAGTAGAAGGTTTGAAGAAAATGGAAACATAAAAACACTGTTGCAAAAAATGGGCTCATGCCGAAACCAATTTGGCTCAGTGGATAGAGCATCAGCCTTTGGATTGAAGAGTCTTGGGTTTGATTCTGCTCAAGGGCATGTATAATACCTTGGTTTTGGGCACATCCCCTGTAGGGGGCGTGCAGGAGGCAGCTGACTGATGTTTCTAACTCTATCCTTCTCTCTTCCTCTCTGTAAAAAATCAATAAAATATATTTTTAAAAATAAAATAAAATTAAATTAAATTTAAAAAAGGGCTCACAAGACATAGAAGCACAGAATAGACTGTGGAATCTGGGAGAGGGAAGAGACCTACCAAAGAACTTTATGCATATATGCATAACCTGTGGACACAGACAATAGGGTGGGTGAAGGCCTGAAGGGGGGGGAGAGTGAAAGGGTCAATGGGAAGAAAAAGGAGACTTATGTAATACTTACAACAATTAAGATTTTTGGATAGCCATTGCAGTGCATTGAGCTCCATAGAGACAGCGCCCGGGCAAGCACGAGCCGGCCGGGCACAGGGTGACTGCGTGCTCGCTGAGGGAAAGTAATTAAATATGAGCAAAGGGATCCTAAGAAGCCGAGAAGCAAAATGTCATAGTATGCTTTCTTTGTGCAAACTTGCCGGAAGAAACACAAGAAGAAGCACCCAGATGCTCACCCAGATGCTTCAGTCTTCTCAGTTTTCTAAGAAGTGCTCAGAGAGGTGGAAGACCATGTCTGCTAAGGAGAAAGGAAAATTTGAAGACATAGCAGAGGTGGCCAAGGCTCGTTATGAGAGAGAAATGAAAACTTATATTCCTCCTAAAGGGGAAACAAAAAATAAATTCAAGGATCCCAATGCACCTAAGAGGCCTCCTTTGGCCTTTTTCTTGTTTTGTTCTGAGTATCACCCAAAATCAAAGGAGAGCATCCTGGCCCACCCATTAGTGATGTTGCAAAGAAGCTGGGAGAGATGTGGAATCACACTGCTGCAGATGACAAGCAGCCTCATGAAAAGAAGGCTGCTAAGCTGAAAGATAAATATGGAAAGGAGATTGCTGCCTACCGAGCTAAAGGAAAGCCTGATGCTGCCAAAAAGAGAGTTTTTGCTGCCTACCGAGCTAAAGAAAAGCCTGATGCTGCCAAAAAGAGAGTTGTCAAGGCTGAAACAAGCAAGAAAAAGAAGGAAGAGAAAGAAGACGAGGAAGATGAGGAGGAAGTGGAGGAGGAAGATGATGATGAAGTAGATGATGATAACTAATAATTTGGTTCTAACGTAGTTTTTTCCTCTTGTCTATAAAGCATTTAACCCCCTTGTACATAACTAACTCTTTTTAAAGAAAAAAAAAATTGAAATGTAAGGCTGTGTAAGATTTGTTTCTAAACTGTACAGTGTCATTTTTGTATAGTTAACACACTACCAAATGTGTCTTTAGAAAGCTGTGGTGGTATTTTCAATAGCCTGGTAGGTACAGTATGCGGGTTGTAAATTGGCATGGAAATTTAAAGCAGGTTCTTGTTGGTGCACAGCACAAATTAGTTATATATGGGGATGGTAGTTTTTTCATCTTCAGTTGTCTCTGATCCAGCTTATACGAAATAACTGTTGTTCTGTTAATTGAATACCACTCTGTAATTGAAAAAAAAAAAAACAGTTGCAGGTTTTGTTGACATTCTGAATGCTTCTAAGTAAATACAACTGTTTTTATTAGGGGGGGAAAAAGATATTTAAAAGAACTTAGTTGAAACAAAAACAAAATGGGCTCACAAAAAAATCATTGCAAAATTTCTAGGTAATATTGAGAGACCAGTTGAAAGTCCTGAATGTGAACTTACAATGGTATCAATTTTTCTTTGTGATTTTCACACAAGTGCTTAGTTGCTCAGGTGCAGGGACTACAAAGGTAGAGTAAAAAAAAAAAAAGATTTTGTCAGACTGAGTGCTACCATAGGGCAAGAACAAGAGTTTAGGGTGGGGGGGGGGGGAAATTACTTAAATACTGTATCACAGGACTTCTGCTGAAAAATAGGGAAGTGAAGACAGGAGTGGGCTGGAAGATGGAAGGTAAATGAATTGGAAATTCCAATGAGGTCAGATGACAGATGAAGTGGGAGTACCTGAGTAAGTGAGCTGGAAAATTTGGTAAGTGTGGTCAATGAGTGAGATGTGTAGAATAGTGATGTGAAGGAAGGCCAGTTCCAAATAATGGCAAAGCCCAGGTATGACTATGAGAGTGGACAGCTAAGGAAAATTGGAAGAAAAGGTCACTGAGAGAACAAAGCATGAGTTTGGGTTCTCAAGGAACTTACAAGCTCTATTGGAAGCATAAAAACATTAGGAAATAATACAATACTATACAAGTAAGTGCCAGATGGTAGTTCAAAATAGAAGCTCAAAGAGGAAAATTATAAAATGAGTATAAAATTACAAGAGGAAATGATTTTTATTAAGAAAAAGCTGTTCCTGCCAAAACCGGTTTGGCTCAATGATAGAGTGTTGGTCTGCGAACTGAAAAGTACCAGGTTTGATTCCAGTCAAGGGTATGTACCGTATTTTTCGGACCATAAGACGCACTTTTTTCCCCCCAGAAGTGTGGGGGGGAAAAGTCCCTGCGTCTTATGGTCCAAATATAGCCTACACATATACTTTAAAAAAAAAGTTTTTTTACTTGCCCGGCTCTGTGTGGTCTCTGTGTGCTTGCCCGGCTCTAAAATGGTTCTAAATGCTGCTGTTTACTTTACAGGGTTGATTACATGTGTTTATGACTGTGATGTTGGGTTTTAATGCACATAAAATATTTTAGGACACTATTTGTTTCAGAATCCTTTTTTCTTCATTTCCCTTCTCTAAAAACTGGTGCGTCTTATGGTCCGGAGCGTCTTATGGTCCGAAAAATACGGTACCTTGGTTGCGGGCACATCCCCGGTAGGGGGGGGTGTGCAAGAGGCAGCTGGTTGATGTTTCTCTCTCATTGATGTTTCTAGCTCTCTATTTCTCTCCCTTCCTCTCTGTAAAAAATCAATAAAATATATTTTAAAAAAAGAAAAAAAGAAAAAGCTATTCCTAAAGTTTTAACAAAAATTCTTATTGGCAGAGTGTCTCATGGTAAAATTGCATAACATGTTATGAACCTAAAGCAGTCATAGTTTAGCACAAATAATTAAAATGTAAAAGCTATTTAGACTACATTATAAAATTTCCATTATAAAGTCTCCGATTATTTAAATTTAAAAGGGGGTGACAGTGGAAGAATACCATGTAAGGAAAAATATCCTGCGAGTAATTTATATCTAAAAATTTGCACTTTAGAAAATTAACCTTCATTCGAAACGCTAACAGCAAGATACCCATGAAATACACACATGGTGTCAAAACAAGCAAGAGGAAAATCATTTGGCGGGGGGAAAATGAAAAAGGATCTCAAGTCAAATTTATAGAAAATATCCCTTTATTAACTTTTGGTCGAGAATATGTTTGTATATTTTCAGAAAACAACTCTGAGATCATCTGGATTCCTATAACAGAGAGGAATGGAATAGACAGAAGTGCTACAGCCATGAAGACAGAAGAGAAACAATTCAGCTATGGAAGATGCTGATGACGCCTCGCCATACCAGCAGACAGCAGCTGCGTGTTGCTGAAGGATGCCCAGGACCAAAGCGGAGATGGTTGGCCCTGCATCACCACCATTTGTCCACCAACCAGATCGAAAATATCATGGCTGAAATGTACACATAAGGAACTATTTGACATTGAAATTGGGACTCAAAAGAACTGTTGGCCCAGAAAAGAACTCACTACAGACTGATTCATTTGCCTCTCAGCATAATCATTATGGCTTGTCTCAGTTTAGGTTCTTACAAGGGTTTTTCTTGGGTCACATGATCTCACACATCTAGAGGAAATAATGAACAACATAAACTGATGAACAAAAACAGACCCAGAGAAAGAGAAGCAGCGATCAGACTCTCAAACCTCAGAGGGAAAGTAGGGGAGGGTGGGGGTAAGGGGGAGAGACCAACCAAAGGACTTGTGCGCACGCATATGGGCCTAACCAGTGGCCATGAACAACAGGGGGTGGGGGCACATGTAGGGAGGGGTTTGGGATGGGAACGGGGATGAGGACAATTATGTGATACTATAATCAATAAAATTAGAAAAAATAAAAAAATAATAATAAAGGCATCCAAATTGGGGGGGGGGGGGGGGGGGGGAGAAAAGGCTTCATGAAAGAGGTGGATATCAAAGGTTGAACAGGACTTAAGAAAATGAAAAGGAGGAACTATATTCCATATCAGGGGAAAGAAGAACTAGAGCCATGAGACAGGAAAGACAGAAACACTTTGAGATTTCAAAGCACACTTACAAAATAAAACAAGCAGTAAACTCCAAATAAATTATACTAATTAAAGAGCATTTATATAAATCTATCTATCTATCTATCTACTATATAAAAAAAGCCTAGCCGAGACTGGTTTGGCTCAATGGATAGAGCGTCGGCTTGGGGACTGAAGAGTCCCAGGTTCGATTCCGGTCAAGGGCATGTGCCTTGGTTGCGGGCATATCCCCGGTGGGGGGTGTGCAGGAGGCGGCTGATCGATGACTCTCTCTCATCGATTTTTCTAACTCTCTGTCTCTCTCCCTTTCTCTCTGTACAAAATCAATAAAATATATGTATTTAAAAAAAGCCTAAGCAACTGTTACAACCAGTCAACCAAACATCCAGTTGACTGTTAGTTATGACATGCACTGACCACCAAGGGGCAGAGACTCAATGCAGGAGCTGCCATCTGTGGTCAGTGCACTCCCACAGCCAACCTCCTGCAGTCCCACCCCAACTGGCTCCATCACCGGCCAAGCAGAGGGATCCCACCCATGCACAATTTCGTGCACAGGGCCTCTAGTAATTAATAAACAGAAATCACTTATTTAGCTGGACAGAACAGATTCCTAAATGTACTGCAGGAAACAATAAAAGTAGCTCTTACATGGCTGAGTTCAAGGAAATTTGTTCAAAGGAATGTGCCTGGTACCTTCTTCAGAGTTCTCTCAGAGTACTGCCAGAGGAACAGAACCCTACACTCAAGGACCAGAGTAGCTGAGTATGCTTCCTTCCCTCTACCCATCAAATTGTTCTTACTGATGATCAGGAGGTAACTACACATGCAGGTGTGGTTTAGTAAGTAAAAATGACCTATTGATTAACAAGCACACAGTCTGGGAATATGCTTATAATCCCTATTCAAAGATTTAAAAATATATATATAATAAATCACAGTGATGAGAAGTTCTGTTATGTATGTAAAAATGAATTAATCATTTTTTTTGTGATCCAATAAGCAATAAAACCCATCAAGCCCTAACCGGTTTGGCTCAGTGCCTAGAGCAACCCGTGGACTCCAGGGTCCCAGGTTCGATTTCAGTCAAGGGCGTGCACCTTGGTTGTGGGCACATCCCCAGTAGGGAGTGTGCAGGAGGCAGCTGATTCATGTTTCTCTCTCATTGATGTTTCTAACTCTCTCTCCCTCTCTTTCCTCACTGTAAAAAATCAATAAAATATATTTTTTAAAACAACCATCAAGGTACATTACAATTATAAGGATTTGTTCTCATTCAGAATAAGTTAGAAACAAAAAACCTAAATGATTTTGAATGGTCCTAAATACTCAAAGTCCTAATTGTGGACGGCTGACTTTTAGATAAGCAAGTTACAATATATAGGCTACTCTGTGTTTGTGTGAGCACACATGCACACACACTCACCCCTCTCAAACATTATAAAATCAGAAGCAACTAGAATACTACCTAAACCAAGAAACAACACAAATAAGAACTCAATTTTTACTAATGTATTTAGACAGCCAAAAGTGTGGCTTCTCCAAGGAAAACAGCTGAGGAAATCCTCAGGTGGAGAAAGTTAGCTTACTGTATCCTGTCAAACTACTTTAAGAGGAAAGTAATCCCCAAGGAAGCCAGGATGCTGAGCCACGTTAAGAGTTCTAACACAGGGGAAATCCCATTCCTCTTCTACTCTAATGTGAGGCAAGAGGGAAATAAACAATGTATAATAGCCAAGGGCTTTTAAAATTGTGCTCGATTATTTTTCATTTATATAATGACATAAGCCATATATAATAACATAAATAAAAATGAAGAGTTTATATACATCCAGAAATCCTATATAATAGAGGTAATATGCAAATTGATCATCACTCCATCACAAAGGTGGCTGCACCCACAACTGAGGCCAAGTTCCCATGAGGAGCCTTAACAAGCAATCAGCAGGGACCTGAGGCCACACCTCCCCAGCCCCTGTGGGTCTTGACAGGGGACCTCAGGCCGCATCCCCCACCCAGTAGGGCTTGACAGAGGACCGCAGGCTATGTCCCCCACCCAGTGAGGCTTGGCAGGGGATCTCAAGGTGCACCTCCAGTGCTGGGTCAGGGGAACTCCGGCCACATCCACCACCCAGCAGGGTTTGATGGGGGACCTGAGGCTGTGGCCCCCCAACCCCTGGCTTGGTGGGGTTCAATGGGAGACCTCAGACCATGCCCCCCACCTGAGGCTACTCCCCCTGCCCAGCAGGGCTTGACAAGGGTGGGGCTGGCCTGGTCTGGGTCTCATGCAATTTTGAGATGCATGTGGGTGGACAGAGACTTGACTCTGGGTCCCGTGGCGGGTCCCAGACTCTGACAGGAGGAAGCTTTTTATATACGTTTTACTAATTTTCTTTAATCTCTGGTACTTCTATTATAGAGAAAGGGCAAATAGCAATTTTAAATTATTTCTTCTAATTAATCCCATTTCAATGTGCGTGAATTTAAAAGATAATCAGTGGCCTGGCTAAAGTGCCTCAGTGTTGAGCATCGACCTATGAACCAGGAGGTCAGTTTGATTCCCATTCGGGGCACAGGCCCAGGTTACAGGCTTAATCCACAGTAGTGTGCAGAGGAAGAAAACTACTATTAAGGAAAAGTTAATAAATACATTTTTAACCTCTTATGGCTCAAATTATTTACCTCAAATTAGAGATTACAGCAATCTACATACCTGAAATACAAGTTTAAGTTAAGAGCAATTGCCGAGTTGGAGGAGCTGACAATCACAACAACATCTAGGTCTTGAGACACTTTCAGAGAAGTAAAGGAAGAAATCTTGGCTGGCTCCTGTTGCTGCTCATCACATATATCTTCTTGGTGAAGTGCTAAATCCACGTGAGCTACATGTGTACCACCCACAATGTCGAAAATGTCTTTGAGTTAAAGTTAAAGAAAATCACAGTTTTAAGTATGTCTAATCATTTACTACAGGATGGCTAGAGATCCAATCTTGTAAGTATAAGGACAGTGAATCTGCCCCTATTATATTATAGAAACCAGATGAAGTTGGTAGCCCAATAAACAACCTAAGAGTCCATTCAATAATACTTGCTGAATGCCCACTCTGAGCCAGTCGCTGAGACACTGGTAATATTTTCCACTAGTGTTCTACAACAGTATTGTCCACGAGTAATATATGCAAACCACATTTGCCAATGTAAATTTTCTAGTAACCTTATTTAAAAAGTAAAAAGAAATCTGTGTTCCTAATGTTAATAATATATCCAATATATTAACTCAATATATCCAAAATATCATCTCACCACATAATAAGTAAAAAAATTTGATATATTTTACATCCTTTTTTCCGTATAAATGTTAGAAATCTGGTATTTTGCCGAAACTGGTTTGGCTCAGTGGTAGAGCATCGGTCTGTGGACTGAAAAGTCCCAGGTTCGATTCCAGTCAGGGGCATGTACGTTGGTTGCGGGCACATACCCGATGAGGGGTGTGCAGGAGGCGGCTGTTCAGTGTTTCTCTCTTATTGATGTTTCTAGCTCTATATCTCTCTCCCTTCCTCTCTGTAAAAAATCAATAAAAATATATTAAAAAAAAAAAAAGAAATCTGGTATTTTACACTTATAGTATATCTTAATTCGGACACTAAATTTTCACTGAAAATACCTGATCTCAATTATGTTCCAAACATACTTAAGAGTTCTCAAACAGCTGAACCAAGCACTAGCTTTTAAATAAAATAATTAAATACAATTAAAAATTTAGTTCCTCAATCATACTAGCCAATTTCAAGTGTTCAAAAGCCACATATGCCTAGCACTATGTTGAACAGTGGAGTTCTATAATCTGGCAACAAAAATGAAGTTAATCCAATAATTTGACATTTGTATAAAAGTTTTGATAGAGGCTAATATATCTAAAAACACACACAAACACCTATTCCTTTAATTTATAAAATGAGTTTCCAAAATCACATAATAGGTCATTTTTTTAAGCCTTTGAAATAATTTTGCTGATGATCTATGGTTCTGCTAAAGATAAAAAACCCATATTTTTTTTAAAAAAGTGATTAAACAAATCATATTACTCAATAATATGATGAAATCATTACTTGTGATGAGTGGATATATCATATCATAAGTGAGCATTTAAAACTTTCCTGGGCTCTAGCCGGTTTGGCTCAGTGGATAGAGCATCGGTCTGTGGACTGAAGAGTCCCAGGTTCGATTCTCGTCAAGGGCATGTACATTGGTTGCAGGCACATCCCCAGTGGGGGGTGTGCAGGAGGCAGTTGATGGATGTTTCTCTCTCATCAATGTTTCTGGTTCTCTATCCCTCTCCCTTCCTCTCTGTGGAAAAACAATAAAATATATTTAAAAAAACAAACAAAAAAAAACTTCCTGGAATAAGAACATAACAGATATTTAATAATCATATTTGAATAAATCGGTAATGCAGAGTATACACAATTTAAAAAGAACACAAGTTAGACAAGATGATTATGACTATGAAAAAACATATATGTATACAATCAAAAGTATTTGAATGGAATATGAATCAATATAATTAAGTTCATGAAGATCTTTTTCCCTGAAAAGTTTTTTTTACTAAAAAAATAACCATCAACCTACACTCAAATTCCTTAAAACTAAAAGCCTAAAAAGGTTCTTTCTAAGTATTCACCTCCCCTGCACATCAACATTTTTGCCACCAAGGATACAGATCCAGCCTAAAGCACTCAAAACAAAAAGAATTCCTCTGCAGAGTTGCATGTCAATAATACTGTCCACAGCCTGTATAGGCAAGGGTAATGTGAAATAGTTGAGTACTCTAATCTCAGCATCTCTTTCAGGAAACATGATGTGTAGGATGATACATTTGTTGATGAACAATAATGATGTGTTATTGTGGAATGACAGAATTCTCAAAGATAATAAGGAAATACCTATGAAACAAAAAAATAGTATTTCAAACTCATTGGTCACATTGTTACAATGAGTAAATTTGATTTTGTACAATATAACACAAACAGGTAAAACAAAAAACATACCACTTAACTCAATCCAACTCTAGGCAGTTATTATTCACATCTACCTAAGCAAGTAGATATTGAAAGGTCGGTAAGGGGGTGAAGAAAGATGGTCTAATGTCTCTTGTTCCTTGTGTTATGGCCAGTCTGACAACACACCAAAAAATTCAAAAAGCCTACTTACTACTCAAGAGACCCCACAAGAACAATCACAGGAGGGCTGGGCCCATGTGCCTCAATGGTTGAGCGTCAACCCATGAACCAAGAGGTCACTGATTCCATTCCCGATCAGGGCACATGCCTGGCTTGTGGCCTCAATCCCAAGATGTTTCTCTCTCATCGATGTTTCTATCTTTCTATCCCTCTCCCTTCCTCTAAAATCAATAAAGACATATTTTTGAAAAAGAAATCTTAAAAGTCAAGGATTGCAAATATGCTACCTTAAAAATAGAAACCCAAGTGCTTTGATTTCTGCTCCCTGCAACTCTCAGAATGGAACACAGTAAAGAGCTCTGTAACCAGTGTTAATTCAGCACTATCCAACAGAAATATATTGTCAGCCACAAATGCAAGCCATACGTAATTTTACACTTTTTAGTAGTAGCTGCATGGTGGGGGGGGGGGGAGTGAAATTTTAATGTATATTACTTACTAGTAACTCATTATACCAAAAATATTTCAACATATAATACAAAAACCTATTAAGAGATATTTTACGTTCTTGTACTAAGTCTCCAAAATTTGGTATGTATTTGACACTGAAAGGACAAGTTCTCAAGAACCCCAAGTGGCTAGTGGCTAGTGTTGGAAAGGCAGGTCTCCACCCTGATTTCACATATATAAGAATCTTCCCTGAAATATACAAAATTACATAGTAATGTCACAATTTAAAAATGTTGAAAGACCACCGTAAATACTTACTGACATTTTGATCTTCAATAAGCTTTTGCAACATCTCCTCACTACAGTTATACAAAATGGTTCCATCACATCTTCCACCTTTCAAATTAAATTCATAGATGAGCAAATCATAATTTTCACTAAGAGCGAGCAGTCTGGGCTTGTCTGTTGGTGTGCTGCTGTTATGAGAATCCTCCCACACAAACCTAAGGAAAAAGTTTACATTATTTTTTATATTCTCTATCTATAATAATATTTACCCATAATCGTGAGATTGGAAGAGCACAATGAATAGAGAAAAGTTCTTTAGTTCACCTGGTAGCATTAATTCTACATCCAATTTAAGAGAAAGTAAACTGCATTAGGACTTCCTACCTCTTCCCCCTTTCCCTTCCTACTTCTTCCCCTTCACATCAGCACAAGAATATAGAAGTAGGTGGTGAAAAGGGAGCATGGAGCAAGAAATTATGTCTGCTTTTATTTCTTAATCCTAAATCCTGACTGATAATATATTTAAAAGAACTGTTATGATCAAGGGTAAATTTCAACAACCAAGTAAGTATATTATTTAAGTGAGGTGGTGCTCACAATTAACAAAATAAGTGTTACTAACTTAAATGCTTTCAACTTTAAAAAAAGAGAATGATTACTTGTATTAATAGATCTTAAGACTCCAGAATAGTTCTGTCCAAAAGAACTCTGTGATGATAGAAGTGTTCTATATATCAGCACTGTTCAATGCAGTAGCCAATGGCCACATATGGCTGAGCAGTTGAAACATGAATAATGAAACTGTGGAAATGAATTTAAATTTTTAAGTCACATATAGCTAGCTAATCACTACCATGCTGGACAGAACAGTTACAGAATTTGTAAAGCAGAGCAATGTCAACATAAGAACACTGGCTAACAAGGATGGAAAGAGACTAATGATGCTATAGCTTCAAGTTAAATATTCAAATCAAATTACATTTAGCACTGGTGGGTTGCTCAGTGGTTAGAGCAACCAACCTTGCACTGAGGGGTCTCAGGTTCAATTCCAGTCAAGGGCATATACCTTAGTTGCTGGTTTGCTCCCCGTCCCCACTTGGGGCGTAAGAGGGAGGCAACCTGTCCATGTGTCTCTCACATTGATGTCTCTCTCTCTACTACCCTTTCACTCTCTGAAAAGCAATGGAAAAAAAAATATCCTCATGTGAGGATTATCAAAAATTAAAATGTGTCTTAAGAGAATCATGAGCAAAGTTTTCTGGTTTTCAAGAAGAAAACGGCCACTTTCTAGCTGCATCCTCACATGGCTATTACTCCATGTGCTTGGAAAGAGAGATCTCTGGAGTCTCTTATAGGATTCCATATAGAATGCTATAAAATTTCATGACCTCCTTTAACCTTAATTACCTCCTTAAGGGCTCAATCTTCAAATTCAATCACACGGGTAGTTAAGGTTTCAACTTACAAATTTCAGGGAACACACACTTAGTGCATAAGACTTCCATGCCACTGGAAGACAGCCAATTAAAAAGATATAATCTCTTTCATTCTGCCTCCCCAATATGGAAAATGTTCAACAAATTAAGGTAATTTAAAAAGCAGAACACTAACACTATTCACATGGTTAGTACATGGACTACATTAGCATGTGGGAAGGCAAAATTTCCAAAGAAAATAAAATATAGAATGTACAGTGATTTCAGCAATATAAAAGAATGGTGCATACTTTGAGAAAAGTGGGATATAAACCCTGAACACTAAAAATTTTTAAGTATTTTAATTTCAATTACATTCCAATAAAAAAGCTTCTCTTGATCTACCCCCTCTACTAATTTCATGCAGTAGCTTATGAATGCCCCATAAATTCATGTGTGTGTGTGTGTCTTCTGTTAAAGTTCTCCAACACCTAAAGCGTCTGCTTTTCACTCGGCTTCAGCCCCGGATTTACAAAGTTCTGTTCATAGGGGACTTAATACGGTTGAATAAATTTACTTCCCCTAGGCCTAAGGGGAAATTTTCCTCTTCCTAACAAACAGAGGTCGGGAATAAAGAAGGCACACACAGCCCTAACCGGTTTGGCTCAGTGGATGGAGCCTCTGCCTGCGGACTGAAAGGTCCCAGGTTCGATTCAGGTCAAGGGCAGATACATCCCCCGCAGGGCGTGTGCAGGAGGCAGCTAATCCATGTTTCTCTTTCATCAATGTTTCTGACTATCCCTCTCCCTTTCTCTCTGAAATAAATAAATAAAATATACTTTAAAAGGGGGGGGGGCACACACAGGACAGATGAAATCATTCACTGACTTGACTCATCTCTACTGTGAGAACTGTTCTACAAGCTGGAGCTCCCAAGGTAAGGCACCTCCTGACTACTCAGTCTTAAAGGGCTGCTCGTTTCCAAAACGTTTTCTATTATAAAAGGAGCCCAAGGACTCAGAGGGCACTACCAAAACTAATGAAGAAAAAAACTAAACCCTGGCCCGAGGGTTACAAAATGGAGAGTAATAGTACATGGTTATGATGCTTATCTTCCCCTTCATCCTAAACCGTGCAAGCCTCACACGTAAGAACTGTCTTAATCCACTTTTTAGGCACGGCTCCCAGGAAGCCGCCGGCGCCTGAGAATGCGAGCGGAGGGACCATCTCGGCTCTCGGTCCTTGCCGAACGGGCGGAGGAGCCGCTGGTGACGGAACTCGCTCTGTTTCGGGGGCAAGAGAAAGGGCATCCCGACGATCCCCCCCCCCCCCCCCCCCCCCCATCTATCGATAACATCATCCCAGCGGGTGTCTCCAACGGACCTAACTGAAAGAAGAAAATGCGCGAGGTGCGCGGCACAATGACTTCGCCGGAAGGAGTGAGAGGAGGCGGCGCCGCCCCGCCCACCCGGAACTGGGAAGCCAGGGTGCAGCCCGGTGGCGGCTCCCCGAAGGGAGCCGGGCTCCCCGCTCCCTCCCTCCCGGCCAGAGGACGGGCATCAGGGCCAGCCACGCTAGAGCTCGGGACCCCCCACCCCCACGCCGCCCAGCACTCACTGCCGAAAGGGGCCGTCGAGGGAGCAGCCACCCCCGCCCCGGCCGCCCGGCACCAAGGAAAGCACTTGGAGGCGGCCCGCGGCGGTCAGGCTCCCCAGAACCTCCTGCTCTCGGTGCAGCTGCGCCCGGCTCCCCAGACGCCCCGTGGCCTCAGCGGGGACCGGCACCAGCAACATAGGCAGAACCCGCGCCATGGTCTCAGCGCCACAGAAGCCGGGCGGCGGCAGCACTTCCGGATCACTCCGCCGCCATCTTTGGTCCGGCAGATTTGGGTGTTATTCTCCCCCCCCCCCCGCCCCCGCGTCCTGAGCATGCGCAGTGGAGTCGACCCCTGGCTGTCTCGTGACTCCCGCAGCCGCGGGCCCGCTGTCTCCACCAGAGGTCACTTCTCGCGGGGAGGCGTCCGCACCTGCCGCGCCCGCGGACCTGTGTCTGCGCCGGCCTCAGGCAGGCCGTAGCACTTCGCTCTCGCTGTGCCATTACCCTTTGCCGCCTTCATCTAGCCGCCACCTAGGGTTGAGTGTCCCTGCCTTCTTTCTTGGCATTTTTTTTGTTTGTTTACTGCCCGGGAGTGGTGCAAACAATCCTTAGCCGTGTGGACTGACCCTTGACCTGAATGTAGGAAAGGGCAGGGACACAGGGTAAGGGGTGGAGTTGCCCTGTCATTGCTGCTCTCCTCGGGGAAAGTGTGCTCCATGGTCGTCCGTGGAGAGGAGCAGAGGGGTGAGTGGAGGTGTGCGGTGGGCATTTTGGAAAGGGCCCTGATGGCAGTGCCTTTCTTATCCACAACCAGCTACCCCAGGTTAGCTCCTCCTCTGGCTTTGACTAGAATCCTCCTCTAGTTCTAGGGCTTTGTGTGTATAGAATTCTTTTTCTCCTGCATTCCTTCCTCCCTCTTTGCTGGGGTGACTTCATTATCGTACAGACATGCTCTTCTATGTGAAACTGGTGGTTCCTGTGACTTTGGTTAAATTTAGTTTTAAGTCTTGGCTCTAGAAATCATATCTATATTTACACCCCTTAGACCTAGCCTTTCTTCCTGAGTAATCAGCAACCTCTGAATCAGAAGATAGTCAGGTCTGGGCTACTAGTCACAGCGACCAGACCAATGGCAAACTCAAGATAACATCTTGACATAAATTATGTTTCAGTTTTTGAGTCCTATGGTGGAGCAAGCCCCTGGCTACTTTCCATGAGACCAGAGGGAGTCTGAAAAGATTTCAGAGCTATCCTCAAGACCTGAAGAAATGATTCATGACCCTATCTCACCTCTGACCAATCAGCTGCCCTGTATAATCTAATTTACAGACCTTCAAGGATTTCCAGCTTTTGAGCCTTAGCTTCCCATTCTCCTGAATAAGGTCGTTCATCAATAAATTAGCCAATATTTCTCCACTGCAATTCTGTTTATTTGGCTTTACTAGTGCTGGGTGGACAAACTCTGTTCTAAAACATGTCTTTTTTCTTAAAAAAAAAAAAAAAAATGACTTCCCTAATCCTACACCAGTGGTTGGCAAACCGCTGCTTGTGAGCCACATGTGGCTCTTTGGTCCCTGGAGTGTGGCTCTTCTACAAAATACCACGTGCAGTCCTGACCGGTTTGTCTCAGTGGATAGAGTGTCCGCCTGCGGACTCAAGGAGCCCAGGTTCAATTCCAGTTAAGGGCATGTACCTGGGTTGCTGGCACATTCCCAGAGGGAGTTGTGCAGGAGGCAATTGATCGATGTTTCTCTCTGTCCTCCCTCTCTGTAAAGAAATGTGTGTGTGTGTGTGTGTGTGTGTGTGTGTGTGTGTGTGTATATATATATATATATATATATATATATATATATATATATATTTATTTATTTTATTATTATTTTTTTTTAATACCACTGCAGGCGCACACTAATAATGTGATTTGTGGCCCATGCAAAAGACCCGGTTTTGGTTTTGTTTTGGTTTTCACTCTGGGCAAGTCTATTTTAAAGAAGTGGTTCTAATGCTGAGCCACACTCAAGGGGCCAAAGAGCCGCAGGTGGTTTGAGCGCCGTGGTTTGCCCACCACTGTCCTACACCAATGGCTACCTACTGTCAAATTTCTGTTTCCCTTTCAGAAAATTCCAAGTTGATTTCTTGTGGTCAGAAAAACTCCCTCTCCTCACCTTAACCCTCTAATCAGGCTGCTCTCTCTACCAAAGCTCACCCTCAAAATTAATCTCTAGACTGCCACAACCAACCATCACCTGTCATTCCTCACTCCCTTCTTACAGTACTTTCTTTTCAACTTTGGTAACACCACTAACAATGTCTGGTAACATTTTTAGAGTGATCTTCTAACAGTGAAATCATGTCACATTACCTTCCTGTTTAAAATTCTGACTTCACCGCAGTTAAATATCCAAATTAAAAATTATGGCTTACAGGTCTTACACCCTGCCTACCTCCTTCCAATCTCATCATCTTCCCCATTCATTGGGGTACTTCAGTCTTTTCCTGAAACACCAAATTCATTCTCACTTTGGGGGCTTTGTGCTCAGTAGTGCCTCAGGGGTCCTCAAACTTTTTAAAGTGGGGGCCAGATCACGGTCCCTCAGAGAGCTGGAGGGCCGGACTATATGAACTACTAATTCCTACTGTAACACCTCGGCTGCGCTCACTGCCCAAAAAACCTGGCGGGCCGGATCATACTCCTCTGCGGGCCGCATGTGGCCCGCGGGCCGTAGTTTGAAGATGCCTGCTACATGAAATACTTTTCATTTCAACTTGAATACGTATAATCTCTATTGACATAGCTTCCACTCTAGCCACCCATCACCCAGTTTTTATTTTCACTATGGTATTTATCACCGCCTGATGTTTTGTTTTAGTCCGTGTCCAAACAGAAGTTTCAGGAGAGCAGGGACTTTTCCTTGCTTACCACTGGAACCCTGACACCTAAAATGGTGCCTGGTTCATAAAAGCACTTCTGTATGCTGATGAATGCATAACCTTATTTGTCAAGTTAGACCAAACATTTCAGATCCCCAAAGAGATATGTATATGTATATGTATATGTATATGTATATGTATATGTATTGTATATGTATATGTATATTCAACCATCTTAGCTCATCTAGGGCTACTTTCTCTTACAAACAAGTTTCAACACATCATTGTATCATCTCTTTAATTATACCTTATTATGCTATGCCTTTTTAGGCACATCATTCAGGTTTTTGAAGGCAGCTAAGAAAATGTTTTGGACAGGGTCCTCCAATGTATCAAGGCATAAGAAATGTCTTCAGACTCTTGGATCCCTGTAGACATAGCTCACACAGCTAGTGTCTGATGATTAAACTTCCCACATGCCCGTATTCCAGAACAATGAGATCAGTAGATCCAGGCAAGCCTACAAAAAGAACAGATGTTAGCTGCAAACAATTCCACTTTCTAAAGTATTAGTGTGATTTAATTAGCATCTGACTCCAGCAGATGGTAAATATTGAGGAAAGAGATGGCCTCCATGTTGTTTGTGTTTGTTTTTGAATAGTCCCTCAAATATTTCTTTTTTTTTAAATATATTTTATTGATTTTTGTACAGTGGAAGGGAGAGAGATAGAGAGTTCGAAACATCAATGAGAGAGAGTCATTGATCAGTTGCCTCTTGCACACCCCCTACTGGGGATATGCCCGCAACCAAGGTACATGCCTTTGACCGGAATCTAACCAGGGGCCCTTCAGTCCCCAAGCCAACGCTCTATCCATTGAGCCAAACTGGTCCCGGCCCCCTCAAATATTTCTTGAATTAACAATTGAGTTCCTCAAATTAAGTCTTGCCCACAAATAGCATAAGTGACCAAAGCACCTGGGAATCAATTCAATGGCTTATTTGAAGATACCATAGGGTCCTAACTTGAGGTAGACTCTTTACTCAGTAAATGCCAGTGTCTGGAACTACTCCTAAAAACAAGTTATTCTTGCCCAACTGGCATGGCTCAGTGGTTGAGCATCAACTTATGAACTAGGAGGTCATGGTTCCATTTCTTATACGGCACATGCCCCGGTTATGGGCTCAATCCCCAGTGTAGGATGTGCAGGAGGCAGCTAATCAATGATTTTTATCATTGATATTTCTATCTCACTCTCCCTCTTTGAAATCAATAAAAATAGTAAAAAATAAAAATAAAAGCAAGCTATTCTCCATGCTCTTGGCTTAAAAGAAATAGAGAAGTAAATGATAGAACCTAGATTGTGCTTAAACAAGGGGCAATGACCTTTCTGCCATAACTTACTGCATTGTAGCCTCTAGCTGCTGTACCAATTGTTTGTCCACGTGGCGACAGAACAGGGGAAGAAGGTTGCTTGGGAAAGTTAGGGGTTCAGCCAAAGAGGCTGTAGGCATCTGAGCTATTTCCCAGGCGATCAGAATCACAATATCTGTCCTGAAGATCAGAGGAAGAAATAACATCCAAGTATTTGTATTTATGGAGGAAACAGATTCAAAGCCAAGATCCTTATTATCCTTTACCACCACCATCACCCTCTATGCAAATAAAGGAGAATATTTGCACATTTGACATATGCCAGGGCACTGTTTAATGCTTTACACATCATTTTTTCTTAATCTTAACTCTTAAGTGGCTAGTACTGTCATCCCTAGATCCCTAGTTTGTAAATGAAGAAACAGGCTAAGAAAGGGTTAAGTAATGTTCCCAAAAGTTATGGTGCTATGAAGTGGAGGCACCATTCAAAAGTAGATCCGTTTGATGCTAAAGCTTGTCCCCCTTAATTACTAGGTTACACCGCCTCGCATAGAAAATAAATTCTAGGGGACTATTGGGACGGAAAAAGGCAGAGCAGCTACAATACAACTCTGCGAGTTTTCCCTTAGACCAACTTCCTCCATGATGTTTGAATACACTGCTCAGGAAATATCTGGCCCAGCCTATGCATCCCAGATGTACTGAAATAATATATGTACAGGTCATTGTGATCTTACCAAGCTGTATGGTCACTGCTGGGTTCCTCCAGGGATGGATCCAGGGATACCAGCTTCGCCCCATGACTCAGCAGGGCATAGAGCAAAGATATTCCAAACTGCAAGTGATAAAGTGCCCAGGGGAAATGAGTTTGTCCTAGGCATCCAGTGCTTACCTGGCTCTTTCTTCCCAACTAAAACAACAAGTTTACATGCACAAATGGAGTCCAACACCCATAAAACGGTCAGATTTTACACTGGCTGGACAGAGAATTCGCAGACCTTTTACTGCTCTTAAGTATCCTAATGAAACTTCTGGGGACCTTACTAAATGCACACTCATTGAGTTCTGCCCCCAGAATCTGTAGATTAGTAATGGACCTAGGAATCTGATACAGATAGTCTGTGGACCCCACTTTAAGAAGCACTGCTTCAAGAGAGATCTTCAGAGAGAGTTCATAAGGCAATCAACTGGCATATCAGAAAATATCAGAACTTCCTATCTAGAGGCTCATTTTTTAAAATGTTCTATTTTTGTATCTATTATGTGCCTAATATTAGTATAGTATAACATATAAACTACTTATAAACACACATTGGTGATGTAGATTTTTTTCTATTAAACTTGGGTGACTTCTGCGCTAGAGGTCTACAGTGGCACCACCACCAGAGAACTTGTTAGAAAAGCAGACGTGTGGGCCCCACCCCGGGTCTCCTCAGTGACTCTCTGGCAGTGGGCCCAAGGTGACCCTAATGCTCACTAGAAGTTGATAAGCACTGAAAGGGTAAACTGGAGAGAGAAGGTGGCTGCAGAGATGAGAACATTCCCTCATTTATTCCTTGCCAGTGATAACACCTGGAGACCATCTATGGCAAGACAAAAGCCTCCCAGAAAACACAAACACACACACACACTCACACGAAAAAACAATTGCCTCCTAGATAGATATGTTACCTGGTTCTGAAGCACCACAGTGACTGGCCGCTCTGAGGAGCCAGGTGGAAGCAGCATTAGTCCCTGAAGTCCTTGGAGGAGTTCATGGAAGGTCAAGTGACTGATATATTTGCCCAGAGGTTTGAATAACATTTGTAGGACCTACAGGAAGGTCAGTGAGTGCCTCTCTCAGACTTTACAACTTCACCTCCTCCCACCTTGCCTTCGTCCCTTTTCTTTTTTTCTTTTTTTAAAAATATATTTTATTGATTTTTTACAGAGAGGAAGAGAGGAATAGAGAGCTAGAAACATCGATGAAAGAGAAAAATCGACCAACTGCCTCCTGCACACCCGCTACTGGGAATGTGCCCGCAACCAATGTACATGCCCTTGACTGGAATCGAACCTGGGACCTTTCAGTCCGCAGACCGACGCTCTATCCACTGAGCCAAACTAGTTTTGGCCATCCCTTTTTTTGCTGACCTGCCTTATCACCTACCTGGCCAAGTAATTTACCAGA